AGACTGCATATCACCATGTACTCAAATCAAGACAAGTCAACGACTATTGAGTGTATAGTTTTTATAGCTTTAGTTTTGATTAGTATTTTGGTTTTGCTTTTTTGCAACCCTAATTCTTAAAACTAAACTTTGAGAATTACTATGATACCACTAATCACAGTTATCAATTCCTCTTCTCTGTGTGGAGATTACAGGTCCTCATGTCCGAGTGTATTTCCTCTAGGCATTCCAGTTGCCCCCATCCATCCAAAACATGCACAAGAAGCAAAATCTTCCAGCTACTGTAGTCCTCCTAATCAAACATAGCTCAAGATCAGAAGATGGGTCACTGAAGGGTGGATCAAATGCAGAGGACAAATCTTCCTAGATGGACAATACAGTGTACCTTAACCCCCATGTAAAGTGTAAATGTTTCATGTATAGATGAAAGGAGAGATTATATAATTATGTTTTCTTCAAGGACATATGAGAATGTTGATTGGTGGTAGGAGCAAACAGGAGTAACAGACACACTGCCTGAACACTGAAACCTGAATCTGCAAACTGCATTGTAAATTAAAATATTTTTGCATTTTGCATAAGAGTAAAAATATCTCTACTATCTGTAAACTGAAGCCACTCATTTTAACTTGAATAGACATCACTTGTACAAAGCTAAAAGACACTAAAAGCCATTCAAAATAATATGTAAAAAGTAGGGATGTAACAATAACCAAAATATCGTGATATTGTATCGTCAAAGACCTCACAATAATATCGTGGACCATCACAATATATCGAATTACAAGTCTCTTTGCTTAAATTAAGCGATATGGATCAGCAATAGCTAAAAAAAAAGACAGAGGGAACTACATAGACCATGATCCTGTGCTCCATTTCAGTGTAGACTACAAGAAGAAATAACTGTTGTAAGCCATTTTAAATCTTAGTTGTTTGGATTCAAATCTTGTTAAGGCATTTAAGAGGAAAAAGTAGCATATTAACAGTTTTGTTAGCCTCCACAAAATATCACAATAAATATCGTACCGTGAGGTTCATACCGTGACGATATCATATCATGAGATTTGTATATCTTTACACTCCTAGTAAAAATTATCATTGCATTATCATTTCTATTTAAATACAGCCTCAGATTCAGTCAAATCAATAACAAACACCAGCATGATTCTAACTATGATTTAAAGTCTTAAACATGTGTGACATCGCCAACACATTTAAAACAAAGGGGAAAAAAATCTGACCTAGACAAGTAATTTTGTGTGCTCCTTTCCCTTAATTCTCTTAGCATTGATTTCCACCCTTTCTGTCAGAACCTCATTTCTGTCAATCTGTTCTTGTTAGCTATAATTAAAACAACACTTCACAGCCTTCTGCACCTGAGACCAAAAACGCTCCTATAAACAACGCAACATACTATTGATGCATCTGTCCTCATCGATCAAGCCTCAAAATAACCCGTTTGGCTCATTTGGAGAACACTGTTGGCATTAGTGGCATACACAAACATCCTATCTAATCGAGAAGATAAACGATATATTTGTCTTAGCATTTGAGGTGAATTTGCATAATAGAGTCATCAGCAGACAGCACAGTAGAAAACACATGTCACAACAACAAAGGGTCTCTCTGTGATACGGCGATATATAATCAAACATGTTCACAAAAGCTTTGTTACTCTTTGCAAAATCAATACAATTAATTATGTATACCCACAATCTTTCATGCGTACTGTCTGAGTATAAGAAACATTTATATTTGAGAGGCATGTCTGACGCAAAGCTAAAACCATCTAGGCTTGGCTATTTTTACATCTTATTTACAGTTTCCAAGCTTCAAGATGGTTTTATTTGTGTCAAAGGAAATGTGTTTTGGATACATACGCTGCCAATAAAAATGTCCGCTAAACAAATATAAAACAGCACAAGCAAATGGGTTGTTCGAGGTTGCGGTTACGATGGTTAATTAATGTTCTATTCCATCAGGCAAAGCAAACACAATATTTAGCACAATAATAAAATTAAATGTTCTCCATGTAATGTTATGATGATAGTAGTAGGTCAGGTCTATATATGAAAGTACTCTTTACTACTATTTGAGAAGCACAAAATCGGTAAATAAAGATGAAGATGCTACTGGGATACTGATATTATTGCAATATTTTAATATACTTTTTGACTATCTTAGTTTAATAGTCAAACACTGTCCAAAATTAAAACTTAACATGGACAAAACCAAAATTAAATCAAGGTAAATTTTGTATTTAAGCAAAATAATACATAAAAAAATCAACCTTTGTTATTGCAATAGCAGATATCGATTACTGTATCTGCCAATATTGCAATACCGATACCTCTGCGATACGATGCAGCTCTGCCTCTATTCTAAAACTGCATTTTTCCAGGTCTACAGAGGCATCTATTATTCAGCATGAGCAGGTGGGAGGGGCGGGTGCGACACGGAGGGGGCAGGATGGTGAATGGGTGTATAGTAATAATGATGCGGCTGGTTTGGGAGAAGGGGGGAGGAGGGGGGTAAGTCAATGATTTTTGGAAACCCCCACCTCGCGCTCTAAGGCTGGTCTCATGAATATCTAAAAGTGGGCGTGACTCGTGGGAGGACAAAGAGCATCTACCCCCTCCAGATCTCAGTGAGGGACACGCTTCATGAGCTGGTGCCTCGTGTCCAAACATGTCCCCATTCAAACACAATGGGTTTGTTTATAATGAAAGTGTAAGGCGTGGAAATGAAGTGTCAACTCTACAATAGCTGACCTTTCAGACAGAAATTAGTGCATGACCATCAATATCATTAATGTTTTGTCATATTATTACTTGGATGAAGACACTATGTAATATTTGTGGGAAAAAAGAAGATTATGAGTTTAATTGATTACTTAGGTCATAATTCAATCAAAAATAATAATAAATTTATCCTAAAAAATAATAACTTTAAAAATTCTATGCTCTATAAAAGAAAATCTGAATATAAAGTGCTTTCTATGATATTGTATTAAACAAAGTGAATGAAAGAGAGTTAGAGATTTCACTGTTGGCTTGTAGGGGTGGAGAAATGATCATAACATTGTACTTAAAATAACCATAACATAATAGTTTGATTGCTAATTGGTATTTAAACTTAATCTAAAACTGAGCACTGGCAAACAAGACGCCTGTTTACTATTTACTACTGGTGTATTGGTGCTGGTACTATGACTACTATAACTACAACTACTAAAACTGTTGCTACTAAAGATTACAGCTACAATACACAATATACAATAACTTAGGCTTGTCAAAAGTATCTAATATTGAAACTAGATAGTCATTTGAGCAAGAACCACACTGTAAAATATCACATTAACAGAACAAAATTTCCTCAATCCTGAGCAGTTTCAGTTTGATTTGGAGATTCGTCATAAGACCTCATGCTAAGATTAAGAAAGTACTATCATTGTCTTTATGAAACTGGCATAAAAAAGGAGCATGTTTAATTGTGGTATTGAGTTAAAAAATGTAATATTGTGACTAGAACATCTACTACTTAACAGTTTCTAAATCTCAGACTCTGATTGTGTAAATGCTTTAACAAACTCAGAAACCCACAATTGCAGAAAAAACAAACCTGACTAAGTAACAGGCTGAGCACTCTTCTTGTTATTCAGACCACAGTCACAGCTGGGTTAAGTCTCTGATGAGGCTCATTCTGTCTCCACTAAACAAAATGTGGCTACGTTTACTCTTTAGTGGATTGTCTGTTTCAACACATCCTCACTCCAAAATACAACACTGTGACTCAAGCACCAAATTACCATTACCAAAAAAACATTTTAGAACCAATTAGAGGAAGGGAATTTATGTTGTTTGATCTACACTATTAACAAAATTATTTTCAAACTCTAGAAGATAATAAAAGTTGAATTCTGATATGCCAAAATAAGATTCTGAATCTCAATGGGACCTTCTAAGTCGAATACATTTTCATTAAAAAAATTATAACAAGCAAAAATCTTCAAAAAGAACTGAAGCGCTTTCAATCTAATTTCTATAAAGTTGTATTTCTCCATCTTTCAACTATTTGTTTACTTTTCCAGTAAAAATTTTGATGAATTCCATAAAAGGTAATGTATTCTTCTGACACAAAACAGAAAATCTAGACCCATGGAGCCAATAAAACAAATGTTTCTATAAAATTCAACATGGGAGAAGTTTGAGACCGAGCCCTACACAAGGTAAAGACAGGAAGTGTGGAAAGAGAGTTGTTCCATTAGCAAAAGCGGGATCAATACTGGCGTCTAACACAGCAGCACTCCGGCCCTTCTCGGAAATCACTTTCTATTATGATGGGTCCTTTAAATCAAGCACACAACAGCAGGCCTGCTAAATCCAGACAAATACACAGATAGTACAATCTAGATTATCCATTCCAATGCTAGGAGATAAGACAAGATAATTTAAACCCTTCCAAATCTAGCCCACTGGAAGATATAATTGGTGTCCTCAGGCTTCAAAGGTCCTATATTACACAAAATTGATTCTTGTGAGTTTTAGACCATATTAAAATGTTGGTACCTCATCAAAAACATACTCAGAGCTGTGTATTGTTTCATTCACACAAGGTGGAACGGAGTGTTTTCGATTTGAGTGAAGAATTAATATGCCTAAATATGCAGGATTTTTTTTTTTTAATGAGGAAATTATTATAAAATAGATCAGAAAACAGTGTAATATGGGCCACTATTGTATTTGCAGGGCTTGAATTTTGATGCAGTATGTAACTTTTCTGGTGGAGGATGGAATCTAATCTGGCATTAAATGTATCTCTCTTGCATTTATTCGATTACAAGTGCTTTTATTGCATGTAGATATGTAATCTGTAACGTGGCTTGGTGACTTTCAACGCATTTGAAGATGAAGATATGATGTGTCATACTGCACAGTATCATACTGTGCACTGCAGCCCTTCCACAGTAAAAAAGGAAAAAAAAAGCCATTGTCACTTACTGATTAAGCTCCACGTCCAGAATAAACCTTCGTCCAAATGCATCGACTTGAAAAGCTGCTGAGGCCACGTGGTTCACCTGAAAACAAAAGGCAAATATTGTTAACGTAAAGAGGTGGCACATGGTGGTAAAAATCTATGGGATATTAACTACTAACACACAACATATTTAGATCACCATGTTACCTTTTATTATTTTGAAAAAGCGAAAATTTGAAAATTCTCTGAAAACAACGTATTAACATGTTTTATAAATTATACTCTCGTTTTGGAAAGTACATCCCGCTAATGAAACTACTGCACATTGCAACAGGTTTGTTAAGTAGCTGGGTACATTTTGGGATTTAGTATGTTTTTTAATTGTCGTGTGTGAGGAAGGATGACGTAGGCTTGTAGTCAGAGCATTGCACAGAACAGAGTGAGCGAGCCATAAAGAGTGTTCGAATAAGGCCTGGGAGAGATCATGAAATTACTCAAATATGCTTGGATGCCATCTAAACCTCTCCAGGCATGAAGGGAACATTGTTATAGCATGGTAGAAATGATTTTGCATAATACACTCTCTTTAAATGTTTAATTTATGCATTATGTTGATCAAGTAGTATCAAGAAAAGGTCAACAATAAAACAGGGAGATATATGATTTTGAAAGTGTCCAACATATTTTGATTGTGGTTAGATCTGTAGTTTTTGCTCACAATCAAGATTCACTTCATAGTATTTTTCTCATCATGCGAACAGCTTCTTCCAACAAGCTGTTATAATCTCACACAATGCACTTTGAACTTTGATATTTTTAGCTATTTAATCTTTTGTAGCTTGTTTATTTCACAGTGTCAATATGTCTGTAATGATTGTCTATTGTTTCTTTATGTGGTTGTTTTTAATGTTTCATGGTGCACATAGAGCATCTTGTGCACGTTTTTCAATGTGGTTTTTAACTACAAATGGCGAATAGATAGATCTGACAGTGCACATATTGAACTGGTCGTCAGATAATTCAAGAATCCTCAGCAATTTAGACAGTGGTTTGTAGTGAAAGTAAACAATGGAGTAGCAGATTTTACACATTATATTATAAATACATATCAGTTAGTACTTTTCACATATCAGTCAGTACACAAGACACAATAAGGCCCAATGCAAGCTATACTGTCGTTTGCAAATAATTGTATGTCTCTATGAATAAATTGCAGCGTTTGTGATTTTCTAATTGCAGTTTAAAGGGGCTGTATTATGCTATTTTCTGATCTATGTTATAATGCTGTTTCCTTATCAAAACATAGCTGGAGTTATTATTTATATATTTATTTTTTCGTTTCATTCACACATTTAACACACAAATACTGTATATTTATCTTGAGTTCTTTCCTCAAACAGAAAACACTCTGTTCCACCTTGTGATGTCATGTGGTAATACAGGAAGTGCTCCGATGTGCCTTTAAACTCCATCCACCTTCACTAGAATCATATGGATATTTTCAGCCCTGGTATTTCCAATCTCTACTAAAACAAAAGATTAAAAGTTCACTGTTGACATGAAAACTACCACTTTCTGACATCACAAGGTGGAACAGAGCATTTTGTGTTCGGAAAATGTAGACATTCCTATAATGGCAGAGTTACTCAAACATGTGTGAATGAAACAAAAAACAACTCTGGGTATGTTTTTGTGAAGGTAACAATATTATAACATGATTTAAAAAGCACACAAGTTCATTTTGCATTAGCTTTACACTTCAGTTGCGTACAAAGGCTGGACGTATTTTGAAAATGTAGACGTCACTGCCTGTGTAATGCCGTTACCGCGTGACATTAGGAGTGGAGGAGGGTCTGATCGATGGAGAGGTGAGCACATATGGTCAGGTTTATTACATCGCCTTAGGTCAATGAAAACCTCTCTCAAATCATTCCTTCGCAAGTCCAAGGGAGTCCCAGAGCTGAGTCAAATCCACCCCTCCCCTCTCCCCCAAAATTACCCAACGCTCACAGCGGGACAATAACAAGGAGGAGGAGGAGGGTGCAGTCAGGCCCGTCATGATAACAAATTTGGAACTACGATAAATTGCAACAGAGAAATATCACAATAAACGATAATATTGAAAGTATTTTATAGAAATAGACCAATATTTGCAGTTTTTAGCATATCGGCTATTGACCTTAATCTTAAGCATTGGTTGATATTTTGTTTGGGCTGACCACTTTGAACAGAATTCAACTAGTAAAATATAAATCTCAAATCTAATCGTTCGGTTAGCAACATGAAATATTATTGTATTTTGTGCGGTAGTACAATAAAAGGAGTAGGAAGAAGTAAAGTAGGAAATAAACTTATAAACTCCTACTACTATTATTGTTTTATGTTTTAAATTCCTTACTGAGGCTGAAAAAACATGCTCTTGATACAGTAATTATGGTTACAGGCCTAGGTGCAGTTTGCTTTTGGTGAATTTCCTTTTGATAAGATGCTCCCATCATGCTCACCCAAGGACAACCAAGGCCTGCGGCGGCTTTCCCAAATGACCACAGATTGTATTGTTTAGGCTTGTGGGTGACTGCTTTTATAAACCAGTAAATGCGCGTGGGTGACTGAGAGTAGATGCAAAAGACAATAACCTTTTTCCGCAATACACTTCGCATGAAATTCAATCTGCCGGAGTGACTTCATGATGGGAGGAGGTACCGGTAATTGCATTTAAACGAAACCCATCCAAGATCGGCTGTTGCTATGCAGGGCCAGTACTGTGCGACCACCGGACTCTGCTCACATTGATTTCTGAGTTATGGCAAGAATGACTTTCTGCACGATGATTGAAGGAGCATGACTGTAAATTGCATCAAGCTCCTCGTTTGACTTGCACTTGAGATAAAACACGCCGTGCGCTAGATTCAATTTGAGCATGTCTGTTTAACTGAAAATAGGCCACGAGGTTCTATAAATATCTAACACTTTGTCACACGTCTTTGTTTTCACGCTGCTGTTGATCTAAAAAAAAAAAGCTGATCGAACTTTGCGACTTCAGAAAGTAAAATAAACTCTAGAGACCAAAGCGAAAATAGAAAAAATATATATCAAAATCACTTCTAGTTATTTCTACATTGTCTAACATTACTGTAGTTTGGTTTATTATAGATCATTATTAATGCAAGCACTTTAAAATTACATACCTTTAATATTATTTTTAATCATTTTTGTGGACTATTCATGGATTTCTGGTTCCTGTAATTGGCTATTTTATCTTTTTGCAATAGTTTTGAGATTTGAGATTTAAACAATAATAAATGTTTCATAATTCTGGATGATACTGATAGCTCAATTATTTAATTTACATACATCTTGACAAAGCTCTTTTAGAATCAGCTCAAATCTTTCAGGATTCTTTAGAAATCAAAAGAATCCTGATAAAAGTTGGCAGTTCAAATCCCACTCTCAAGATAAACATTATTGGTAGAGCAGTCACAAGTTGGCGGTGTGATTCCAGTTTCCACAGAGGAATACTGCTGTTGTGTCCTTGGCCAAGACCCACCTTGCCCTCAGTGTCTGCGTATGAATGGTGTATGAATGTGTGTGTGAATGGATGAGTGGTTCCTTGATGTACGGCTCTCTGAGTGCCTTGAAGGTAAAAAAGCGCTAAACCTATATAAGTGTGACCAAGTATACAGAACAGTTTCCAAAGTTACAAGTCATCACAGTAATTATGAGAGGTGGGACTAAGTTGTTGTTTTGAAAGTCTCAAGTAAGTCTCAAGTCTTTGACCTCAAGTCCAAGTCAAGTCAAAAGTCAAATACAGGCAAGTCTAAGTCAAGTCTTGAGTCACTGGCCCATAAGTCCAAGTCAAAGTCCAAGTCATCTGCTTTGAGCTTCAAGTTATTTCAAGTCTTTAAACTAAAGCACTAAATATAGCTTAGATTTTTGCAATTTATATGACTTTTAAACTAAATTGTACTTAAAAAGTCAAGGTATTTAAGAGTTGTAGAAATGTAAATTTTTTCTTTTTAGTGTGAATAATTTGGTCAGAACAGAAAGAATTCAGATTTAAAAGTCTGCACTGAAATGGAAGGATCATGTTCTACGTAGTTCCCTCTGTTTTACTGTATTGTATTGTATATTACTGTAAGACATTTGAGGATACCGCATCACAGTACTTCAGTTACATCCATTTTTTAGGAGAAGCATCAAGTCTTCTCAAGTCACAGTCCAAGTCAAGTCCCAAGTCACTGTCCTTCAAATCCAAGTCGAGTCCCAAGTCGCAGGCCATTTTATGAAGTCCTAAAAATAGTGACTCAAATCTGACTCAAGTCCAAGTCATGAGTTGCAAGTCCCCACCTCTGGTAATTATATCACTCACTGTGTATTAAATGTGTATCACCATATTGCCCAGCCCGGTCAAAAGTATTCAAAATGGAGCCTATAAACAGGAAACTGAAAGCTATGAGTGGGGAAAAAGGTTGGCATGTGTCTGCGTTTGGGCATCGAGCTGCACTGGCCAGAAAAAACTGACACACGATACATCAAAGTGAATATTGAAATAGTCTGAGGCAGATGGTTTGCTGTTGTTGTTTACATCTCGTGCTGGTTCTCTGGGTGAGGTGAGCGGCAAAGAAAGGGTTAACACCTCCAGGATGCCACCATCTGTACCCGCCCCCCCTCACCAAAGCCTCAATAGGAGAGCCACACAAACAAATGGCAGCTTCACGACAGCTATAATTGACTCGTCACTGGAATGAACCCAGCTCGCGTGGTTTTAAAGTGAAACTAAACACTAAGTCCACTTTTTTCACTACTAAACTGTATATATGGTGTTTTAATTGCATTATCTACTGTTCCTACAGCAACTTTGGTACAAACTTGGCACATTTGCAGCTTCCTGGTCAAAAACACCTATGTCTAAGTGTGTGCTGCCTTCAGTGGCCTCTGCAATTTCAAGTACTATGTGACATCACGCAGGACTGCCTTGGTTACAGCCTGGTGTTTCTGATTACAAACACCTTGCTGCAGGGGCGGAGTCTGAACTGTAGATACTTGTTAGACCAGTCACACTGTTCCTTAGACCTCTGATCTTTAATCCTCCAGGTATAGGCTCTTTTCACGCTTACGTCACAAATCAATAAGACATCTGGAAACATGCAATGACAAAGTTACCGACACTGGGATCGCTGACTGACTGTGATAAAACCCACTGAAGTAAATGTGATCAGTGGTAAAATAAAGACTGCATACGTATGTGCTTGGAATAATCTGGAATTTGGCACCCTCATCTCTTCTAATCACATTTATCAGTGTACTCGGAGTTGTGTGTCAGTGGGGAAATTATGAAAACTGAGGTATGGGTGTAATTATTGATTAGCTGAACAGAACGGAACACTACAATGACATATAGATGAAGAAAACTGGACCAATTCTCATTTTTCCTAGATTTTAGCAGACTTATTACAGTGAACAAAGCCCGCCGGAAGTTGACATCGCATGTTTCTAAACGTCTTCCTGGTTTATGACGTAAGCGTGAATAGAGCCTATTGCCCAGTTCAGAAGCTCTAAGAGTGTGGCCGTGTATAGGTATTTTGTTCCACTTTAAAATCAGACAGAGCATTGTGTGTATGTTACTATTCCTTATAATACTTTTGACAAAGGATAATAGCCAAAACATTATTGAAATAAATAATTAAACAAAATGGACATCTGTCAAGGGGGTGCACTGTGCAGTTTTTGTTTTTAGTAATGTTGTTAGTAATATTTAATCACAATGTCATATTTTTGTGCATGATTTCAATACAAATGCCGATGAATTGCTTAAGTAACTTTGATGCACAACACAACAATAAGGTTTCTAAGGTTGGAATGGTAAATTGAATTAGTCTTCATAGCTTTTAATTGAAAAAAAAAAAAAAAAAGAAAGAAAGAAAACAAAAACATAAACATGGTCGTAGATACATGTCTAGTTTTTTGGTTTATTTTGACCCACATAGCATTGCACTTATAAATGGCGACGCTCTGCTGCCTAAAGGATAATGCTCTTAAATATCTGATCAAATTTTCCAAGACGAGACGAATGAACGCAGACGTGCACGGGGGCGGAACTAATTCACAATATTGGGTTGGACTGGGGCATCCTCCCTCCCTCCCCTCCCTTCCTCCACAGACAGGGATGTGAGATGTGGGTGTACCTGCGAGGAGCCGGAGCCGTGTCTGACCCGGGTGCTGAGCGCGTCATGACCGATCTGACTGTGGTTGTGTCGGCTGTAGAGCAGGCGAACCGGCACCGTGTCCTCCTTTACAATGAACCTGTCCGAATTACGCACCGATTTCAGGCGCGACAAGGCGTCTCCTAAAAAGAAAAAAAAAGAATATCATTCAAAACAAGCACCGCCATCACAACGAATGAAGACGTTTCCTTTGATAACATAGGCCAGTATAGGCTGTTATGATTATGGCAGTGACTAGAGGAAGGTAAACAAATAAAAATACACGATTTGGGTTGAGCTAGTTAAAGCAGAAGGCGTGATTTTAATGTTTTTAAACGTATCACTTATTCATTACCATTTGGTTCAGTGGAGGTTTGGTGAGCGACGCGCATCATCCCATAGACGCACAAAAGGGAAATCCACCATCGCAGACGCAGCATCTTCTCCATCTCCCTTCGTCTCGGTCTGTGGAAACGAAAAGACAATGCGGTAATCCAGGCGCAGGCTCGCGAGGTCCTGCCTTCGCTAGGGGAGCACACGGTGGTCTCTGGTCGCGGGGAGAAAGCGGCAGTTCCTCCGGTTTGGGGCCATCGGGGTCCGGTAGCCGTCTGAACGCGCCTGGAGCTCGCAGAGACGCAGCAGCAGCACAGGGAGAGCGCGGGGGGAGGAGGAGGAGGAAGAGGAGAGGATGGGACACCTCCTTAACCCTCCGTTGTACACGATCTGCGCTCACACCAAATCACAGGCGGAGTTACGTTCAAGGCTTGAATTTACTCGTCGGTACAAAATGATTTTTAGTATGTTTACCTTTGTCTCAACCTATTTCAAGATGTTAATAATTGTTCAAGGCGTATTTCATTAAATTTTATCGCAAAAGCTTTAACAATCACACATTTGCCCATTTTTTATTTTACACACCGGTTATTTAAACAATATAGCCTACCTTTAATAGTATTTATTAAAAATGTACATCACTGCATTCACCTGAACACATTGCACTTTATTATCTGTGGTACTAGTCACTTTATCGAGTCATCTTATCAGTCATTATATTTTATTTTGTCTTTCTCTTTCAATCTTTAATCGCAGTCCACAAAGACACACAGATGCATTTCACATTCAGATCATCAGGGCCTTTAGTACATTCAAATATACAGCAGATTCAGTTTGTGGGTTGCTTTGTTTCCCTTTGGTGCTTTATTCAAACCCATGAAATTCCACGTCCATATCGTCACTGTCCTGAAAGAGCTCACACAGTCTCGTCAGGCCATCGCTCAGCTCCACACTCAGACTGGTGACCAAAGGGATGAGCATTTTCCGTCTTTTACGTTTATAAACTTTAATTTTTCTCTTGATCTTCTCCTCAGGAACAAAATCCTCAGATGAATGCTCTTTGAGTGACAGACAGTTTTCTCTTGATTGTTCATGCACTAGTTTTCCTGCAGTGCATAGAGCAGGCTCCTGTTTAGTCTCTGCACTGGTCTCATTTAATATGAATCTCCTCGACAAAGTTTGTGCTTCTGGACTGTGGCTGTGTGAGAGATCTGCTGTACTGACGGCTGTGCGAGGTGCTGCACTGTCACCTGTAGGGGGAGCCAGTTCTTCCTTTCTGTGAGACCTATGTTTTTCTATATTTGAGGTGAGGGTCTGTCTACTTGGTTGTTTGTGTTTAGAGTCTGAAAAAGTGCATTCTTTTCTTCTTTTCTTTATTGTATGACCAACAGGAGGCGCTGCACTGGAGGTTTTTAAAGCAGGTATTGAACTCTGCTCTTCTCTCCTCTCACCGTTTTGAGATTGATTCAACTCAAGCTTCATAGCAGAATCATCTCGGTCCACAGCTCTTGACGTGGTTTCCACAAATGGTCCTGGAGCGATCAGGACTGATGAAACACTACACTTTGGTCTAAGAGGCAAAAAATAAAAGATTAGCATATTATTTACTGATGAGATCAGTACAGGAAGTGATGCAGTAAATACACACCTTTTAAGTTTAGATCTGATGGGGGTGAACTTACAGCACATGGCTGACACCAGTTTGTCCACAATTAAATACTCGTCGCTTTTGGCAAAAGTCTGGTGTCGATCGCTCTGTAGATGCTGGAAAAATATATAACACTAAATTACCTTCTATAAAGAAATATTCAGATACTGAAACATTATGACTTCTTTAAAGCTTCAGTAAGTGTTAAAAAAATTCAACCTGCTCAAGACACATGTATGCATAGATGAAAACACGGATCATATTAATTATTCAGTTACTTCATTTAGTAAACAATAAGAGATTTCAGTCATAAACTGCATTTCATGACTCAAATATGAAATCTTGGAGCAAGAAAGCATGACACTTACTGCTTTGATGTTGTCATATTTCACCAAACAGCATTCACAATATCCTCCTTGTTTCTTCTTCTTTCGTTCATTCGGTCTCTCGTCAGAGGCTGAAGCTCTCGCTGCTCTGTTTCAGAACACAGTTTTATTAATTTAATTTAGTATGGTAAACTACTCAAGGTAAAGACTAGAAAAACTTCACGTTTGACATGTCACTATGTATTTTACAATCACTTAAATAAGACCAACTGGTCTAAAAACAAGATTATCAAAAATTGGTAATGTATCCATGTGCGACCACAGACTCAGTATGCACCTGAGGGAAACACTGTACCCCTTTTACAAGTCAGCTGAGTGTTTTTTGATGTCTGATGTTACTTTCAGCAGTGGTTTAAATACCTTGGACATTGGACCTTGTCTCCAGCAGCATCTTTGTTCTCTAAACAGAATGGAGTGCAGGGGGGGTGCGTCGACAGGTTGAACTCTGGGACATTTGTCAGTCGGAGGTAAAATGGACGATAGTGTCTGAAAAAGACAAAATATTATGATAATTTCATAATGATCATACAATATAATCAGCGTATTACCAAAGCAGCCGTACCTGCTTGAATCTTCAACTTTGACAAAGGGTCTACTTATACGGCCCCCTAGAATTTCATTTGAAAACATATTATTAAAAAAATAAAAAATGTTAAATTATAGCCAAAATCAAAGATTACCTTTGGACTTTTGAAAACCATGTTTTGTTGACTCCTTTTTTACCTAAAGTAAAATCAGAAATAAATTTTGTCTAACTATAACGCAACAAACAACATATGGATATTGATCAACTACAGTATACTATATTTATATATGACTCACATTTGTTTTGGCAACTGCTGGAGCAGGTTGCTGACAGGAAATGCTCTTTTTCTTCTTTTGGACATAAGACATTACATCTAAAAACATGATGTATTACCATCATTAAATTGCTCATTTATTTTATTTGTTATAAGATCACAAACAAAATTCTACACAATATAAATGTAAAATGTTGAACACATACCATCTAAATAAAGGATTTTCACACCCCACTCCAAAGCATTTGAGAGAATCTTATTCATCTGAATCCTCTCCTAAACAAACAGAAACACATCAGCTCAAAGGCCCAGGGGTCAGTGACTTGCATCATTAACACCAACTTCACAAACCTGCTCCTTCACCACTTTCTTCACCAAAGATTTTCCTCGACTCGCGGCAACCTGCAAAGAAGCAACAGTGAAGTCATGAGTTATAAATATTTTCATATAATTATTATTGTGGTGCAGGATTCATAACTTTGACTCAGTTTTCTGAAATGTATCCAAGTAGCAAAAGTTTTTATTTTTGAAAATCAAGGTAGTATCAGAATCAGAATAAAATTTCTTGCCAATGTCAGTGAAGAAAATTCACAAATTGTGAAAAACTGCTTTTGCTCATATAAAACAAAAATGGAACAAAACTTACGGTGTCTTTTTGGAGCTGGGAGGTGCTCTTGGTGCTGTCGCCAGAGCAGAGCTGAGGGGAACTGGGCCCAGACTCTGGACTTGGCACTGGAGAGTCCTGCCTCAGACACTGCACATATTTGGCTTCTCTTTTATTGGAGACAAGATACTTTATTTCTTTACTGAAGAATTTTTCGACCGTCTGCAAAACAAAGCAGTAAAAGAGGAAAACTATTGGCATTTGTTGTTGTTATTGCTGTTAATTATTTGGTTGTCGTTATATATATCGACTTCAATAAATCACAGATGATTCTTTTAGGGGTCAACATTTATCGTCTGTACCTTTTCATGTACTAGTGGTTATGTTTTGTGGCAATATGAAAAGATTTGAGCTGTAGAAGGTTGAATTAATAATTTCCATGACTCACAGACACAAACTAATCATTCAAGTCTTGCATTCAGCTATTTATTCATGTTTACTGATGTTTTATTGAACAATATTGTACATTTAGAATTTTTTTTGTGGATAATTGTACTTTGTGGTTTGGTTTCAGTATTATTGTTTATCATCTAAATTTTCAAAATGTGTTATTGTGACAGCTCTAGTTGTTGTGATCATATTAATATCCCAAGATTAATTCTAAGTAAAAGTTAAAATATGGAAAAAAAAATAGACTCGCTCCTTTCATGCTGAGTTTGGTTCTACAGTAGTTGACAGATTAATTGAAAAGTCTGCGTGGTCTTACCCCTCCTAATAATATGATGTCACTTTCTAACGTTTCTGCCACTTTATTAGACGTTAGGTCCAGGTAAAAGACTTTCCCCATGAACGGTTTGGGTCTAGGAGTTTGAGGGGCACATGGCGTCGCTCTCGTCTGGATCAGTGCTCGTTTATCACAGTCTGAAAAAAGATACAACAGACTACATTACTACAGTATACACAGAGGTACCATTACCAATTAAAACGTGGCTCAACAATTTGGAATTACAGCCTCCTTTACCCCTTATATTTTTCATTAAAGGTGCACTGTTTATCTTTTCTGATGGAGGGTCTGCCACCTATTTGTCTCCGTGGAGATGTCAGTGGAAAAAATGTCAATATTCGGATAAACATATCTGGTGACACCATCAGACCAAATTATAGGGAAGATCAGCGGACAATGCGACTCACAGTAAAACTGCAGGGTTTAAGAGACATTTCTGAGCACTAATTATATCTGTAAATTGATGAAAATGAATGCAGGATGGACACTTTTAATGCCACATTGCGAAAATTCGAGGCAAAGCAATAATATCTCCATGGAGACAGGGAGGTGGAAATTCCTCTGTCAGAAAAGTGAACAGTGTGAATACAATACCTAGCAATGCCTAGCAGTATAATTACGACATAATATTCATCCACTGATTATGTCACTATAAATCAAAACTACCAGGATTTTAAGCAAAGTATAGAGTGACCAAATGTTCTCATTTACCAGGGACACTCCCAGTTTTGAGCCCTGTGTCCCCTGTTCCAGCAGATTTATCCAAAACCAGTGACTTGTCCCAATTTCCCACAAGAAATGTCCCAGTTGTCCCTATTTTTGACCAATTTGATCTATACCAGGCCGAAACTAAGCCCTAAATCAGGACTACATTAAGTCTAAATCAGGCCTAAACTAAGCCCTAAACCAGGACTACATTAAGTCTAAACCAGGACTATCACAATTCTTGACTAATCTGATCCCTGCCAAGTGCCAAGAGTAAAGAAAATAAATTGTCATTTGTTTAGCCAAAATAGAGAAAACCGTGTTTACTAATGACCATAAAGAACTGCAGTTAGAAGTCCCTCAGATTATGGCTGACAAGAAAAATGCACAATGTTACTCGCTTTTATTTATACCCAACATATTTTGTATCAATATGAGGCAAAGTAGTATCAATACGAACAAGTAGTACGCAAGTGTGAGCTGAATGTAATGTAAGAGTAGTGGTAGTTTAAAAATTTAACATTAAATCATTATTTGACAGGTTGATCAATAAGACAAGGATAATGTTAAAAATAAGAAATATTATGAAGACAATACCTGGCAGCCCTCTCTTGTTGTGCTTGGGCTTCATGATATTCTCCTTCATCAAGTGTCTCCTCTCTCAGCTGCTCAGGGAGTTGTAAACAAAAACACGCCGTGGCAGAAAGTTCCGATGAAACATTAAAAACAACCAACTTTGACATAAGTACCAACAAGTAAAATATCCAGTCAAGAATTGAAAAGTTGGACGCAAATGTTTTTTTAAAATTTCCGCTGCGTAACTTTAACTCTCGTCAAATCCCCTCGTTGTTGTTGATCACTGTTAGCTTTGTAGATTAGCTTTATCCGGTTTACTTGCGCTACAGAAACCCAAAATAACATCTTTATAACTGGCTAAAGCCGAGTCATTACGGTCTTCAGATGGGGGCAAGAAAAAGTTGGTTTTAAGGAGGAGAAAACATGTGCATTTTGGAAAATCTTCAACACAAATCTCCCGTTTAGTCCGTTCCCGCTTTAACTGAATCTAGAATAGAAAGTGTGTTGCCAGGTATGTGTGTATCCTCCACGAACAAAATTTGACTGAAACGTTTCACTCTTTATATCTTTTATGTGATTTTGATGTAGTTAAACAATACACTCCAATGTGTTACAAAAGGACTAGTTTTCATAACGTGTTGATCATGAATTTTTACTTTTTATTTCTAGAATCCGAAAAGAAGAAGTTATCAAATCTGGCAACATTGAAAGGTTGTCCATTTTGTGCGACTGCGCAATGTAACGTCAACAAAATATCTGGATAATGGATTTTAATATATTTTATCAATTAGTATCACCCTGTACATTTGTATATAAACTCAAATTGATTGGGCCCTAACAACATTTGCATTTAATTTGATAATAATTTTAAAGCTCAGTTTTAGCAATAAATGTGTAATATCTTTGGATTACACACGAGGGCGGTAACATTGGGCAGTCGATAAGGAAACGCAGGAAGCAGATGCAAACGTGTGTAATAGGTCAGTCACACTACAAATAAAATTATGAAAACGAGAGAAATGCGCGTATTAACACAAGGACTCCTTTAACCGGTGCGTTTTTATTAATCATGTATTTGTCCAAATTACACGAACCGGGGCAAAGTACTGTTGTTTTCATGTCATTCAGTCACTGCATGTGCGTACTGCTCACTTAACATATGCTCCTGGCGTCTCATTAACCTTGTATTAATTGGGTTTTACAGTGACAGAATGAGTTGTCAAAGCACAGCTTCCAATGATAGAATTACTCCTGTCCAGCAAATGATGGCATCATGTTCTGGGGCCATTCTCACATCTTTGTTTGGTAAGAAAATAGCAATATCATGCATAACATGTTTACAATTACTTAATATCAATTGACTGACTGACTGACTAAATGTTGTTTTCAGTCACTCCCTTAGATGTTGTGAAGATTAGACTCCAAGCACAGAAAAAACCATTCCCCAAAGGTATTTCTCTATTTTATATATCTATAAGTTTGGTTTGTTTCACTGTTGACTGTTATAACTTTGATTCAGGGAAGTGTTTTGTCTACTGCAATGGACTCATGGACCACATATGTTTGTGTGTGAATGGAAACTCCAGGGCTTGGTACACAGCCCCTGGTCGCTTCAGTGGCACAGTGGTAATAAAAAATATATACTTGTAAACTCAGTACTTTCATTATAGAAATTTGGTTACTATAAATTTAATTTATTGTATTTTATTTTGATAGATTATTTTATAACTGTGAGCTGCTTACTTTTACAGGATGCTTTTATTAAAATAATACGTTATGAAGGAATCAAATCTTTATGGAGTGGTCTTCCTCCAACTCTGTAAGCTTAAGTGAAGTTCTTGTGTTATTTAAGTTTATCAAAAACATCCATTTTCATTTTCCTGTATTTTTTGCAGAGTTATGGCAGTCCCAGCCACTGTAATCTACTTCACATGTTATGATCAGCTGTGCACGGCTCTGAAGGCACGGATGACAGATCATGCACAGGAAGCTCCTTTGTTTGCTGGTGCAATTGCTCGTGGTAAATCTTTTAAGATAAGACAAACTTTAGTAATTCCACAACGGGGAAAATCACTTATTGTTAGCCTCTATCATGGCTTTAAAGCTACCATCTGTAAGTTTATTAGATTTTTTTTTTTACCAGTTAATGGCAAATGTGAAGCCTGTTACCCCCTCCCCCTTTTGTTCAGGCTCAGCTGTGCTCTCGTGTCTTGTTGTCAGGACAGTGCTGGCACACTCTATCAGACTAGCGGTAATGTAGATAGGATGTAGTGGTGATATGTGAGAGTACAACGGGGCAGACAGACCAATCTAACTACAGATTATAGCTTTAAAGTTAAAATCGAAACTTTTTGAAAAGTCTAAGGAAAGGAAAGAACAGGAAGCTGAAACCCATGAATACTTCCAGCCCTACCAAAAATCATACTTTCACAAATTAATTCATCATACCAACTGTGTCTCTGCTCTCCTTTTGCATAGTTGGTTCAGCGACAGTGATCAGTCCACTGGAGCTCATTCGTACAAAGATGCAGTCACAGAAACTGTCCTATAGAGAGGTGACAGACTGTATTCGATCGGCGGTGGTGGCAGAGGGGTGGAGGTCGCTGTGGAGCGGTTTGGGTCCCACTCTCCTCAGAGATGTGCCCTTCTCTGCCATGTACTGGTACAACTACGAAAGAGCCAAAGCTTTTCTGTGTCAGCACTATAATATCTCTGAGCCAACACTTAGTATCAGCTTCATATCGGGAGCTTTGTCTGGATCGGTAAGTTATTTAGTTTATACATTGCAAAAAACTGAATCACTATGAGTTAAATGGCTTTAGAATAACTCAATAGAATTAACTCAAGTTGAACTTGATATCAAGGGAAAAGCTTACTGATTTTGATAACCGCAAAATAAAAAAAAACAGTTACACACCAGAATGTAATTATTAACACAAAATAATTGTGGTTTCTGTGATCAGTTTCATTCTGAAATGGTTTAGGAATGGTACTGATCAAAATGTCCTTGAAACAAGTACAAAAATCTTAAGTGAAAGCTACTCAAAGCAAGCCATTATTCTTAATCCAAGCCATTTTGATTTATGTATATATTTCTTTTTGCAGTGAGCACAAAACCTTAACAGTTAGTTTGACATTGATCCAAGTCTTATGTTTCAGTTTGCATCAATTGTTACACTACCTTTTGATGTTGTCAAAACAAGAAGACAGGTGGAACTGGGTGAACTGCAAGCCAAGAACTGTAAGTATGATAATTATAATAAAGTTTAATGATTTTGTCCTAATATTGTAGTTCTGCTGTTGGTTTACCTTTTCTGTCTCTTATGTTTACAGTGTCGTGTCAGGGCTCGACTTTCAGATGTATGCGTTTGATTGTGGCGGAGCGGGGCTTTTCTGGGCTGTTTGCTGGTATGTTTAACCACTCAAAAACACTATCCTAATTTGATCAGATCATATATGTGTTTCATTTTGTTGTTGTTTTCCACCAGGTTTTCTGCCCAGGGTCATCAAAGTGGCTCCTGCCTGTGCCATCATGATAAGCACATATGAGTTTGGGAAGGCTTTTTTCTGTAAGCGTAACCTGGAGAAGTCATTACAATCCAGCAACATCTGATTTTTAGATTAATTAAATTTAATACCACTCTACAAAACCCTATCACTGACTACTAACAATGTTAGGAAAAGAGAAATATGCCAAGATCAATAAACTATGTGAAAAAAAACAGACATATTTAAGAAATGTATAGGATTTATTTATAATAGTTTTATGTTCACATTTATATTTTTTGTTGGACAAATAAATATTTTCATATGTAAAGCAAAACAGCAGGTGGCAGTATGAACATTTATTCCCTGTGTTTATACCGCACGCTCTTTGATTGTGTTACCTTGTGGAGATTCAGTCTGTTTCAAGAAGATGAGTTAAAATGTGAGAAGAGGACTTCCACGTCTAACCTGTGCATAATAACTGACTAAACTATTAAGTTATTTTATAGTCAGAAGATTTTTGCTTTAAACCAGGGATCTCCAGCCAGTAGGGCTTTACTCCTTTCTAAGTAGCTCACAAATATTAATTCTTCGTATGAAGCTTGCCAATTTTGATCTATGTTTGCATAACTATCTAATTAAAGATTAACTTGGAACTGAATTTGAACTAAACATTGACTAGACCAAGAACAGGACCAAACAAAGTCTACGTCAACACTCAGACGGGCTTGGACCAAAAGTAAACACGTCACCCTTAAAGCGGCTCATTTTGCACTAAATCATAATTTATGAATTATGAAAATAAATGTCCTTGTAAGAGTTATAAGGGGGAAAAAAATCAGCTCTCAAGAAATACAGTAACTTCCATTTACATTTTGTAAATTTTTGTCTCATAAAAGTATCTGTCAACGGAAAAGGTTGGAGATCTCTGCTTTAATATAAATGAATGCTTTTTGACAACCTAAAGGCATAATTCTGCAATATAAAAGTATACTGCTGGTTATTGGTAAGAAACAAATGCTGAATATTCCCTGACCATTGCCAACAGAATAAAATATTTTAGATAACATTTCGTCATTTGTTTGCAAACTTTTGAAATGGCATAGAAATATATTAGCCAAGTTACGTAATAATTATAGTAACCCATAATAACTGCTATATTATGAATTACAAGAATAAATTATGGCTTAATTCAGGTGCTTGCATTTACTTCTTAATCAAACACTGAGGCACATAACTCAATGGGCTTTAAACAGATAACATTGGTGCTTAATTTAACTAATAGTAACAAAACATAACAATTTTGCGGGTAAATATGATAATTCAATAATTCATAGTCCACTCAACAATCAATATAAATAAGAAAAATATGAAAATGTCAACATTCAGTAAATTAACCATTTAACACAATCTGAAGCTTGTACAATTGATAAATATTAAGACAGATTTCAATGGCTTTAGCTAAGGAACTGTGTATTCTTCAGTGGTCCAGTTGCTTCTGATGACCAGGTAAGGCAAACTTGTTGGAGCCGCACACTATGTTTAGAAAAGCTCTATTTGCTACCTGGCTGACAGTGACACAGTTTTATTGCAAAAAAAAAACAAAAAAAAAAACCCTGCCTTCACTTACTGGTATCAGAATGGGTTAAAGTTGCACTTGATGGCTGGCTTTCTAAACACTTAAACTGTGGTGGTTCCAGTAAATTCTTCAAACTATGAGAAGTACTCCTAAAAGAAAAACAAAGGTCAGTGAAAGAACATTATAACCTTTAAATTATAATAACCAGTGTTGTGAGTAACGCGTTATAAAAGTAACAAATAACTGTAATGTGTTGCTTTTTGCTGTAATGCAGTAATGTAAGGCATTACAGGGGGGAAAAATTGTAATATTTTACTCGGTACAGATGTCAGTAACGTGCATTACAATGCTTTTTTAACCTAGATTGAAGTGGTGGGTTTTAGTTTTTCTTCATACAAATTCGTAAAATCACTGTGATATCAGAAGCGGTGAAATGCCATCGTTACGGTTCCAAATGTCAGGATGGGCCCAAAGGTGCCCTGTAGACCGTCGGGTGACTGTGGGCGAAAGGACCGTCGCAGAACTCCACGCTTCACAGGGCTAATTGCAGCTGATGCACGATCGCTCTTTGCAGACACCCTGCTCCACAGGCTCGGGGTTCTCTCTGTCCTAGATTCCAAGATTAGTCCTGGTTTGGTCCTGGTTTAGTTCTCGTTTAGTCCTGGTTTAGACCTGGTTTCATCCTGGTTTAGACTTGGTTTAGTCCTGGTTCAGTCCTCGGTTCAGTCTTGGGTTAGACCTGGTTTAGCTCTGATCCAGTTCTGGTTCAGTTCTGGTTTAGTCCTCGGTACAGTCTTGGGTTTGATCTAGTTTAGTCCTGATTCAGTTCTGATTCAGTTCTGGTTCAGTTTTGGTTCAGTCCTCCTGGTTCAGTCCTCCTGGTTCAGTCCTCCTGGTTCAGTCCTCCTGGTTCAGTCCTCCTGGTTCAGTCCTCGGTTTAGACCTGGTTTAGTCCCAGTTCAGTTCTGGTTTAGTCCTGGTTCAGTCCATGTACGGCGCAAAAGTTTGGCATCTTCGCCCAGTTATTTTGGCAAGAGTTAAAAGTAATGCAATTGCAGTGTAATGCCTTACATTTTAAATACAGTAATATTTTAATGTAACAAATCACTTTGAAATGATGGTAACAAGTCATAAATAACACATTACAGTTTTTAAGTAACTTGCCTAGCAGTGATAATACATGTTTACTTACTTTTCCCACTGTCCCATGCTTTTCTTATAAAGCAGCGTATCCAATGCAACAGCGTTTGTGTCGAGGGCGTGAGGAGAGGGCCACTGGTTTGTGAGGTGGGCCGTCAGCTCCCGCCTGGACCGCAAGTCATTATTTTTGAGTATCGTCCTGAAGATGAAAGACACATTGAAATAACCAAAGAAGAATTCCTTTGCTTTTTAAAGAGGACTCATCATGATTTTTCAGGTTCATAAGTATAAGGGGACACTTAATTGTCTCTGTAGGGAAATTGGAATTGAACTATAACATATTAGGTCATTATTTTATTTAATTTTAGCAGCCCCCTCTATATTAAATATCATTGGCCTATAGAATGGTATGATATCATCTGAAACCCGGCTATTGCCTTTTGCTAATGTACTACTGTGCTTCCCTCACTCACAGCTGGTCCTGCAGCTCCAGTATGATGTACTCCAGCTGCTGTTTGTCCATTGTGTGACTGAGCTGTGCGTCCGTCAGGCTCTGTTCCAGGGCTTTGCTCCGGGACACGGCTTCAGACAGCTGGGCCTCTCGCAACCGCACCAGCTCCTCCAGATAACCCTAACAAACAAACAAACAAGGAGCTGTCATATTTATTCTGTTTACAGTAATATTGCAACATCAGCACTACAGATTAACTGTGGATTACACATTGGTAAAACAGTATTATATGAAATTTGAAATTGTGACATCACCCTCTGATAATCTGAAAAGTTATCGTGATTCAGAGTTTTTGTTTGATGCAGACATACATGCGGTTTACTGTTCCTCACTGAACCCCCTGCCTTTGTCATAGTCTGCGTGATTGACAGGTGTATTTAACCAATAAGAAACAGCTAAGGAAGAAAAATCTTTTAAAAGTGGACAATATAGCGCTTATCCATCTTCAAGGCACTACAAGCACTTCACATCAAGAAACCACTCAAACATTCACTCACACATTCACACACCAGTGTATGCAGACACTGGGAGCAAGTTGGGTTAAGTGTCTTGCCCAAGGACACAACAACAGTATTCATTGGTGAGAGCTGGAATATCACCACTGATCTGTGGATCAGTGGATCTGACTGCTCTACCAACTATGTTTATGTTAAGAGCGAGATTCGAACCACCAATACTCTACCTACTGAGCGACTGTCTTTTATACTGCCCTAAGATCTGCCTTCATAAATTGTCAAATCAAATCAAAACTGAGGCTGTTATTGTAAAAAACAAAATGTATCAACTTAATCAGATCTAAGTAAATAAAGGTAAAATATATAAAAATATTACAACAGTTCCTCCACATTGGTACATTACCCTTACCTTTTGCTCAAGGGCCATGCGGTATTTCTGCTCAAAGCGTTTGCACTTGCTGAACAAGGAGCTCTGTTCAGTGAAGATGGAGGCGGCTGTGGCGGTTCTGTCTGGAGTGCTGCTCTCACTGCCGCTGCTCCCCATCGTCCTCATCTCCTCCTCGTCACTGCTGATGCTGTCTGCACTACAACACCACACACAGTTTCAGACACTACATTTGATTTGGTAACACTTTGTAATAACTACCCCTACTTGGCCTTGCTTCATAATGGAACAAATTGTTATTAAGAATGATTCTGGCTTAGTAACTTCTTTAATTAATACACAAACACTAATTTATTACCCCAAGCCTTAATCATTCCTAATTAAATATCCAAAGTGAACTAAGTTTTTGATCATGCTTTAGACTAATTAAGATGTAGTTATTCTAAAGTGTAATCTTTTTTGTATTTAGTAAAATAAAGATTTTGTTATCTGGACCTGTTGAAGACATCTCGCCACTCATCCAAGCGGCGTCTTCACTTCTGGTGTTGGACCACTACCTCATATATGTCTGAAGGGAGAAGCCTACTACACTGAAACTAAAACACCCAAGTACAATAAGTGTCAACTACTTCTTTAAATGAGTATCTTGAAAAACAAAAAATAAAAAAATGTGCAATTAATGAAATTTTAGACCATGATTTTGTCATATCTCATCATCAATGATCAGTTTCGAGCTTTCTAATCAAGAGATCCACAGCACAGACTCCATAGAAATCAAATAAAGGTTTCTGGACTTTCTGAGAGAATAATAGTTTAACATTTTTGCATTGAAAAACCATAACACTGACGTCTTATCTCAGACCTTCTGCAGCGAGTTTAGAGAGTAATTAAAATCCAAATACCTCTGAACGAACTTCAAATATGGCGTGTAATCAATGACCGCAGGACAACTGCCATCCAGAGCCTCACCTTTCAGACAGAAACTACAAATACAAATCACAATGGGGTGGTTACATTTTATAAGTGTACAATGTGGTGCGGGAAAATAAATGATGAATATACCTCCTTCTTTTACATGTAATTTAATAAACCTAAATGTAATTCATTGTAATAGGGTTAGTGTTCCCATCAGCTTTGGTCTGTGTGAGTGGGAGCTTGTCTTTAAAGAAGAACGGAGCCAAGAAGGAAGACTCATAATATTTTCTCAGATTATTTTACCATAAAGAATCATCTACAAATCATCATTTCTCACAGTAACTGGATGTATCAGAGTCTTCCAGGCAAGTCGGAGTTTAATCCAGGCTATTGCATTAGATTGTTGGCACCGAATGGTAAAATGATTAGATTTAGGTTTAAAATTGCTATCACCAACTCTGCACCTGGGGTCATTTTCTAAACAGCAGCGGAAATTATTATGTTATTATGATTAGCAGTAGTAGGATTATTATGATAGATTTCTGGCTCTGAATTTGTTGACTGACACTCTCATCTCTTTACTCACATTTCACATAATTGTTCTGTAATAAAATGAAGTAATCAAAACAATAATTCAAAAAATCTAGATAAAATGGTCAATAAAAAAAAAAATTAATACCTGAAGTCTATGGTGTTGAGGCCGATGAGTGTGTCTGCTAACAACGCTGCTTCTTCTCCCAACATAATTGCCCCGTCTTCATAGAATCTCCTGCAATAAAATTAAATATTTAAATTGTGTTTTCTGCGTACACACATTTAAAGACAGTAATTAAATGTACCTGGTGATTCTGAGGTCTCTTAATGCAGAGGAGATGTATTCTGCAAGTCTTTTTTCCATTAGGACTATTCTGATCCAAGCTCTGCCCTGAAAACAAACCGTAAACATTAACATAGTTAGAAGAAAAACTTACACTTTATACAAATACACACAGAAATACACTTTATCCAACCTCATGTGGGTGTAATTTATGACAAAGCGAGTTACAAACCTATTTCTTTTGACGTTTTGTTATAAGGAGTGTCTTGTAGTCATTTCTTTTTTCCAAATTTAGCATTATAATTATTGAGCACAACATTATTATTATTGATTAAAAAAACAGTCTGGTGCAAAAATATGTGCATTTTATTGGCTGTGTGTTCATAATTTTTAGAGAATAAACAAAACAACAAACAAAAAATCAAGTGTCTTTGCTCTTTACAGTAGAGACATTTCACACAGAGTGAAAATCAGGAGGGTGTTACATATTTGCGAGCGCACCTTTGCTCTGGAGGACTGCACGTTCTCCATGCTCTCGATGCTTCGGATGCAGTTATGAGGGACTTTGTTACAAGCCACTTTAATGTAATCCCAGAAACTACGAGGGCTTTCATAACCAAACCATGTTGTCTGACCTGGAGAAAAAACAGAAGAAGATCAGCACATAGAATAGGCATCAACAAAATTCATTTTACTTATGAAACTTTTCTGGAAAACGTGCTTGTCTTCATGGAGATGTTATTACTTTGCCATGAATATTCCACATCGTGACATTAAACTTAACCACCAGTCCAATAAAAACACATGTAAATTAATAAATATTTGATAGCTATTTTAATGCCCTGGTGTTGAAATAATGGCAAAGCATTTCTTATCTTTGGAGGTATGCACGTGAAGTTACTGTGCTGGTAATAACTAATGCATGGAGCCAATTACATGGGCGATGTGCACTTTTAATTGCGGAGGACAAAATTAATCCTTCGCAATGACATCACGCTGGGGGTGTTCTGCTTGCATGTTTATGACAGGATGTTAAGATGTTAGCATGGTGACACGATGCACACAAAAATACAAAATGGATTTAAAGCTCATTTACGAGGTTTTATGGTGCTTAGGTGTTTGATTTTCAACAAAAAGGTGAGAGTGACCGTTGTAACGCGACAATAGATTGTGACTATAACGTTATTGGAGAGGCTACTTGTTTAGCCTCACTTCTTGTAGTTTTAGATAAGCCCAGTTTTTCTGGTCAGATTGTGTCAACATAAAGCTCATATTAAAGACTAACTTGAGTATCAGAGCTTTATTTATTCATTTATTTATTTAATGAGACAGGGACAGTGCACAATTTTTACATAAACCTTCACAGGAGAGATGCATTATACCAGGTTGTAGCACCAGTACTAATTTTCACCTGTAGTCCCTGGGCAGGTTCAGTGATTGATTGTATTTAATTGACCTTAACTATCAACTGTTCTTGGAGACCTGTGTAGCATGTTTTGGGTTTTGGGTTAGCTTCAGACAGAGCAGTGTCTACAGTTAGCGTCACACCCCCAGGGAATGTTGTCAATGATGAGCTGTCAAGTATCAGTAAACAACAAACAGTGTGATTTCTTTACCTTTGAATTTGTGACAGAGAATATTTTCCAGGATCGAGACAAAGTTTGTAAACTCTGGAGATGAGTCGTCTATGGTCTCGAAACAGGAACGGTCCAACAGTGTCTTAACAGAGAACCTGCAGGTAAAAATAAACATTTAATTTAGTTGTGCAATGTTATTTTGGAAAAAATAATCATATGAACGATAACTTCTATAGCCACTTTATCTCTGCTAGGTAATGTATTATTGTCTAAGTAAAACTAATGGTCCATTCAGGTTTATTCAGTGTTTTGTTGAGTTCAAATTAAATTAATCTGGGATAAGATATTTTATCACTTGTCTTATTTCTCTTGTGCTGTACTGTTAATGCAATTTTCTCGTTGTGGAACTAAATTATTTGTCATCCTATCGCCTATTATTCATAACCCCATTCATATAAAACTGCTAGAAGGACATCTTATATTAATCAATCATCTATGCTTATCTCAGCCTATTTAAATAAACTGGCGTATATTTGCTTTAAACAGAGGACTACTGTCAACCATCCAAATAAAACCAACATTAAATACGATCAAATGCATGTGCAATATTTTAGAATAACAAAAACACCCGTGCAGTTTAGGCTGTGGAGCTAAAGGGCGCTGCGCTTTGAATCAATTAAAAAGCTGAACAAACCAGTGACCATGACCTAAATGCGCTGGCCTGTTCACTTCGCCATGATGACCGAGGCTCCGGTACCTGCACACGGTGAGCAGATTCCTCCTCTCCACCACTGCGCTTCTCCCGGAGGCTGCCTGGTTCTTGCGGACGGGATGTTGCGACGCCATCACTCCGGGATCGATGCGTGGTTCTGGGGGTCGGTGTCTCTGTGCGCAGCCTCCGGTCCACCACCACCAGGAGCCGGTGGGTGTAGCGCCCCCTCCCCACACAGATAACGTGAATAAAGGTTACGCACGTACAGGAAAATAAAATGGGAAAAAAAGATCATTTAATGATAACTTTTTCATTTAACAGCAAATTTCACTTCAGTCAACCAAAAAATGAGCATCTATGAATTTAAATTTTGGACCAAATTATGTGTAAAGTTGCTTTAGGATGACACCTAGTGGTCAATAAAAGTACTTACAAGTCTAAATGAGATAGGATATAATAAACTGTTCATATGTCTAGAAGTACATATTTAGCCTATGCTGAAGTCTAACTCAGATTGGGCTATTGATACTTTACAGGTTGCCATTGTGCTCTTGAGCAAGACACTTATAACCACTTATAAGCCTGTGTTTTTCAAAAGTATACTTGTTTAGAACTACAATGGGAATGATGTTGTCCACTTTTAGACATGCCTTAGCCCTAGATTAGACCTGGAATAATCCTGTTGATCTGGTATTCGGAGAGTCTTTTCTTTGGTGGTGTTTGGTGTGAAAAGTTTTGAACCGTGTGTAGTTCCTTAATGCTACCTGTTTGAGAAAAAAAGTTAATCATTTTATGTGGATGTTTAACCACCTATACATCTACTAAATAAATAGATTACACTGAAACCTGTATTGTGAGTCATTCACAGTGACCAGCATTCATCCACTCTCTTCAAAACCACAAGACTTGCTACATAGTCCTGCATCCTGATAGACTATAGCAGAGGCCTCCTAGCTTTTTCAAACAGAGAGCTTTTCTTATACACACCAAAAATGGCAGTGGTGATAGGTATGTGATGATCTGAGGGTGGATACAATGGCTTACGAGTTTCAGGTTGGAAACCAGGATGATTTATGATGATGACAGAAACTTGTTGTTGGTCTAACTGATTTTCCAGCAAAAAATTATAACTTTTAAAGGAGATTTCTATTTATGCACTCACTGAGGAACCTGAGAAGAATCTGAAAAAACCTGAGAGGATCCTGCTCAAACAGTGTCCCACAGGTGATAGTAATTGGAAGGATTAACCCTGAGCCAAAACAAAACAAGAGGCACTCCAACAAGTTAAGCTGTCAACAATGACACAAAGGCTGATTTATATGTCCGAGATGATTTTCAGGTAGGTTGGCAAAATTGACAAAAAAAAGAAAAAAAAAAAGAATAAAATATCTCTATAAAGTTGTCAAATGAATCACAATGCACTGGTGGTTTTCAGACTCAGTGTGATTCAGTCGTCTGCATCTACAATATTCATTAAAACTGCCACTCATCTGTATTCATATTGCTTTATATATCACTAAGATGTCACCTGAAAGCCAGCAAAGGGCAATTTTATTGAAGAAAAATCAACTCATTTTTAAGTCTCAATCCTGCCCCAACATGGTGATAACTTGTACGGTATAATACGTCATTTTATAGAGTGTTGGCTGCTGCTTCACCCACATGCTCAGATAATATACAGCACGTGTAAATGTGTTTTACAACTTCACCAGCATGAGAAAACAACCTTTGCACTGGTGATTTTTGTGTAAAAACTTTTCCTTTGCTTTTCTGTTCCAAGAAATGTGCAACATTAAATAAGTATACTTAATAAACTGGTTACATCACATTTTAACAAGAATGAAACTCATCTTGTGGTCTTATAAGATTAAATACAGTATTTCAGACTCATTTGTCTTGATGCAGAAATAGGCCAATCACTTCACCCCAGTTTTTGTTTGTCCATTGATTTATTTAATCTTTCGTAGATATGAATGTGTTATTTCTACTATAGTTCACCTCACTGTGTTGTCAGAGCTTGTTAAAGGTCCACTAACTTTTTGACTGAAGGCTGCATCACATCACCTGCTTGCATGGAGATGTTCTTGATTTGCCTATAATGTTCCAGGGTGTTAGATTTATCTCAAAGCAGGTGTCAAGTTAAAAGTCAGATCTGTGGAGAGGCAACTCTTAGAGAAAGGATGTGTTAGAGAAAATGGCAGGATTGTAACTGTCTGTTATTATTTGTGATGTGCTTAGGAATAAAGCATTCTAGATCGGACACTAAAAATGTATATTGTTTCTTCGATGTGAGTTGTAAAGCAAGGCAAGTTTATTTGTATAGCACAATTCGTACACAAGGTAATTCAAAGTGCTTTACAGAATAAGAAATACATTAAAATCACAATAAAAACAAATAAAAACATAAATAATCATCATAAAATTAAAAAGAGAGAGAGAGACATTAAATTAGAGAGAAGAGTGCGGAATGAAAAATTTTAAGTTTTTAGCCGTTTGCAATGTAATTTACCATCTGCCTCTAATGCCATACTGTGGAACATCTCCCTGTATCACCAGTCAGTGACATCACAAGGTGGAAAAGAGTGTTTTCAGTTTAACAGAAGACCACAGGTTGAATGTGCAGGATTTGTGTGTTAAACATTTGTGAATGAAACAGTAAGACATAGACCCTTTAAAACCCCCAAAGTGTGGCCCCATAGATGTTTACACTGCCACCTGCTGGACACAGTTGAATATTGCCGTTTGCGGTATGTAATGTTTAACCAGGATGATGATTTAACCCATCATGTCTAGGGCAGAAACAAACAGATGGTATAATGTGTTGTATCGATTTTTAAACAGATTCGTCTTAATAAGAGGTGGTTCTGTTTAATTTGACCAGTTTTAGCAAATGATCATAATAGGAATAATGAGGCGTAACAAGGACTAATAAGGACATTTTTAGGTCTACTAGTATTTCATTGACTGCCCATAAACCTCAGATTGGCTCTCACGCTTTCGTGTACAGAGTGCATTGCCCTTTTTCCTGTCTTTGGTGTGACTGCTGTAAATATCCCGAAAGATAAACTCATAAGAGCCACGTGAGGAGGAGGAGCAGTACCAGTGACGGACCCCAGACGCACGGACGCACGCGAGAGAGACCATCTCCGCCAAAAGCTGTTCAGGATCAACGTCCAGGAAAAACAACATGGGGTTTGTAATTATTTAGAATAATTTTTGCTTTATAGCAGGTTAAATATATGTGCCATGAAAACAGACACCGCTAAACCTATTATGTAATGAAACTGTCCGGTCTTCAGTATTTACTTTGCGTGTCAATGACTGACTTCCATGTTCGCCCACCAAGTGTAAAATTTTAATAGCATCTACTTCTACTACTATTGTTTAAAATGTTTGTGTTTGTGAGTATAGAGAAGGCTACACGTAGTTTTGTCAGTTGTACAAGGGTCTGAAATATTGAATAAAACTTTTCTTTTGTATATTCTGTACAGGGCAGACCTAAAAGAAAAAGAGGAATACAAAACTTCTGAAAACGTTGATAAAAATGGCACATTGAGGTAAACTCTTTTACTTTATCCTACTATAACTTTATCATTTTATTTCCTGGAAAGTTAAACTTAATCACTTCTTGTGTTGATTTGTATCTTGGCGAATTCGTTAATATGTAATTAAATCTATATGTATTTTGTGATTTTATTTATTTAGTAGCAGTAACAATACAAAGGATGATGAAAAAAAAGAGAAAAAGAAAAAGAAAGAAAAGGAGCCAACGCCCCCTATGGTCGGCCCGATTGCTCTGGTAAGTTTTTCCACCAAATAAGATGTTTTAAAGTGGTGAAGTGATGAGAGAAAAACCAAGCAAACTGACAGTTGTTATAGTATTACATAACATTACACCATAATTCAAGTTATTTAGCCTATTTGCCTTAATTGTTTTTATTTGGCATCATTATTACCATAGATTCAGTTTAAAGATACCATCTGTAATTTTATTGAACCACCTCTCCTCCCTCCTCTCACCTGGCTTTGTTCAGGCTCACCTGTGCTCTCTGGTCTTCTTCTATCAGGCCAAAGCACATTATCAGAGCGAGAGTGTGAGAATCTAATTGCAAATGGTATCACAAATTTAACATTTTCTTTACAAATATTCCTTTTGAATCTTGATCTGCCAAGTCTCTGTTCATTCATTTACTGTAGATATAGTGTGTGAGACATATGGCAAGCTGTTTTAACATTTAAACACTAAACTGGATATGTACTACAGATAGGTCTAACTTAGTTTTGCCTAATCAAAAAGGATTGGGTTTCATAATTACGGATATCTACAATTCACTTATGGATATCCACATCATAAGTTACAGATATCTACAACTGAATTATAGATATCTGTAATTCCAGTTTGAGATATCTACAATTTGATTCTGACTAGTCATAACTTAAGTTCAAGATATCTTTAATTCACTTCAATTGATGTTCCATTTCAGATATCTTAAATAAAGTTGCAGATATGTATATATGCAAATGATCCCACTTTAGGCAGGAGCGGAGCATTTCCACATGGCACCTGTAGTCTGTTAAAGGAAAGTTATTTTATCAGTAAGGTCGCCAAAATGCATCTTAGGGTCTTTTTGTTAATGGACTCTAGTGAAACGTTCGTTGAAAATTATATTAACAACAAAAACTAATTTTAACACAGACATTTGTCAAGCTTTAGAGACAAATGGCTTTTTGGACGGTTTGTGGACTGCTAGTAGCCCGAGACAACGTGGTGCTTTCTGTGTCATGATGTCATAATGACGTTTGAGATATCTTTAAATTTCAATCTGCCTAGTCAAAACTGCATAACAGATATCTGCAGTTGTCATTTATGATGTGTGACGAGTTGTGTGACATATTTACAAATTGCAAATATCTCTAACTATCCTTTCGTCTAGTCAAAATTATATTACAGATATCTCAAATGACAATTTCCCACTATCCAAAATGAAATTATGCCCAGTTGGTGATATCTAGAACGTTATTTCCGGAGAGTCAAACTTAGTGTTTAAATGTTAACACGACTTGCCATATGAGACATAATTGTTGGCCTGTAAAGAATAACTTTACTGTATTCACCTTTTCCTGACCTAAGAACTTTGATGTCACAATGTCAAATTATATAGTTTTGGTTTCACGTGACCCACACTGACCCAGTAAAAGGAAGTACAGATTACTTTAAATCAGATACTTTTGCTAATAAATTTTATAGCTATAGCGTGAAATATATGATCAATAAATGAATTAAAATAAACATGCTTAGCTGGGAAAGTCTCTCTAGTGTGTCATGTTATACCTGCTGAAAGAGGTTGTGGTAACTGAGTTTTAAACCACAGCACGTATTCACAAGGTTTGAGAAACAAGGGGGTGTAACTTAAGTCATATTGAACAAATGTGACTGCTGTATTGTGGTCTTTAGGCAGAAGTGATACCTCTACTGTGCAAAATAAATGACAAATCACAATCTTTAGCCTCTTGTTTCCTCTTTCGTACTTTGATGACCAGTTCAATTAAAACTTTAGAGAAGCCTTTGTCGTCATGAGAAACCTGCAGAAGAGGATATTTATAATTAGGCCATTTCCTGTGTCTGGGCTGAGATTCAAATATTGCGGAAAATATGAATCGACTCTAAAATAAACCACAAAAGTGCAGAAATATTACTGTGTAGCCTAAATTAAAAGGTCACATTTGTTTTATTCTAATCAGCATTTTTGTTATTTCAATTTTGCATTTAGCTTTACCTGCTTGCAAAGGTATGACTAAGATATTCTCAATCATTTTAAAGTTTAAAGCTTTAAATCAGAATTAACCTGTTGTATTCTCACATAACACCACTAGATGCTTTCTATGTTACTGCTGTCTGACACTGGGCCAGCAAAGGGCAGGTGAAGGGAGGGAACAGGTTTTGCATCTACCATCTACTTGGTTAAAACCTAAAAAAAAAAACTAAAAAAAACATACGGATGGTTGCTTTAAAGTTTCTGAAAAAACAGACCCTGTTTTTCAGTTCAAAGTGTAAATTTAACATCATTTTTTTCTTTTGATTCTCAGCCCTCAAAATGACATACAATGGGTTTTTCATATGTTGTTACTGAGAGGATGGGAGTCTACCTTGTTCCTGTTGTTTGGGTTCACAGCGAATGGCCCCTGTGGAGAGAACACAATGGGAGCTGTGAGTTTGAACTGCAAATTTTACTGAGACTGTTTATTTTTTCTGCAGTTCAGGTTTGCAAACAGCTCAGACATCCTGCTGATTCTTGTGGCGAGTGTGGCGGCGATGGGCAGTGGTGTGCTCCTTCCTCTCATGTGTGTTGTTTTTGGAGAGATGACCGACAGCTTTGTAGATTTCGCCAAACTCCCACCAAACATTACTGATCTCAGTGAGTATTCAGCTTTATAATCAGAGCTTGACTATTAGGGCAAGGTATCTATGTAATTTTTTTCAAAATATGAGTCACTGACCTTTCCTAGAACAATTTCTTACTTATTTGAAAATATTTTTATATAGTATTACCCCTCCTCACTCATATAGTTACACACTTTCATAAAATGGTCTTTTACAGGAATCTATCTGACAGATTCTAAGACAATAAGCTATTTAAGCCACATATTAAATATAAATCTAATGAATTAAATATAAGCTATAAAAAATATATGTTACTAACTGTAGCTAGTTAGTAACTTCTGTGGTTAACTAGCTTTGCTCATCTCCCCTGACAAGAAGTTTAAGAATTTTTGAATTTCATGCAGTTCTTCTTCCATAAAGTTTGGCTTTGGTGGCATTATTGTCGTGCTTTGGCACTCCTTTAATCAGTCACTTTATGTATACTAAAGTGGGAATTTTGCTTGTGGAGAGGGCACAAGGACTTCACCTGCAGTCACATTGTGGAGAGAACCACTAAAAGCAATAATTGCTGCTTTAAAATGTTAAAGCAATTTAAAGTTTAAACTGATATAATTGAGTGTGGTGAGGGTTCATGGACCATGACTATTATGATTGTTGACATTTCTTTACAATGTGCGTTTTTATTAATTTACTGTTGTCTTCCACAGATATAACATCGTATAACAACACGCTGCAAGAGGATATGACTCGGTAAAACTGTACTCATGACAGTGTTTGAGATACATTTAGTTTAAAACTAAAATGTAATGAGCAATGTTGTGGACTAAAATGTGACCAAAAAATAATAAATTAAGTTTCTTTAAAGGTCCTATATTACACAAAATGGATTCTTGTGAGCTTTAAGCCTTGTTGTTAACTGTTAACACCTTTAGTTCAGTAGAGATTGGCAAGCGTGTGCTGTTGTAAAAGCTGCTGTATGCTTTATTCTGTTCTGTGTTCTCCAGCTATGCCATTTACTACTCTATCATGGGAGCCGTGATGATGGTGACTGGCTACTTGAACATTTCTTTCTGGACCATAGCTGCAGGTCGTCAGGTCAAACGCATTCGAAAGCTTTTCTTCCATGCGATAATGCAGCAAGAGATCGGCTGGTTCGATGTCAACGAGACCGGAGAACTCAATACACGTTTAACTGAGTGAGTCCCAAATGTGTCTCTTTTATGTGCTAAAATTATGTCATTGGAATACAAAACTGTGGTGTGCAATTGTAAAGAGTGCATACTTTTAAATTGTAGCAAAAATTTTATGATAGAATTTACAAAGTGTAAAAATAGATGTTTGATCAGGTTAATGTCAATATCTCAGCATTTACATGAAATAAGAGAATGCACTATGTAACTTTTTATGTTTTTTTTTTTACTTTATAGCATTAGACACATCTATAGGTGTTATTAAAAACACATAAATTCAATGGGATCTGTAAATCTTGCAAGCTTGTGGAGATAGAAAAAAATAATAATCTGTGGAACAGTGGAACGTTCCAGGTATTTACATTCCAACTAATAACCTCTATGGAGACAAGCAGGTGATTAAAAAATAATAAAAACACATGAAATCACAAGATTAACATAGTGAGGTTGTGGACCTATATCCCAACAATGATCAGTTCTACCCAATCCAGCCCAGCTCGTATAACATTGCCCCCTTCACTTGACTGATTCATGAACTAATCCTATTGTCATTCTTTTATGATTTCAGTGATGTGTATAAGATCCAGGAGGGCATAGGGGATAAGGTGGGACTTTTGATCCAAGCATTCACCACTTTCATTGCATCCTTCGTCATCGGCTTCTTCAAAGGCTGGAAAATGACCCTGGTGATTCTGGCTGTCAGCCCTGTGCTGGGAATCGCCGCGGGGCTTTTCAGTAAAGTGAGTGTGTGAAAGAAGGATTTTGTTGTGACTTACATTTATTTTTAACCTGGTTAACACTGGATTGATATGTGTTGCACTGTGAGGTGAGTTATACACATTGTAAATTTGCACTGGCCTTTGCTGAAAGCAGTCGGGAAAAGGTGGTCAGTCATGATGAAGCACTACAACAAGAGCAGAACAAGGCGAAAAATATAACTTTTATTCAGTCCATTTGAGAGAAATGCACAGACATACAGTCAAAAACAAAACCGTATTTACTCACCATGATTGTTGTGGTTTGAGAGCTTCACCTTTGGATTCTGCCCAAATCACAATTAATGTTGCTCTGTGATTGGTCTGAACCACCTTTTATAGCTCATAAATGGAATATCTACAATAATTAAAATGAAATATTTTAATGCACGAACGTGACATGACTAAATTGTTTAAATGAATCTTAACAGGACAGCTCAAAACAAATATGTTTTGCAGTGTGTTTGAAAGTCGTGTAATAATATTGGGTCTCTGTCTTGTATCTTGCTCAGGTCTTAACAACGTTTACATCCAAAGAGCAGAGTGCCTACGCCAAAGCTGGAGCTGTGGCAGAGGAAGTGCTTTCAGCCATAAGAACTGTGTTCGCCTTCAATGGACAAGACAAAGAGATAAAACGGTCCATCTTCTGCTAATGATGTAGAACAGATAATCAAATCAGGGCAAAGGGCAGTGGGTGCTATTAGTAGCGATCTTGATGTAATATAAATTTTATTATGAGACAGATCAATATTCCCACAATCTAGCAATGTGCTGAATTGTCTTTGTTGACTTTTGGTTAGTATATTTGACTAAAAGGGGATGGGTTATTTTTATTTTTCATTGCTGTTTTTACTGATTATTCAAAAAATATATCTCACTATAATACTATGATACTATAATTTCCATAATATTTTGTATACAATATAATGCCCACCTCTGCCTTGATAGTGTTTTACTCTCTTTATGATAATTAAACTTTAATTAGCCTTAATAAAGCATGAATGAAGAAATAGTAGTTTATTAAGAATGATTCAGACTTAGTAAGTACTTAATTAAAGGTTTAAAAGTTACAGTTAGTGTATGAATTAAGCCGTTACCAAGACTGAATCATTCCTAATAAACAATTTGTTCATTATGAATTAAAAGTCCTGTACCTGACTTTTACTTCCTTAAAAAAGTGGAAAATGTTTTTGCAGTGGTATTACTCCCCGCAAACAGTTTATTAGCACTTTTCACAACTACTAGCATGCTACCACAGACTTCCTGATATTCTTTATATTCGGTGCAGATAGGACACAACTGACTTATTCTGACTTCAAGAGCTACTTATACGAGATATTGGGTACAGGGCCTTTAAGTTTTTGTTCATGCTTCTTTAAGGCAAATTAAATCTATCCATTATAATGTGTTTGTGTATTGTTGTTTATTCACAGATACAAGGTAAACCTGGAGGATGCTAAAAACATGGGGATCAAAAAGGCGATTTCTGCAAACATCGCGATGGGCTTCACGTTTCTGATCATCTACCTGTCGTACGCTCTGGCCTTCTGGTATGGCAGCACTCTGGTACTCAGCGGAGAATACACCATCGGGAGTGTCCTTACTGTGAGTGTTGACAAAAACTTTGAGTAAATTACTGAAGTGTATTTTTGCATGTATACCTATTAATGTTGAGTTTGTTTGTTTATGTGTTTTGAATTGTGAAATGTGTTTTTTTGTCTCAAAATGGGGAAAAGGCATGATTTTCCATTCACATATTGTGGGTGTTTTTTTTTTCCTTCTTTTTTTTAATGTATTATTTCTTCTTCTAAAATTAAAAAAAAAAGTTCATTGAATAATAAGCTACTACATAACATTTCTGGAGATGTTATTATATTGCCTGGAAAGTTCCACAGAATGACATTAAACTTAAATCAGCTTGCATTTACTCAGTAGGTGTTTTACTGCATTCTTACTCTGAGCAGGGTTTCCACTCCACAGATCTGACCTGCAGCTTGGTCTATAGATACATAGGTTTAATGAAGTACTGTTGAATAGAGGTCTGCATGGGACAGACTTTTCAGTCCTGCTCCCGCAAAGAATTATAATTTTCATTCCCACTCCTTTCCTGCGATATTTTGTCCTGCTCCCGCCCGCAAATCCCGCACATTGGGGACGTTCTCTTTCTTAAGCTCTATCAAACACAGAGAAGCAGAAAGGAACTGTCTAAAATGTAGGCGAGATTAGGCCACGTTTAGGCTGCTTAAAATGTTTTTGATAAAATATCCAGCACAAATTATGTATGAAAGTCATAAATTAATCATTTGTATATTTTACTTTACACTCATATTTAGTTTGCGGGACTGGAGGTTATCATCCCACCCGCCCGCTCCCACATTGTGCAGTCCCGCTTTTGCCCCCACCCGCAATGAGCTTTCAAAATGTGTCCCGCGCCGCACTGTTTTGTGTTGGGTCCTGGGGGTGCAGGGCTCTACTGTGGAACATTCAAGGGAAAGAAATACTGGAGGTGGTGGACCTGCTTCCAGAAAAGTTACATAGTGCACCTTTTAAATGTACTATTACGTGTATCACTTTGCCTTGATGTAAGAAAAACACACATTGAGACCTGTCTGAAATATCTTATGCAATCTTAAGTTTAGATTAGGGAAAATTACTCAAATGTTGTTTTTTTGGTGAATATAGATGTTTTTGCAGTGTGGTAAGTACATCATATGACCAATTGTTATAACTGAATGTTGTGTTTTAGGTTTTCTTTGTGGTTCTTATTGGAGCCTTTTCGATTGGACAGACCTCTCCAAACATCACAGCGCTTGCCGCAGCTCGAGGGGCGGCACACAAAGTCTACAGCATCATAGACAGGGTGAGAATATAGTCACTACTACTTAAAACGGCACAACAATTTAATCAAAATTGCAATGTGAGTTGGCGCAATTATCAAATCGCAAAGCTAAGCAGTTACTTAGATAACAGAAGTCAACAATATAGCTTGTCTTTTTATAGAAAAATCTCATTGTACCTGCAGTTTATACCTATACAATATGAGGTTCTTGTATAAATTTTATCAGTTCAGATTTCAGTCTCAAATGTTAATGCTCTCACAATTGTTTACACTGTGCACTCTGAACAGAATCCTACTTTTTAAACATAAATCATAAATCTTATTGCAATACTTGTCAGAAAAATCACAAGTTGGCTAATTTTACCCCAAATCATGCATGATCTACTACTTTGATTCTAAAAGTAGTTTATTAGGAATTACGAGTAGGATTTAAAATAGGATTTTACTGCATTCAAACAAGTACCAAACCACAATAACTTGAACCCTATAAGACTTCCAAAGTTTTAATAGTCGATGTGAAATCCTGCTAAACCAAGACCAACAAAAGCACTATCAAACGTCTCACTACTTTATGTAAAATTGTTGTATTGTTTTAGGTTCCTACTATCAACAGCTTTTCAGAGGAAGGCTACAAACCGGACAGCATCAAAGGCAACATCGACTTTAAGAACATCCACTTCTGTTACCCATCGAGGCCAGATGTGAAGGTATGAAGCTTATCAATCATTATACAACTTTATCTGTTGTTTATGGCATAACTAACAAGTGATTTTCTGTAGGTTTTAAATGACATGTCCCTCAGTGTGAAAAACGGACAGACTATTGCTTTAGTGGGGAGCAGCGGCTGTGGAAAAAGCACAACGATACAACTGCTGCAGAGGTTTTATGATCCACTGGAAGGATCTGTAAGTAGGATTAAACTATTATGCTAAAATCGGTACACAGATACTAATGTCATACTAAAATTAAAACTAGTGTTGAAATTAGATACTCATTTGAACTGGTATTAATACTGTTACAATACTGGACCTGTCCTGAATAGTTTTTGATTTCATATCTGAACTCAGATAAGACAGCATTGTCATACAAAATAAACTACTATTATATTATGTTAAGTTGTACTATAATTATGTGATGTTAAGCTGTCTAAGAATTGTGTTTTTTTTAATACTGATATCAAGAATCAATCCTTTCCCTTAGTAACAAAATAGAGTTTCAGATTTTAGTAATGTTACGTAACAACATAAGTCAGTAATGTAATTGAAAATTAAGGTAAAAAGAGGGCTATGCCATTGATACAGTTTTATGTATGACTGCAGTTATTGTTCAAGTTTCAAAAAAATGTCTACTTGAGAAAGCTAAAAAGCTAAACTTATGTGATTCCTGTCACAGGTTTAAGTAAAATGTAATATAGCAAGTAAGTAAGTACTTACTTAAAATGTAATATCATTTTCTTTTTGTCTTTTCTGTATCCTTTTTTCCCCATAGATCTGTATCGATGACCATGACATCCGCTCTCTAAACATCCGATACTTGAGAGAAATGATTGGTGTTGTGAGTCAGGAGCCCGTCCTCTTCGCCACGACCATCGCAGAAAACATCCGATATGGACGAACTGACGTCACACAACAGGAGATCGAGCAGGCCGCCAAAGAAGCCAACGCCTACGACTTCATCATGAACCTGCCTGATGTAAGACACAATTCATCTGCCTCCTTTGATAATCTCACACAGCAAGATGGATTCTCGTGATATTTGTGAGTTCACAAACTTAAGAGAATCCATCTTGGCCCCTGCTGGTGTGATAGGGCTCGACAGGTGGTGGACAACCAATCACAGAGCAGCACTGAGGTTTATGTTGAAACCAAAGGCGAAGCACCTATTTTAGCACCAATATGGACTATGCGCTTTGTGCATTTGTGGAAGATGCCTGTGCTTTTCTCTCAAATTGATTTAACTAAAGTTACATTTTTCCAATCAAATTCCTAGTCATCATGGCATTTCATGTTTTCTGATCCTTTTCAGCTTTCCAGATTGATAATATGTTCAGTTCGAAGTGCTACACATATTAAGCAGGTTACTGTTTTTCTTTACTTTGATTTTCTTTTACTTTTCCGTACATAGAAATTTGAGACTCTCGTGGGCGACAGAGGGACTCAGATGAGTGGAGGACAGAAGCAGAGGATCGCCATCGCCCGAGCTCTCGTGCGAAACCCCAAATCCTGCTCCTGGACGAAGCCACATCTGCTCTGGACGCAGAGAGTGAGACCATCGTACAAGCTGCTCTTGACAAGGTAAACAATGACATGATTTATGTGTGCTGTGTGTTAGTGTGTGTGAGTTGGTTGGCGGGTCTAGAGCTTGAGTCATTTGAATATTTTCTAAAAATGTATCTGGTATTTCCAGTGTCCATTTGTTTATACTTCTTACTACTATTTTTGCTAGAAACATGATTGAAAATTATTGAATAGAGACAATGGTTTACTAAGATACCATCTAACTAAAAAAAATCTTAAAGCTAGTAAAATTAAACAAGTTTAATTCTGTGCATTTTATCATTATGAATGAATTTAAAGTTGCACTTTGTAACTTTTCTGTTATAGCACCTGCTTCTCTTCATGGAGTTATTGCCTTGGCAAAAATGTTCCACAGTATTAAACATATCTATCTTGCATTTATTTAATAGGTTGTTTAGTGCTTCATATTATCTTGAAAAATATTCTTTCTTATTGTGAGTGGGCTTGCCTCTTCACAGATCTGACTGGCTCACCTTTAATGCCATACTATAGGATATTCCCAGCAAAGCAATAACATTTCCATGGAGACAAGCAAAAACGTTACATAGTGCACCTTTAACTTACCCATATAGATATTATTTTTCTCAGTATAATCATTACTGTTTGCAGGTCAGACAAGGTCGTACCACCATTGTCGTGGCCCACCGCCTCTCCACCATCAGGAATGCAGACGTCATTGCTGGATTCCAAAACGGAGAAATAGTGGAACTTGGGACTCACAGCAAACTGATGGAAATGCAAGGAGTTTATCACACACTGGTCACAATGCAGGTAATGGACTGACGCGCCACAATTATGTAAATGATATAACACAACATGTCTGTGTAATTCTCTTGTTGTCCAGGTAACATCCATATCAAAAGAAAATTCTATTCTGTCAACTTGGATGAGCAGCAAAATGTCTTCACTCTTAAAACTTTTGTTCAGTTGACAGAATTTTCTTTTCTTTTCATATGAAAACATAAAAGAAAACATTTTTGAATTCAGGCTATTAATTTTATATATTTAATTATGTCTGTGTAATCCCTCAGTCATCCAGGTAGGTTCTGGCCAGGCTGGTGCCACCTATTGTCTCCACTCAGTTTCATTTCTCTAAAGTGACTAGGTCAGGAATCAGAATACACTAGACGGTTTGCAAGAACACCAGAAGTTGTGGACTGTGCACCGGCCAATCAGCGAAGAGCTGAAACAACTCGAATTGCGATAGCAGACTGCATACACTATCCTCCTTTGCACTTCCATTGTCAAATACAAACTTTTACAACTATATACAACAAATACAAATGCATTTTTATTGCACCTTTAATTAAAAAGTTCACCTCGCAGAAATGACAGTGATCGTTGACAGACATGTTCACTCTCTGCTTTGTTTGCTGTTGCCGGCAATTACTTGGACACCGCTGAGGGTTCCGGCACATTACATATGTCATGACCAAATAGCATCAATTGCTTAAATAACAAAAGTATCCACCTACCGTCGAGTGAACGAACCCTAATGTTGTGAGGTCAGATGGTTTCCACGAAGTGAAACCGGCTGATGAATCAGGCTAGGTAGATAGTAATTCTTTCAACTGGACAAAAGTTTTAGAGTGACTGCTTTACATCTTATATGCGACCATTTCCAGTCAGAAGTCACTTGTATGAGCAGCAAAACGTCTTCATAAGAATTAGGATTTCTTTTACAGTGTTTTAACTAGTTTAGATTTACCTTAGTTTGTATTTCCAGATTACTTGACCTGTTTTTAAGACTGTTTTATTATTTTTTGTTTTTTAATAATTTGGTAAGAAATTTTATCTGTGACAAATCATATTCATGGATTTCAGATTCCTGTTATAGGCAACATTTTGAGGACTTTTTCCCATTAAAAAAATAGAATAATTTGTTTAAAATTGTTCATCGCTATCACAGCTATTCCAATTTTTCACCTTTCTAAATCCCATAGATATCTTGAAATACAGATTAAATAATGAAGGCAAATCATGTACACTTAATGTAAACTTAATATCTAAAAGAATTAAGATGATTTAAACTAATCTATGGATTTCATAACATTTTTCAGAGCTTTAAAAATGTAGAAGAAAGCGACGATGAGTTGGAGGATAAAGAGGACGAGGAGGATGAGAAAAGTTCTTTAAGAAAGACCTCCGTACGCCGCCGAAAATCCACCAGAGGTTCCTCATTTGCTGGAGATAAAACAGAAAAAGACACAAAAGATGACAAAGACAAGACAGAGGAGGTATGTTGTCAAATATTCACCTTTTTATAAAATTATATGTCAAAATATCCCTTGTGGATCAATACTGTGTTTCGAAGATGGAGCACCGGGGCTAATATAACATGGATAAGACTTATTTTAATGGAAATTATCACATTTAAAATCCACAAAACTCAAACATGATTCATTTAAGATAAGACTTTTGTTGCTTAACCTACAATGAACTACAATAAAAGCAGGTTTTCATTTTGGTTGTGTTTATTGAACTGAAAAACTTATCATCTGGCTAGGAGACGGGCCAGATATGGAAATGTTGTTCGTTTGACTATCATCGTCCAGATAAAACTTATCTAACTCCGTGGGTACTACGATCAAGCTTGTGTGGATAAAGAAAAACAGCTTTTTGTCAATACTCAGGTTTTTCTTTTTTATAGATGCCATTTTGAGCACTGTTTAGGAAAAATAGATTTGATTACAACAAGGACTTTCAAAAGATACAGCTGCAATGTTTCAGTCGAGACCTGTTGATAGAGAAAACATTATAATACCCTGGACTTTGTTTTATGTTAATGAGCCCAGTACTTACAGACATAAAAACCTTAAACCAAAACTTGATAGACAGACTTTATTGATCCACAAGGGAACTATACCCCACCTCTATTTTAAACATAAACATCAAATGAACTTAACCTGTTGATGAGGTTCATTTTGCAATTAAAAGAAATATATTTAATGTATTTATTTATTGGAAAAGGATCTGTACATATGAATCAACATAACACTTTATTTATTTATTTTATTTTATTTTTTGTATATATTTTTTTTCAATTAAACAAAACAAAAAAAAACACAGAGGAGATGAGTGCCGTTACAATCGTTCATTGAAATATCAGTCGAGATGTGTTTGCAGTATTAATTTTTAAATAAAGTCTGATCTAATAGGTTTCACATAGTCAGTCCATTTTGTCCATGTTTCATAAAAAGGATAGGAATGGTTCCGAAGGATGAAAGACAGCTTTTCCATCACATAAATTTCATGGACCATTTCTATCCACTGCTCTACTGATGAAGGATCTGCCCTCAGCCATTTGCTTGTAATGGCTCTTTTGATTGTTACAAGTAGGGTTGCTTTTTATCATAATTTCTCCAATTCTGGACATTAACATCTCCCAAGTATAAACACTCAAACGTAAACATAAATTTAGACTCAAAAATGTGGTTTATATGACTCCAAATCTGTGACCAATAAGATTTCAGAATAGTGCAATCCTAAAAAATGTGATAGTGATTATCCCCAGATGAGCCACAGAGCCTCCCACCTGAATCTCCATTCCCTTGGTGTCTTTTTTGAATGACTGTGATAAAAAAAAAAAAAAAGCTTACAATATTCTTCCATCCAAACAATTGCGATGAATTAGATAATGCTATTTTACATTGTAACTGACAAACATAACACTGTATAAATGTGCCTGAGTTAGATGATTTTAACTCATTTCCATCTGTATCCCTTTTGCCAGATGTGTAAATGGCAGCTGAAAAGTAACCCCAAGAAAAAACACACACACACACAAAAATTACAAAAATGAATGGGTATATAATAACAAATACATGACAAATACTATTCAATCGTGTCTTGTCTATGTTTTGCAGGGGGAAGACGATGCCCCTCCAGTTTCATTTTTCCAAGTGATGCGTCTGAATGTCAAAGAAATTCCTTACATTGTGGTGGGGGTGATCTGTGCTATAATAAATGGAGCCATGCAGCCGCTGTTTGCAATCCTCTTCTCCAAAATCATCACTGTGAGTAAGAAAGTGGTTAAAGGTCCTATATTATGTTAAGTTGATTATTGTGAGCTTTTATCTGTGTTAAAATGTTGTTTCCTCACCAAAAACATACCCACAGTTGTGTTTTGTTTCATTCACATGTTTGAGTAAACTTTTATTATCAGTCTGTCTACATCGTCAAAGCTCAAAATGCTCTGTTCCACCTTGTGATGTCATGAAGCAGTAGTTTTCAAGTTAACAGCTCCTTTGGCCTTTAGTTCAGCAGAGATCAGGGAGGTGAGATACTGTGGGAGTTTTGCCAGTATAGCTTTGCAAATAAAAAAATATTTTTATAGTGATTATCAAAGTAATAAAATTAAGTGCTGTGGTAAATAGTGTCAATATTTTTTTGGGGTACTGTTTGCTGTGTGAGCATAAATAATGTCACCATAATCCAGTGAAGAAAGGACTGTAGATTGAATTAATGGTTTCCTATTTTTATATGAAAAATGTTTTTATAAGAGTGCTTGCTCATTGAAACATATATTTATATTTGCTTATGTTTTATAGGTTTTTGCAGAAGACGACAAAGAAATCGTCAGACGAAGAGCTACTTTCTTCAGCCTCATGTTCACTGTTATTGGAGTAGTGTCTTTTGTCGCCATGTTTTTACAGGTAAGATTATTGTAAAAACAAAAACATAACTCCATTTTCATTTTAGATACTGTACTGTTGTTGTAAAAGACACTATATTTAATTTAATTTTATTTATAAACCAATACAGGTTACATTGCATTAGACCAGTGAACACTGCCATGATCTTAATATTTTGGCATGCAACCAATAAGTGCAGTTTTAACTAAAATATTCATAAATAAGTAAATAATTATATACAATTTCTGTTAAAAAAAATAAATAATCGAATTCTTGTGACCCCAGTCTTGTGTCGTCTTGTCTTGTCTTGTGTTCCACTGCGAGTCCTGACTTTTATGGACTTGTATGAATGCTCTTAATAACATCTGGATAAATAAAACATGAACATATCTTTGCACATTTTCCACAGGGCTTTTGCTTTGGTAAATCTGGAGAGCTTCTGACGCTGAAACTTCGACTTAAGGCATTTACCGCTATAATGAGACAGGTAAATGGTGCCGTAATTAACTGTAATTTGCCATTAGATACAGCCTATAGATTACTGTGTGTGTGTTTTTTTGTTTTTTTTTACCGTGCAGGACCTGGGCTGGTTTGATGACCCCAAAAACAGTGTTGGAGCACTGACCACCAGACTAGCAACAGATGCTGCCCAAGTACAAGGGGCAAGTCAATACTTATTGTTTAATAATGCAGCTCAAATTTAATTGATAAATAATAAATATCTTGACTTCTTATTGATTAACAGATGAAGGTTTTGTAATGCTTAAAAGAAACTACTCTATGTAACTTTTCTTAACCACCAATGGCTCATCTCTATGGAGATGAGATGGTATTGCTTTGCCTGAAATGTTCCACAGTGCTCCATTAAACTAATCTTGCATTTACAGAATTACAGGGTATTTTATTGCTAAAGTAATGTCTAACATGCTCCTCTCCACTTACTATGGAGGCTCAACTCTCCACAAATCTGACCTGTAACTTGGCCTTTTATTAAAGCCTGCCAGTTTCCATGGAGATAGCTAAATTTAATGCCATACTAAACATCCCAGACAAAGTAATAATATCTCTGTGGAGAGACGCAGGTGGTGGACCCAGCTCTGAGACAAAATGACAAAGACGATGTGAAACTTTAAGTCAGTTTCTGTATCTGTATCTGTATATGTCCACACAGATACAGATACAAATTTTGCCAATTTTGCCTCTACATTTTGCCAGACAGTTCCTAGACACCAACTTTTTTATATACCTGATATTCAAATATATCTTGTTGTATTTATTTTTTAGGCCACAGGAACTCGTTTGGCGACATTTGCTCAGAATATTGCAAACATGGGCACTAGCGTGATCATCTCATTCGTGTACTGTTGGGAGTTGACGTTGCTGATTTTGGCCGTCGTACCCGTCATAGCTCTGGCTGGAGCTGCAGAGATGAAGCTGCTCAGTGGACAAGCTGCTCAGGACAAGAAGGAACTGGAGAAGGCAGGAAAGGTAGGGCATCTGGGTATATATTACACCCCAATAACTACACTATTAAAGGGCCCATATTACACTGTTTTCTGATCTATGTTATAATGTTGGTTCCTCATCAGAACTGGAGTTGTGTTTTGTTTCATTCAGTCATGTTTAACACAGAAACCCTGCTTATTTAGGTTCTTAGAGTTCTTCTCTCAAACAGAAAACACTCTGTTCCACCTTGTGATGTTCTATGGTAATACAGGAAGTGCTCCACTGAGTTTTCACTTGAATCATTTGGATAATTTCAGCCCTAGAACTGCCAATCTCTACTAAACACAAGGCCAAAGGAGCTGTTAACTTGAAAACTGCTGCTTCATGTCATCACAAGGTGGAACAGAGCATTTTGAGCTTTAGGGATGTAGACAGACTAATAATAAAGGGTTACTCAAACATGTGAATGAAACAAAACACAACTCCAGGTCTATTTTTAAAGAGGTAACAACATTCCAACATGACTTAAAGCTCACAAGGTCACAGGAGTCAGGACCTTTCGTTTTGGTTATGCAACAACTACAACCCTGTGCAATAATAATATTATGTTAGAATTTCCTTCGGGATCAATAAAGTTTTTATCTATCCAAAAGCACTATAACAAGAAGATAAATTTGCCATTCAAATGCCACATATTCCTAAATGTCCTTTTGCAGATTGCCGTTGAAGCCATAGAGAACATCCGAACTGTCGTGTCTCTCACTCGAGAATCCAAGTTTGAGAATATGTACGAGAAAAATCTAAAAGTGCCATTCAAGTAAGTAGCATTTTTTTCTTCTGTGTATTGATATTTAAAGGTTGGTAATACATTTTTAAAAAGAGATATATTATGCGAAATTGACTTTATTGAGCTTTTAACCATGTAAAACATTTATTTTAAAATATTTTCTGTTATCTTTGTAGTGTTTTTATTTAGTAATTGTTTTTTAATGTTTTATTTTCCAGAAACTCTCAGAAGAAAGCCCACGCGTACGGCCTCACATACTCCCTCTCTCAGGCTATGATCTACTTCAGCTACGCCGGCTGTTTCCGCTTTGGAGCTTGGCTGGTTGCGGAGGGGCGGGTCAGCGTGGAGGGACTGTTCCTGTGAGTTTTTGTTCACTTGTTGTTTCAAAACTCGAGGGGTAAACAACTCAAAATGATAAACAAAGCAATAAGATTTTAAAATCAAAACAAATTCATAAATAATAAAACAAAAAATATAATAAATAAATAGTTAAACATATATAGTAAAAAAATATATATACAAATTTGGATGAATTGAAAGTGACATTAAGGCTGAATAAATGTGGGATTTCATAAATCTCCACTTTGAAACATATTCTAAACAGTTCATTGCACTGATCTGTAATCTGGTCAAATTAGATTTTATAAAATTAAAATAATGTCTTAAATTTTGCACCTTTTAGGATGCTCAATTTTCCTGATTAATTCACCTCCCCCACAGGCACAGACACCCGCACACACACACACGCACACGCACACACACACACACACACACACACACACACACAAAGCAGAACCACCAACCTTTAAGACAACCAACAATCACTCATTTACACAACACATTCATTAAGGAGGGTGAAGTGTCTTGCCCAGTGGCACTAAAACAGTATGGACCTGTCTGACCTGAGTTTGTGTGTGCGCCTTTGACTTCACAACCTTCCATTCTAAACAAATTCCACAGAGTACAGTTCTCAGAGTTAAACGATAAAAAGATCAAAGTTCACAAATGTCTTGAAGCAGGAGAAATTTACAGTTTTCTTAATGTTTAACTGAGGAGCTTAACCCATGATATTTGTTAATGGAAGAGACTGTTCTTGCTTTGGGGTGCTCGGTGGACACGCACCAGTTAGATTTGAATTCCCATCTGGGAAATTACTTTAGTAATCACAGTAGTTAAATTGCAATAAAATATCTATCTAAAAGACGACAGCAACAACAACAAAAAACAAATCGAATATGAATGTATAAATTAAGTAGAAGTTAAGTTTTACATGATAAATTAATCAGAAATTGTAATAATAATGTTTCTGGGTAATTTATAGTGCACATACAGGATTGGGATTGGGGTTAGGACTAATCTTCTTACAAATGGAATGACAGACTTGTTTAATTATCTTGCTATTTCTATTCTATTCATGAGCATGTAAAGGATTTCTTCTAGATTTGAAGGATTTGACATGGCTCTGTTATAGCAATAAAGCAATTCAAATGAAATGGGGAAATGTCCTTCCAAAATTCTTCAAATTAAGAAGTCACCATTTACCTGAAGTTTTACAATATAAAAGTAAAATATAAAACTGTTTACAATATTTATTGTAGAAGTGAGTTAAATATTACTCAAGTGGACTGATTATATAGTCTTAATATTTTTGTTCTTCTTTTCAGTGTGATTTCCGCTCTTCTGTATGGGGCCATGGCTCTGGGAGAGGCCAATGCTTTCGCTCCAAACTACGCTCGGGCCAAAGTGTCTGCTGCCCACCTCATGATGCTGATCAGGAGAGAACCTGCCATCGACAATCTCTCAAACGAGGGAGAAACACCGGTACAAAATCTTTTCACTTTTTTAACAAATACATGCACAAAACTGGAACTGGAATTATGACTATAATTTATACAATACTTTATACAATACTAACACAATAATTTGACTATAATACTCTGTGGGTAAAATATATAGAAAATCTCTTTCAGATTGCTAATGATTTGCTCCACAAACTCGTGTCCTTTTTAATGTTATTGATATGTTTCGGTTTCCTGTGTATGGGCTCCATTTTGAGTACTTTTTACCATTGAAAAAATATATATTTTATCTTGAATTGTTATTTACTATAGAAATGTTTTCTCTCTTTTTGCTCTACCCTCACTATAGTTACTTTGTATTGACATAAAGGGCATTTAAATGTGGCCAATTTTTTATGTTCATAGGCACTGTGGCTGAGTGGCTAGCACTCATGCCTCACAGCAAGAAGGTTCTGGGTTCGATCCCCGGGTCGCCCGGGCCTTTCTGTGTGGAGTTTGCATCTTTCTCTGGATGGGTTTCCTCCGGGTGCTCCGTTTTCCCCCATCAACCCATTGTGTCCTTAGGCAAGACACCCCCAGTTTGCCTAGTATGAAAGTGATATGTGTGTGAGTGATGGTGGTGGTCGGAGGGACTGATGGCGCCGAGTGGCATGGCAGCCGCGCTTCTGTCAGTGTGCCCCAGGGCAGCTGTGGCTACAGTAGTAGCTTACCATCACCAGGGTAGAGAGTGAATGAATAATGCTGAATAAAGTGTAAAGTGTCTTTGGGGACAGAAATGTCTGTGAAAGCTCTATATAAATAAAGACTTACTTACTTACTATTAAATAAAGATATTATTACTCATAAAACATTATAGGAGTAGGTTTTACCATGTTATCGCCACCACATTGATTTGATTGATTTCAGATGATACATTCAACAGCCCTGGATATTTTAGACAGGGGCAGGCAAAATTACTATTAATATATGCATGGTCTGGCTCATTATAGTGGGATAGAGAACCTTGTTGATTTTACAAATGATCAGCTTCAACATTTGTGGATTTAAATTTTAGGTATTTCTTACGAAAACTGTAAAAGACCAGATAATCCAGAGGCCATTCAGTACCCTGCATTTTAGTCTCAAAACATACAGCAAAACTGACTTTGGTTAACAGCAAACATGAGCAATTATACCAATATAAAAAAAAAAATTGTGGCAAGGGTCGTCTGCATTTTTCACTATTGAGGACAGCTTTAATAAACAGAGGAATACTGTTTTCCACTCCACACTTCTTCTTAGGGAGACACATCATCACATTGTAAGATCTGAAAACAAACAAAACAATTTTTCATAATCTTTGTCCTCTCTGTCCACAGCCGGACTTTGAAGGCAGGGTTCGTTTTGAGGGAGTCACTTTCAACTACCCAACTCGCCCCAATCTGCCTGTCCTGCGGGGTCTGGACCTGGAGGTGGGCAAAGGCCAGACCCTGGCCCTGGTCGGGAGCAGCGGCTGTGGCAAAAGTACCACCGTGCAGCTCCTGGAGAGATTCTACGACACTCTTGAAGGCAGCGTGGTGAGTTCAGATGTGAAATGTACCTGATTCTTTTAGAGATAATTATTTTGATGAACACAAAAGCCTAATCTTGCTCAGCAACATGGATTTGTGCGATATTTGTCTGTTCACAACCTCACGTCAGTTAATCTTGGCATGCTGCCTTTGCTGAGTCAACCAATCACAGAACAGCACTGAGGCGAAGCTCCCAAGTGAACCAAAACTAACAAGGCAACGCCGACAGGTGCACTTCAGCCTATTTTAGGGAAAATACAGACTCCTGAAACTGACTGATAATGAACTCAAACAAAGTGCTACACAAAGTGATACACATATCAGTCTGGTGTGATCCAGGTTAACCAAAGCCTACAATAAAAAAAACATTCCCTGCATCTCTGAATGCGTCACAATCAAATTTGTCCCCCTGGGACCATACCATGAACAAACAATCAGCTTGTAATGCACTGGACTCCCCCATCGCAGATCAAACACATGTGTGCAAGATCTATAATCCAGCAGCCTTTTGCCTACTGCCTTTAGCTAATGCTTAACTAGTTTTACAGTCAGTTTACAGCACACAGATGAGATGGTCACTTTTGTACACAGTGAAATGTTAGTTTCACAGTGCTTCTTATTCACATTTTATTATCTTAGAATGTTTTCAATGACTCAACTCTCAGATAAAGTGATAAAGTGATGTTGCACCAGTTGCATCAGTAAATAAGGATGAATCAGCATTTTTAGTCACATTAAACACCTGGTATATGAGAATAAATATGTATCTTTTATGACATATAAAGCAAGAGTTTATCATGCTAATAAATGGTAGGTTTTTCGGCTTTGTTTTTATCTTTGTACTTTGACCCTGTTAGTCATGAATGCTGTCCAAATTATAGTATCATACTGTATCATAATATTCATGTATGGATGTAAACTTTTAACACTAACTAGAAGGATATAATTTATGAATACAATTGAATTTGTGATGTTGGGCCAATATTAAAAAAATAAATACCAAATCTTAACATTTAAACAGACACAAATTGGAATATACTCTACCTACCTCTGGTTTACAATGATTCTAATATTGTCAAACCAGTTCAGAACAGTATGAAAACGTCACAATATCATATTTTCACAAATCCTTTTTAACAGTTGGGTTACAATTATCATGAGGAAGAACGTAGTTATTGTATTATTACCACCTATTATTATTATTACTTTACCTATTAATTTATTTTCATTCACACTTTCTTACAGACAGTTGATCTCTGAACTGAAATGATTTATTATACTCAGTAGTTGACGATCAGCTTTTGGAGGCCCCCTAGTGTCTGGTGAAGCATCTGATCTGAAACTAAATTGGAAAATATAATCAATCTAAAGACTAGTAAAGTATAGTAGTGTTTTCAGTATTTGTATTTATCTTGAACACTTTAAACTGTAGAAAAGGACGGACAGGTTGTTGAATGGGCTTGGACATGGAGGGACAGACTTGGAACATTTAGATAGATAATAACTGCAATACATATTATTTTATTTAGTTTCAGTCGTAATGCACAGAAATAGATATTGGAATAGCAATTTGTGGCTATATATAACTCTGAAAGTCTTCGTTTTTTGCTAGAAAAAATATTATATGTTTTCTATGGAAATTTCACATTTTGTTCAGTTAATGTGGCATCAGTGACAAAGCAAAATGAGGGACATGAAATGGCTGTGTAGAAAACGAAAAGAGGGACAGGTAGTTCCAGAATGATGAAAAGTAAAGCCATAATGTCATAATGTCAAAATATGATTAACAATTTAAAACAAAAGATTATATATTATGAACCTCCTCAAAATGTGACAAAATAATGAAAAACAACAACATTTATTGTAGGTTTTCTGTGGGTGCTCCAGTTTCCCCTACTACTGAAAACATGTACAATAGAGTCCCCTGTGGGGCCAAGACTCCCTGAAAAAGAGATTTTTAATCTCAAAGGGAATGTCCTGGCTAAATAAAGGTCAATTAAAATAATTGGTAATTTCTTTATGTTCATAATAAAATGCAATTCTCTCTCTGTGTCTCTGTCAGATGCTGGATGAGAGAAATGTGAAGCAGCTGAATGTTCACTGGCTGCGCTCTCAGATTGGGATCGTGTCCCAGGAGCCTGTGCTGTTCGACTGTTCTTTGGCCGAAAACATTGCCTATGGAGACAACAGCCGCTCCGTTTCCATGGAGGAGATAAAGGCCGCTGCTAAGATGGCAAATATTCACGACTTCATTGAAAATCTACCACAGGTAAAGCAACATCTGATAATACCATTCACCTGCTGTCTATGTTACCTATCCTATATCCTAATGATTTTATACCAGCAGTCTGGACACACCTTCTAAAAAATAATAATATAAAGAAAAAGTTTGACTGTGACAATTTATTTGGTTGTAAATATTTTCTTGGATGGGAGATTTTCATGGTTATTTGAGGCACTGCAAATATAAGTTATTCACATTCTTACAAAGTAACTGCCTTAAAAGTATGACAAATTAGACTATAGAGCTTATTGATTTAAGTTAATTGCCCCACAACGGGAAATAATAATACATTTTGTCCCCCAATGGAACCAAAGCCAGTCATCTAAATGAAACACTTTTATCAGTGTCATCTGAAACTCATGCAAACTTGGTTTGGTCCTGGTCCAGTCCCAGTTTAGTCCCACATTTGATGTGGCGTGTTTGCATGTGGGGAACACAGTAGTAAGTGTTGTGTGTTTGTCTGAGCAGAAGTACAACACTCAGGCTGGAGATAAGGGGGCACAGTTGTCCGGAGGTCAGAAGCAGCGGATCGCCATCGCCAGAGCGATCATCCGCAATCCCAAAATGCTGCTTCTGGACGAGGCCACGTCTGCACTGGACACTGAGAGCGAGAAGGTCAGTTTCACTTTGAAGTTATACAAATGAAAAATAATACAAATGTTATCAAAATGTGAGTAATAATGTTTAATAAAATTGTATTATTTTTTATGTATTCAATATTTTACCAGGTAAGTCAATTGAGAACACCTTCTCATTTGCAATGACGCATGTGCTATGAAGTTTTAAAGTCTGTTGAAAAAAATATGAAAAAAAGATACTACTGTCAAAAAAAAGTTAAATTTGATCACTGTACTGTATATTTGTTTATGGATATATATATATTTTTATTTACAAGAAAAAAATGGTTATTGCACTGAAAAAAATATGGGTCCTTACTGTGAGCGAGCATGCATCGCCGCAAACCTGACTCTTATTTGGCTTCCTCGTTCTTGTTTCCATGGAAATACTGGCTATAATTTTTTGAGGGAATAATTATGCATGCTAAGTTCATTTTTCCACCGCATTTTTCTTTCAGGTCGTACAAGACGCGTTGGACCAGGCGAGCAAAGGCAGGACCTGTATTGTTGTAGCTCACCGTCTCTCGACAATCCAAAACGCTGACCGCATTGCCGTTTTTAAGGGTGGTGTGATCGTTGAGCAAGGCACTCATCAACAGCTACTGGCCCAAAAGGGAATCTACTACACACTGGTCACCAAACAGCTTAACCGGGGTCGAGAATAAGAAGTGGGACCAGAAGGGGGCGATAGTGCCTTTTATACTGAAGCGAGGGGCATCATGCTTTATATTGCCTTTTTACACCAGTTTGGACGCCACTACAACAGCACTGGACAGCTACATATGTTCAGTGGGGCCATGTGCATATCAGATTTAGTTAAAGGTGCATTGTGTAACTTGCTTGTCTCCATGGAGATTGTATTACCGTGTCTGGAATGTTCTATTGAGCATTTATTCAATTATATTTTTATGGTACAAAAATCTCTTGAAAATCATTCATTCTTATTGTGAGCACGGTCTCCACTCCACAGATCTGACCAGTAATTTGGCCTGGTAATGTCACCTGGTTGTTTCCACAGAAATAGAAGTTGAATGGCTTATTTTAGAAGATTCAAGGCAAAGAAATAACATCTCCTTAGAGACAAAAGGTGGCAGACCCTCCTCCAGAAAGGTTACACAGCGCTGCTTTAAATACAGAGGACTCTATGGGTGCATTCACATTTGCACATAAGCCACATCAGAATTTTGACTTAGCACTAAACCTGGACTAAGCCAGGACTAAACCAGGACTAGAAGAGGGCAAAACCAAGTCTGCAAGTGGACTAAACTGGGCTCAAACTAGGACTAAACTAGTATGAGAGTGAACACGTTCCATTGAACATGAATAAGTGTAACCTTTGTGATTTGAGACCATTACACTTGCGATTCAGTTGCCATTGAATCTTGCAGTTCTAATATTTAACAACCTTAAAAACATAATTTGATCTACAAAAGAAAATGTTTACAAAAATGTTTATCTTGTTTTCCAAAAATGCCTGAATTTCATTTTCATAAATTTGTAGATGAAAGGGCAACAACTTAAAGTGGCAGAGAGCAAAAAACAAAAGGTGATTTAGCATAATGCCCTTTCTCATTTGTACTGTCATATTTAATCTTGTTCACTGGACCCTGACACATTTACTTGAAGAGTGTACAAAGTGTTCTGTTATTTACTTTTCTCTAAAAGTCTGTTTACATGAGTTCTCAAACAGCAAAGCCAACTGAATGTATACATAAAGGACAAATTGATAGATTCCAGAAAAAAAATTTGAGCTGAGACAAAGGCCAGTATTTTCTACACTTAAATCTTAAATTTAATAATGCCGTTTGTTGTGCACTATTGTGTTTTGTGCCAATTATTGCACTGAAATATATTGTTTATTTTTGTTAGTCACTCCTGTCAGAAAATGTGAACTGAAAATCATTTAATCTGTGCCTTGTAAATGTGTCCATTCTAAATAAATTATGTATTAAAAAGATGAATAGTTGACACAGAATTTTGCTTTTATTTCATATAAGATTGTGAAAATGTAACCAGAAAAGATACCAAAATAAAGATGCAAAATAAAATTCTCAAATTCTTATAATAAATTAGCTATATAACAGCTTACTGTCTTTTCTTACACATCGAGTTTCAGCATGAACTAAAGAAGGCAGCTGGTTTTAAAATGGGACAATGGAATGGATTAGAATTGGAATAAGTACTCTTTAATACGTCTTTAATAATGTAGTTATTCAAGAAGGAGCATCAATAACTTCATACAACAAGAAATTAATTAAAAATATACTAAACTTCTAAAAAATTACAGACAAAACTATACAATTTCCAATTAATGAGACTAAACAGTAATGACATTAATAGATTGCGTTCAGCATTCTAGAGTCCCTATAGCTCAAGTTTTATTTGGTGCAGTTATACAATCCCAAAAACATGACTGAAGTCAGTTGAAAGGACTTTATGCCTTAACATTATTATGGCAAATTTGTGAAGCCAAACTAATGAAATAATGACAAGGTTTGTGGGCACATCTTCCATAGAGTTATATAGTCCTCCATGTGAAATTCTAACACAACCTATTACTACCTTTGCATTGATGTGTGCAATCTTCAAGTGTATTTTCACAGGTTAGACCCTAAAACACAGTTAATAAAATTATAAGATATTCTTTAAATGATTGCCTATTTATTTATTTATTTATTTATTTTTTTTTTTATATGTTTATTATTTCACTTCCTGGTTGAACTCGGGCAGCAGGTAGAGGCCTATGACATGTAGAGGTAATTCCATAATTGTTACTTAGCAACCATAATGCAAACAAAAAAAAACTAGATTTCACAATTGTTATGATTAGATTAAAAAATGCTTAAACAGGCAAAAAAATATTCCTTGTGCGTAAATTGTCTCTAAAGTTTGGAATTTTCAGTGTTGAATAACATGACTGCTTTTGGACTCATCACTATGTCCTTTCATCATGTCATATAAGCTTAACAGAACAATATAGACCAGCGTTTGCACAGGTGAAGAGCATGTGAGCTTTTCTTTGGTGGAGCCTAAAGCTGAGCTGTTGTAGCCAGATGAAGCATTTCATGCAGAGAGCTTGAGAGGTTGTTAAAATACGTAGCAGCGTCTGTCCGATGGCAGGATTTCCACGCAGACACAGAAAATACAAGCCTGAGGGAACATAAAAACAGTTAGGTGGAATTGAGGAGCTCCATGCTGACTGATGAAATTGGCTCTGGAAGTAAAATTACAATTTTGCTTTTCTCGCAGACTTTTTTTTTCCAAAAATATTAAAATATTCAAGAGTTTTAAAGGTAACTAATGTATAATATGATTACGGTACATTATTAATACTTTCACTTTCATTGTGGATGCTTTTAATGCACTAAAAAAATTGTATCCTTACTGTGAGCAGGCTCACATCTTAGGCGGAGGGCCTCCTCCTGCTTGTTTCCATGAAAATGTTGTTCCTTTGGCTTTAATATTTCACAATATGGTGTAAAACTTATCTTTTAACATGGTTTAACATTCTACTGCCATGGAATCATGCAGGGAAATTGCCATCTCCAGAAAGTTACATAATACTGCTTTAAACTATGGCAAAAGTATTTGTAAATACAGGTTTTTGTATATTATAAATATAGGTCTTATGGCCATTAGTTTACACATGGTTAGTCCACAGCAAACTTTCAAAGTTTGATGAAGTTTTCTATAGGTGAAAATGAATGGGGATATTAAACCCAGAACCAGTGCAGTTTTGAGGTGACTGTTTCAGGTGTTCAATCATTTTAAACCCAATAAAATTTAGAAATAAATGTCCCATCACCTGTCGTCTCGAATACGATAGAAGACTCCATAGCCTTGATGCACCATCGGAGCCACTGCCCCCAGTACTGTGGTGTAGCCCACCAGGCTCGAGGACAGTACAAAGTTACCTCCTCCCCCACTAGACATAAGGGAGATATGTTATTGCTTAAACATTAAACAAAATTACAGGTGTACATTTGTCAGCATACCTTTTTGAATAGAGGGGGTCTTTGTAGAGCTCTGGAATGGGAAGTCCCTCCTCTTTAGCGATGAGGTAAAGGCCGAGGAGGAGTCTGTCAAACCCTGGTAACATTAGACATAACATGAGTAGCATTTGGTAATCAGACATAATAATAGAAATAATAATGCATCAGTTTTATAGTGGTTCTCTGGACACTCAAAGACTCTTTACAGAGCACTATTCATGCACTCCACACTCGATGGAGGTAAGCCATTATTGTACCCACAGCTGCCCTGGGACAGACTGACGAAAGCGAGCCTGCCAATCTGCTATTACATAAAGGCTGCTAACTACATAAGCCTGGCTCTTTCTGGCTCTCATAAGCCTGGTTTACTTAGAGGTTGATTACAGAAAAAGTTCATTTTAGTCAATCAGTCTGAGATCTTATTCAAAACCTGAACGTGGTACAGAAATGCTTTAACGACTGGGTTAAAGCCTGAATTATTTATATTTAAGCTAGTTTGATATTAACTCTGTTTCTGAGCCACTTTTTAGGGATCATCCCAAAGGTGTAGGGATGTTTAAATGTTGTATTATCTAATACATCACAATGCCTCCATTATTATAATTAGCCTATAGATTAAACAAATACAACAATACTTATATACTTATATACCTTTATATATATAATCTAAATAAAGAAGACCAAACTGGACCTCAATGAAATTCTGTGACACAACGGAAAGATTATTATTTTAGTTTGTAGATTATATTGTGACCTAAATAATCATGACTGCCAATTAACTGATTAAATCTGACTTTCCTACACAGGTGTAACTAATCTGATTTAATAGATGCACAAACCTTTTCCATCTTGAGCTTCTGCCATTAGTTTGTTGTGTTTATTAAAAGCTGATAGCATCGCTTTCCTCCTGGTATTCATCTAAAAGAAATAACATGTCAATATTATCATAAAACACATAAACTATCATCTGTTTTTGGTCTTTTTTTTTCAAACCCTCACGTCACATTTGGGGTTGGCCATGGCCTTGCACCACTCCACAGCCTCAGAGGTGCAGGGTCTCATCGTCTCTGTGCGTCCGTGGAAGAATTTACGTGTCATGGCCGTTTCATAACAGCTGCCAGGTCTGGGACAGAAACACTGAATCAAGTTCAAGTTAAAAAGAACCTGTTCCAGATTTTAAACTAAGGCTGTAATGATTAATCAGAATATCAGTGACTAATCAAACATTAAAATAATTGCTGGCTATTTTAATGCTTAGTTGTTATGTAAAGTTTACACACGGATTCACGGTAAACACTTTGATCACACTGAAAGAGAATTTGTGTCTTGTTTTCAATGATCTAACCAGAAAAACATGAATACGAGGCCTATCAAAGTAAAACACAAACTGTCATGATGATTGAAGTGTGTTCACAAATGTCTTGATTTCAGTTTGATTTCAATAAGCAGGTTCATTACCAGCAGCAGCTTTGAGTGCACTGCTGCTCAGGACAGGGGGTGCTCCTGCCACAATCTCGCCCTGTCGGCTTTGGGTCGCCCTACAGACAAAGGGCTGGGCCAGGAGCACATGTGCGTGAGGATGTGGTAAACTCACAGCAGAGTGTATACAGTCTGTGAGTGCTGAATAAGAGCAGACTACTGAAGTCAAGCACATCGGCCCAAAATATGAGTCAGCCCACCGAGAAAACTCTCTGTCCAACCCTGGCTGTTTGGAAAACAGGCAGAGGACCTTTGAAGTTAGTGAATATCTAGACTACGTTTGCTACACTTGACACAATCTTCTTACTCATTATAAAGTCGGTAATAGGCCAACTGCATCGCCAACTGGACAAAAGTGTCTGGATGCAGCTTCCTCTGTTTGATGGCCGTTTTTCCAAAAGCAGTAAAGGCGTAACAGACAATCTGTAGATCCCTCGTCTGCAAAACAACATCAGTATCTTGGTCACAAGTTCATATTAAATGTTTGCTCCCTTATTCCATTCATGTATTTATTTTTACTAAAATTAAATATTGAGTCAAAGGTATAAGTTTTCTGGTGGGTTTTCTGCTACTTGCTTGTCTCTGTGGAGAGGTCTTTGCTTTGCATGGACTGTTTCACAATATTGCATAAAAGCTGTTTATTTAGCATATATTCAACTACATGTGGTTTTATTGCTTTGAAAAACATGACTGTTTGAAACATGAAGCTTTAAGCCATGACCCATGTTAGAACATTGTTAGTTACATTGTTAGTAACCTCAACAAAGACATACCTGAAGAAATGTGCGAATGAAACAAAACACAATTCCAGGTATGTTTGTGATGAGGAAACAACAGTGTAACATCAATAGCAAATATTAAATATAAAAAAAACTAAACTGATAATCGACTATTAGAAATCACAAAATCTCAATTGTGCACAGCCAAATTATAAATATATATAGATCATAGACTCTTTAAATCATGAAGTGATGACATAATAATACATTTATCTAAAGTAAACATTTGTGTGTGTTTTTGAGCTCACTGTCTCCAGATATTGTTGTTTGGCGTGGCTGATGTCGCTCAGAGCTTCACTGTCCACAGTAAACACCAGCTCTTCGGGAAGAGGCAGAGGTCTCACAGTGTTCGGACCCTGAAACACAAAACCACATATGTCACAAACAAAACAAAACATTTAAACATTAAAAGACCCTTTACCAATTTTTTTCTATGTATCTGAGCAAAATGTGTCCTGTCCTCGTACATATGTTTTCTATAAGCAGAATCTTTCGTTCTGTCTAGATCTAAAGTGTTTTATTGTCTGATAATCAGGAAGTGCATGGTAGTATGCTAGTTGTTGTTAGCTTTACGATCGCTGCAGAACTCCGCTCTGGTCTCTGAAAGAGCACTTATCGCTGTGAATAATTAGGATGCTTGGAATGCATAAGTTGAGTGATGAAAAACTATCGGTCGGCAGTGCAGGGGGAGAGTTGTTGACCTCTACTGGAGATGTTGTCAGACTGTAGAAGGAATACTTTGAGGATCTCCTTAATCCCACCATCACATCATTTTAGGAGGAAGCAGAGGCTGAGGACTCGGAGGCGGACTTGTCCATCACCCTGGCTGAAGTCACTGAGGTGGTTGGCAAGGTCCTTGGTGGCAAGGCTCCGGGGGTGGATGAGATCTGTCCTGAGTATCTTAAGTCTCTGGATGTTGTGGGGCTGTTTTGGCTGACACACCTCTGCAACATCGCGTGGCAGTTGGAAACAGTGCCTCTGGACTGGCAGACCAGGGTGGTGGTTCCAGAGGTTGTGTTCCAACGATAGGAAAATCACACTCCTCAGCCTCCCCGGTAAGGTCTATTCCAGGATACTAGAGAATCCATCCAACAGTCGAACCTCGGATTCAGGAGGAGCTGTGTGGTTTTTGTCCTGGTCGCAGAAAACTGGACTAGTTTTACAACCTACATCAGGTGCTTAAAGGTTCATGGGAGTTTGCACAGCAAGTTCACATGTGCTTCGTGGATCTGGAGAAGGCATCTGACTGTGTCCCTCGTGGTGTCCTGTGGGGGGTGCTCTGGGAGTATGGGGTCCAGGGCCCTTTGCTAAGGGCTGTCCGGTCCCTGTATGACCGGAGCAGGAGCTGTGTTCACATTGCCAGCAGTAAGTCAGACCTGTTCCTGGTGCATGTTGGACTTCACCAGGGCTGCCCTTTGTCATCGGTTCTGTTCATTGTATTTATGGAGAGATTTTGTAGGTGCAGCCAGGACCCAGAGGGGGTCCGGTTTGGGGACCACAGGATCTTGCCTCTGCTGTTTGCAGATGATGTTGTCTTGTTGGCTTCATCAAACCAGGTCCTGCAATGTGCCCTAGGGAGGTTTGAAGAGGCTGGGATGAAAACCAGTTCCTCCAAATCCAAGGTCATGGTTCTTGACCGGAAAAAGGTGGCTTGTCCTCTCCAGGTGGGTGAAGAGTCCCTGTCTCAAGTGGAGAAGATCAAGTATTTCAGGGTCTTGTTCACGAGTGAGGGGAGATGGAGTGTGAGATTGACAGGAGGATCAATGCGTCGGCAGGCAGTGATGCGTTCGCTGTATCGGACCGTTGTGGTGAAGAGGGAGCTAAGTCAAAAGACAAAGCTCTCGACTTACTGGTCAATCTACACTCCTACTGTCACCCATGATCATGAGTGATGACCGATAGACCGAAAGAACATGATTGCGGATACAAGCGATTGAAATGAGTTTCCACCACAGAGTGGCTGGGTGCTCCCACAGTCACACAGGAGGAGTTTGTAATAGAACTGCTGCTCCTCCCCATCAAGAGGAGTAGCAGAGGTGGCTAAGGCATTTGTTCCGGATGTCTCCTTGGTGCTTCCTTCGGGAGGTGTTCTGGGCATGTCCCAGTGGGAGAGGTCTTAGGGACAACCCAGGACATGGAGAGACTGTCTCTCTGCTGGCCTGGGAACACCTCGAGGTGCCCCTGGAAGAGCTGGAGGAAGCATGTGGGGAGAGGGAAGTCTAGGCCTCCCTGCTCAGACTACTGGCCCTGCAACCCGGCCCCGGATAAAGCAGAAGAAAATTAATGGTTGTGTTGCTTTCATTCTGATGTAGTTTTGAAAGAGAACACTGATTGGCCTAGAGCTTTTTTTCTTTGAGATCTGCTACACTGGCCACTGTTTTTACAGTGTAGTATCTTAAAAACAAACAAAACTTTACCTTCCATTCACCACCTGTGGCTTTGAGCTGCTGATCCAAATACCAGCAGAAAGACACAAGGACCATAGCGTCATAAGGAGCGTGCTGCAACATTAAAAAATTTAGATATTGAGATCAGAGGGAGCGCCCATGGTAATACATTATACATAAGATAATGGAGACAAACCTTCACTTATTAAGGCAAATCATTAAAGGTGCACTGTGTTACTTTTCTGATGGGGGTTTGACACATGCTTTTCTCAGTGGAATATTTTTGGGTTTGAAATGTTTTTTTGGAATATTCCACAGTATTACCTTACCAGTCTTGCATTTATTCAATTACAAGTGTTTCAAATGCTAAAAAAAACCCCTCAAAACATGAATTCTTTTTGTGAACAGAGTCACCTCTCCACAGCTCTGACCTCTAACTTGGCCAGGTGGCATTACTTGTTTGTTTAATGGTATAATGTTGAACATTTGCAGTTAAAACTAATTTAAATAAGCAGAAATATACATTTAAAAAGTGATTAAAATGAACAGTTACTCACGTCACAGTTGGATCCAAAAGTGCCGTCTGAATACACTATGGAGTTGTAGGATTTGTCTCCCCAGCGAATGGTGGGGTTACCGACCATGGCCTCCAAAGTCATCTGCATTTAATCACATGGTTTATGTCACTAAGGTCGACTAGATGAGCAGAGCTAGCAAGAATAAAATATAAGTGTGCAATGTATCAAAATATTCATCAGAGACTCTGGTAGCACATTTTACAGCCCAATAATCACATTATTATTAAAAATGTAATTCTACCATAGAATACTCTGACCCATCCTCCATCTCTTTTATATAATATGTGCAGTTTCGATTGTTATGATGCCACATGAAGTAAACTGAACTTGCATCATAAAATTACACTCTTACATTTGTGTAGTTTTGAGGTGTGGAGTACGGTTTTGTTTCATCCAAAGAAATGACAAACAAACTGCTCTGAATCAACTCCAGGATGTCCTTATTGTGCGGGTCAATATTTATAAGATGCTCCCGGGCCTGCAGTACAGAGAAGACTTAGTACAGAGTTTTAAACAAAATCGCAAATTATTCTAAATAAATGTAACAAAAACAGCTCGCCTTTGCCCACCGAGTCCTCTCCTCTGAAGTGAGAGCTGCCACTCCATCGCCCTCTGCTCTGTTCTCACAACACTGTTTCACGTAGCTCAGCTGCCTGAAGAACACAACATACATCAGAGATAAATACTTCAACATGTTTTTAATGGGTTGTGTTAACAAATCCCTATAGTTTAAAACTGAGCTGAAACAAAAACTGACACAAACTTCAACATCTTCTCCGTAAACATAAATTTAAAAAAAGAAATACTTTAAAAAAATATAAAAGCTTCAAAAGTGATGCCATTATTCAATGGTAATAATACCTCAATAATTCAGGAGGAGTTAGGATTTCCCCATCATACAATCCATCAAACATAAAAATCCTCCCACGACACAACACGACTAGATGTGAGGGACATGCCCCTTCAGACTCTGCAACAAAGAACAGTGGTTTGTTAAGTTAAGTGAATTAAGATGAGCAAAAATATTGCTTGAGGTGAATATTTTATATAGTTTACCCATTTTGAAATAGTTTTGTATGCTGTCCTTTGTGATCCCAGGCACTTTACAGGTGTTAAACAGCATTCTGAACTGGTCCATGTCCAGTGGTGTTTTTCCAGCTTTCTGAGGAGGAAGTCTCTCACTAAATGTACAAAGAAAATGATCAACTACCAACATTTACATCTCAATATTTTTCTGATAATTATTTTACAGCACATGCTATAAATTTACCCAAATTATTGATTGCTCATAAGAAATAAAGTTTATTTCCCCACCAATTCTCAAACATTAAGATGAAAAAATGCATGCTTTCTTATGGTAAAATATTTTACAATATTTATGTTATCTGGTTTGTCAAGTTAAACCAGAGGCTTGCCTAAACCCACTCCCCCTGCCTCTACTTAAAGTACTTAAAGGTTAAAGTTTAAAGATGCTGTACCTTCTTTTTACAGTCTTAAAAATGTGAAAACCTGAACTAGTCCTTTTTAATTGGTTGCAGAGGTCCAAAGTTATCAATTATATAATTAATTTCGTACATAGATAAATACAAAATGTATTCATAAGTTATAGACTATATAAGTTTAATGCCACATTGTGGAACATTCCTGGCACAGTAATAACATTTCCACAGATTCAAGTAAATGGCAGACCCTCCCATCAGAAAAGTACTCAGTAACAATAATACAAATATCTTACGTTCTTATCATGTCCCAGTAAATTAGAGAATGCCAGGTGCTGATGCTGGCTCGGTGCAGCTCGACCCCCTCTGCGGGGGGCCAGCAGTGTTCCAGGTAGGGCGCAGGACCTCCAAAGTTCACATAGAGCTGAGAGGGAGCACGCACCTCCAGGTAAGCTGCATCCAACCACCACTCCTCCAACTAAGGAACAAGACAAGGATGATGTTTAGATAAAGATGACAATGTAATGTCATCTCCCATATGTTACTGCCATATGAACCATCTCACACTCTGAGGACCTCAGGGACCGGCCTCCTGCTGGGGACCAGAGTCAGGACTAAACATGGGCTGTCAGCGTTTCAGATTCATGTGGCTAAAACCCGGCGCGGTCTTCTTGAAGATGTGAGACAGGTCTCTGCTCTGACAATATTTAAATCCACCATTAAAACGGTTCTGTTTAGCTGTGTTAATGACTGAAAGGTTTAAAATTCTGCACTCTTCTCTTTTAATATTAATTTAATTGTGATTATTTATGTTTTGATTTTTTTGTATAGTGATTATATCTTTCTTATTCTGTAAAACATTTTGAATTTGACTTTGACTTTGTGTACGAATTGTGTTATACAAATAAATTTCCCTTTACTGACAGGGGGTCCCCCACCTGCTTGTCTCCAAAAAGATGTTATTGCCTTACCTGAACTGCTTGGCATTTAACCTGTTTATCTTTTTTGAATTTATTATATTTTTATTGATAAAATGTACCTTGAAAAACAAGCATTCAAACTGTGAGCCTCTTGTCTCAATGGAGATGAAGTTTAAAGATTCACTGTTGTTGTGTTGCGTTGTTCTGTTGTGCAACATTCCATGCACTAATATCTCACGTTCCGGACACTCCCAATAAAATACACTCTGAACATCTATATAAATATGTCTAAATATGAATTTTCTTTTGAGGTGTTTTGACTAGTTTAAGTTATGTTAGCAGGTCTATTTTTTTATTGTTGCCACCTTAACTATACTTTCTTACTGAATTGTAAATAAATAAATAAAACTGAAACAAAAACAATAAAACTACTAAAAACATACACACAAACAACTCAAATAGGTACATATTGTGAGGATTATTATTTTATTATGTATACTGCAAATGCATAATGTAAATAACAGTTTACCCAGTTTCTCTTCTGGTTGGCTCTCTGTTGTAGTTTAAGATGCAGCTCTTTGCCAATGCCTTCTTCAAACCTGTGCACTGTGTCAACTGTGGTTTCAAACTCCTCTTCAGTTGCAAACGGTTTTACTAAAAAAAATAAGATTGCTTTTTTTTTACAATGTATTCATAAAACACAACTCTTATAATGAACTATTAAAGGTGCACTGTGTATTTTGTTTGTAGTAGAGAATACATAAGTGCATACTAATATGAGATTTTGAAATGAATTAACTCTAAAAACCTTTGTTCAGTTGACAGAATTCAACATCTTTTGCTCTATTCACAGTGTGGCAATAAACATATCTGTCTCTATGGTGACAAGCAGCTGACACCACCAGGTCAGGTCTGTGGAGAGGCAACCCCACTCATCTAAAGACAGTATGTTTTTCACAAATGCAGAATAAATATTTGGAACTTTCCAGGGAAGAAAAGCAAGAACATCTCCATGGACTTTTCCCCCAGTAAGGTTACATAGTGCATCTTTAAAGTTGCCAACAAACCTGCATCCAGGTACTTCTGAAGGCTCTGGTGTAAGCAGGGCACAGGCAAAGGAGGAAGCTGGTCCTGGTACTGAAAAGTCCGCTCAGGAATAGACTTAGACGGTTTGCCATGTCAGCCATGCCTGGAATCAGAAACACAATGAATTTATTTTAGATTGTCCATTTAAGTATATTGCATATCTGCATTATATATTGACATTATATTCAAAAAGTCTTTAGATTGAAGGTGTAATACAACAATCCACATAATTGGAATATCATGAAAAAGTTCAATCTTTTTTGTCACTCATTTCAGAAACTCAAACCCATACATTATATAGACTCATGGCACATAAAGTGAAATATTTTAGTTTATTTCTTGAATTTTGATGATTATGGCTTAATGAAAACCCTGTTTTTTCTAATATAGGTTTAATAATTGTACAAACTACAAGAAGTGGGAAAGTTGCAAGAAAAGAAAATGCTAATCCCTTGACCTGGTTTATGATTAGGACTATCTGTGTACACTGAACTTGTACAAAAAGCAGGCACAAAGTTCACTGTCTGCAGCTGTCCGTAGCCTTTATATTATATATCTAAAACCGAATACCATAATATAAGGATAGGTAAAGCTGGTGACTGGAGGGATGATCTCACAGTTGATTGAACATTTGTTGGGTCTTTCTTGACAATTCCCGTGTCAAAGCTAAAGCACAAAAAATTTGAAAATATAAAAGTACTATTACATTGTGAATTTAGGCTTATTTTTATTTGTTTATGAGTTTTGAGTTCAAACAGGTCCAGATTCACTCCAGAATGTATGAATGAAAAAAGTGGGTTAAAGCATTACCTTTACCCTACTTATATTGTTCAGTTCACATGAGGTTTAATATCAGTGGGTACATTCACAACTAGAATATTCAGATCTCTCACTCAACAATTAGATCTGAATTGTAGTGCGTGCTTACACCGTGCACAAGAGAAACCTGATCATCAAAAACACCCGTCCTGACATGACATTAGAGAACCTGATGTTGCCTTTTTGGAACACTAAGCAGATCGCATATTTTTTCCTGTTAAAACCTGCACAGTGTGAACGATCAGAGAGAAATCAGATTACTCACAACTGTTTACATAACACTTCAATGATCTGAGAAACCAGACAAAAATCAGATTAAGCAGACAATAGATTAAACTTTTTTTTTCTCTTTGTTTTCTTTCAGTCTCTGCTCTCCCTAGTTTGGTTACCTCATGCACTTATATTCTCACACAATCCAGCTCAAAGTGATGCGTTTATGCTGTTACAGTTTACTTAAGATCTTTGTTATCAGTAAATTTCAAGTTTCAATGTAGCTCTTGCTTGGCACTTAACTACGTTGCATTGCACAGCGCTTTTACAGACTAATGTCCGCGTTTAACTAAAGGTGAATCCTTATGAAATAAAGCGCCATGCATGTTTCCTCACTTACTTTAACGCGGTGAGCAGTTTGCATAAATAATCCAGGAGTGCGGCAGACTGTTTTCATTCGGATGGATCACCTTTACCCCACAACAATTTGCCCCACAAGCGCTGTGCAGCCGGAAAACTCCACTGCGCATGCGTAAACCACAGTGCCTGACCCAGAGAAAGAGAGAGAGAGAGAGAGAGAGAGAGAGAGAGAGAGAGAGAGAGAGAGAGAGAGAGAGAGAGAGAGAGAGGGTCACCAAACAGCTCAACCAAAATAAAAAGTGGGACCACAAGGGGGCGATAGTGCCTTTTATACTGAAGAGAGGGGCATCATGCTTTATAGAGGTGGCAGCAAGTCATTTTTATAAGTTTCAAGCATGGATCTATAGTTCTATGATCTCAAGTAAGTCTCAGTTAAGTCTTTGACCTCAAGTCAAGTCAAGTACAGTCAAGTCCAAGTTGAGTCTCAAGTCTCTAGCCCATAAGTCTAACTAGTATATCTCAAGTCCTAGTTGTCTGCTTTGAGCTTCAAGCCATTTCAAGTCTTTAAACCAAAGTAGATTTTTGTAATTTATATGAATTTTAAACTAAATTATAAAACTCATGATATATTTCTGTAAGAGTATTTTTATAAGAGTTGTATAAATGCAATTTCTTTTCCTTTTTAAAAGTCTTGACAACATCTTAGTGTAAATCATTATGGTGAGAACAGAAATAATGAATATTTAAAAGTTCTTAACTTTTTTTGTCATGTAGTCTACACAGAAATGTAAGCTTCGAGTTCTATGTAGTTCCTTCTGCTTTACTGTATTTTACTGTATATTACTGTAAGACATTTGAGGATACTACATCACAGTACTTCAGTTACTGTTACATCCAAAGTAACAAATAGAGAAGTGGGAGGGACATGTTCCAGTTTGTTCCTGTAAAATGAAGCACTGCATGTATCAACTAAAAAGAGAAAAGTATTTTCTAAAAAAACATGTATTTTTTAGGAGAAGCATCAAGTCTTCTCAAGTCACAGGCCTCAAGTACGAGTCAAGTCCAGTCCTTCAAGTCCAAGTCGAGTCCCAAGTCTTAGTCCATTTTATCAAGTCAAGTCTCAAATCCTAAAAATAGTGACTCAAGTCTGACTCAAGTCCAAGTCAAGCTACATATAATTAGCAGGGCAGAACTATAAAAAGTGAACGACTGAAGTAATACAAGAGTCATGTGCATATCAGCTGTGTTGTGCACTATTGTGTTTTGTGCCAATTATTGCACTGAAATATATTGTTTATTTTTGTTAAGTCACTCCTGCCAGTCCATTCTCAATAAATTATGTATTAAAAAGATGAATAGTTGACACTGAATTTTATTTTTATTTCATATAAGATAGTGAAAATGTAACCAGAAAAGATACCAAAATAAAGATGCAAAATAAAATTCTCAAATTCTTATAATAAATTAGCTATATAACAGCTTATTGTCTTTTCTTATACATCGAGTTTCAGCATGAACTAAAGAAGGCAGCTGGTTTTAAAATGGGATAATGGAATGGATTAGAATTGGAATAAGTAGTTATCCAAGAAGGAGCATGAATAGGAATTTGCACATGGTGAAGTTATACAAACCAATAACCAAAAACCAATAATTATAAGGTTTATGGGCATATCTTCCATAGAGTTATATAGTCCTCCATCTGAAATTCTAACATAACCTATTGTGTGCAATCTTCAAGTGCATTTTCACAGGTTAGACTATTCATTTCCCTAAAACTAATAAATGTTTAAACAGGCAAAAAACATGTTCCTTGTGCGTAAACTGTCTCTAAAGTTAGGAATTTTCAGTGTTGAATAACATCCTGTATCCTGCTTTTTGGACTCATCACTATTTCTTTTCTTCTGTATGTTCCACAAACTGCTACATAGTTGGTGTAAAATTATGACAAATATTTACCACATATACTGTCCCACCAAACCAAGTAATAATTAGAAAAACGCGAAAACCTGTCATATAAACAGAACAATATAGACCAGCGTTTGTACAGGTGAAGAGTGTGAAAGCTTGTCTTTGGTGGAGCTTAAAGCTGAGCTGTTGTAGCCAAATGAAGTATTTCATGCAGAGAGCTCGAGAGGTTGTTAAAATACGTAGCAGCATCTGTCCGATGGCAGGATTTCCACGCAGACACAGCAAACACAAGCCTGAGGGAACAGAAACAGTTAGCATGGAGCTCATCAGTCCCACCTGACAGATGAAATTGGCTCTGGTAGTGAAATTCCAATTAGTTTTTTCCACACTTTTTTTTTTCAAAATATTAAAATATTCAAGAGTAGAGACTAACATTTTCTGTAGGTGAAAATGAATGGGAAACCAGTGCAGTTTTGAGGTGACTGTTACAAATGTTCAGTCATTTTAAACTAAATAAGATCTAAAAATAAATGTCCCATCACCTGTCGTCTTGAATGCAATAGAAGACTCCATAGCCTTGATGCACCATCGGAGCCACTGCTCCCAGTACTGCAGTGTAGCCCGCCAGGCTCGAGGACAGCACAAAGTTACCTCCTCCCCCACTGAAAATAAGGGAGATATGTTATTGCTTAAAAGTTAAACTAAAATAACAGGTGTACATTTGTCAGCATACCTTTTGGAATAAAGGGGGTCTTTGTACAGCTCTGGAATGGGAAGTCCCTCCTCTTTAGCGATGAGGTAAAGGCCGAAGAGGAGTCTGTCAAACCCTGGTAAGATTGGACATAACAAGAGTTTAAAAGAAATATTTGGTAATTAGACACCACAATCACACTGGGCTAAAATTAAGTTATCCTGACTCAGGGCTATTACATAAAGGTTGCTAACTACATAAGCCTGATATTCAGATTGAGGCTTACAAAACCTTTTATGCAGAAATAAAGAAACCCATGTTGACCTGCTTCAATTTTGCATTTTGCAACAAGGAATACTGTCCAATTCACAATGAGGAGTTATCTCATTGCTTTTAAAACAAAATCCAGATGGAAAATATAAATACCCAATGTATTTGAAAAACTGGCTACTATTGACCCTGCTCTGTTGTGACACCCAAATTCTGTCTAAATGTTTTTCTTTAAGGAGTAAGAAAATCATTATTAATATTATAAACCATGATCAAGTTTTATTAAGGGTAGATTACTGGAGACAATTTGAGACAAATATCTGACACAATAGACATTACTATGTTAATCATGAAAAACCTGGATTATTATTTATAATGATTTCGAAAAAGCATTTGATATTATTCAATGGGAATTCATAAATCAGAGTCTTGGCCATTTTAACTTTGGAAATTAGTTTATTAAGATGGTTTAGAATGCTCTATAATCATCCCACGAGCCGTGTAATAAATAATGGTTACATATCAAATGCCTTTCCACTAACTCAAGGGGTCCGTCAGGGCTCTGTCACCATATTTGTTTATTTTATGTATTGAAGTTTTGGCTACTAAAAGAAGAAATAATCTGAAAATAAAGGGTTTAAGGGTTTAAAAATAAACAGTGATGATGATAATAATCATGACTGCCAATTAACTGATTAACTTTGACTTTCCTACACAGGTGTAACTCATCTGATATAATAGATGCACAAACCTTTTCCATCTTGAGCTTCTGCCATTAGTTTGTTGTGTTTATTAAAAGCTGATAGCATCGCTTTCCTCCTGGTATTCATCTAAAAGAAATAACATGTCAATATTATCATAAAACACATAAACTATCATCTGTTTTTGGTCTTTTTTTTTCAAACCCTCACATCAAATTTGGGGTTGGCCATGGCCTTGCACCACTCCACAGCCTCAGAGGTGCAGGGTCTCATCGTCTCTGTGCGTCCGTGGAAGAATTTACGTGTCATGGCCGTTTCATAACAGCTGCCAGGTCTGGGACAGAAACACTGAATCAAGCTCAAGTTAAAAGAACCTGTTCCAGATTTTAAACTAAGGCTGTAATGATTAATCAGTATATCAGTGACTAATCAACCATTTAAATAATTGTTGGCTATTTTAATGCTTAATTGTTATGTAGAGTTTATATGCGCATCCACGGTAAACGCTTTGATCACACTGAAAGAGAATTTGTGTCTTTTTTTCAATGGTCTTACCAGAACAACGTGAATACAAGGCCTATTGAAGTAAAACACAAACTGTCATGATGATTGAAGTGTGTTCACAAAATGTCTTGATTTCAGTTTGATTTCAATAAGCAGGTTCATTACCAGTAGCAGCTTTGAGTGCACTGCTGCTCAGGACAGGGGGTGCTCCTGCCACAATCTCACCCTGTCGGCTTTGGGTCGCCCCACAGACAAAGGGCTGGGCCAGGAGCACATGTGCGCGAGGATGTGGTGAACTCACAGCAGAGTGTATACAGTCTGTGAGTGCTGAATAAGAGCAGACTACTGAAGTCAAGCACATCGGCCCAAAATATGAGTCAGCCCACCAAGAAAACTCTCTGTCCAACCCTGGCTGTTTGGAAAACAGGCAGAGGACCTTTGAAGTTAGTGAATATCTAGACTACATTTGCTACACTTGACACAATCTTCTTACTCATTATAAAGTCGGTAATAGGCCAACTGCATCGCCAACTGGACAAAAGTGTCTGGATGCAGCTTCCTCTGTTTGATGGCTGTTTTTCCAAAAGCAGTAAAAGCGTAACAGATGAGCTGTAGATCCCTCGTCTGCAAAACAACATCAGTATCTTGGTCATAAATTCATATTGAATGTTTACTCCCTTATTCCATTCATGTATTTATTTTTACTAAAATTAAATATTGAGTCAAAGGTAAAAGTTTTCTGGTGGGTTTTCTGCTACTTGCTTGTCTCTGTGGAGAAGTCTTTGCTTTGCATGGATTGTTTCACAATATTGCATAAAAGCTGTTTATTTAGCATATATTCAACTACATGTGGTTTTATTGCCTTGAAAAACATTCATGAGTGTCTGAAACATGAAGCTTTAGTCCATGACCCATGTTAGAACAATGTTAGTTACATTGTTGTAACCTCATCAAAGACATACCTGGAGTTGTGTTTTGTTTCACTCACACATTTCTATCTACATCTCGAAAGCTCAAAATCCTCTGTTCCACCCTGTGATGTCACAAAGCGGTAGTTTTCAGGTCAACAGCTACAACTTAACAGCTTTTACTTTTTGTTCAGTAGTATATAAATATATATAGATCATAAACATAAATAATACATTTATCTAAAGTAAACATTTGTGTGTGTTTTTGAGCTCACTGTCTCCAGATATTGTTGTTTGGCATGGCTGATGTCGCTCAGAACTTCACTGTCCACAGTAAACACCAGCTCTTTGGGAAGGGGCAGAGGTCTCACAGAGTCCAGACCCTGAAACACAAAACCACATCTGTGACATAAACAAAACATTTAAACATTAACAGGCCCTTTACCAATTTTTTCCATGTATCTGAGCAAAATTTGTCTCTTCCTAGTACATATGTTTTGTATAAGCAGCTCTTGAGTCTTTCGTTCTATCTATATCTAATGAGAAAGACTTTTATTGTCTGATAACCAGGAAGTGTGTGGTAGCATGCCAGTTGTTGTTAGCTTTACTATCGCTGCAGAACTCCACTCTGGTCTCTGAAAGCTGAGTACAGTTCTTATAAACTCATCGCTGTGAATAATTAGGAGACTGGGAATGCGTAATGTGAGTGACAAAAAACTTTGGGCCTGAAAACTGATTAAAAGGAACTAGTTCTTTTTTCCTTTTTTTTGTTTTGTTTTATGTCATAGGGACCACGTACAGGAGCATTAATCAAAGAAACATTGAGATGCTTTGTACCAGACTACAGCTCTTGGGGGATAATTTCCATCAGCAGTCCCTGAGACATACAAAACACAGAATACATGAACAGCATAAAACAAACAGTTTTAAAAAGGACAATGACATTACATATCTCTAACCCGTTCCTATCCTACTCCCTCTGTGCCCTTAATCAGGTATAATTTAGTTGTTAGTTATAAGTTGTTTTTCCTACATTAGATGGCACTTAATGTTGGCATTTCTGAGTTGTTAAAAAATATCAGCACTAAACTTTTTGAAGTCCTGGTATAGTTTTGAATTTGTGGTAGTTTGTTCCATTCTGTTACAGTTTTGAAAGAGAATGCTGATTGGCCTAGAGCCGTTTTTTTAAACCTGCTACACTGGCCACTGCATGTTTTTACAGTGTAGTGCCTTAAAAACAGATAAAACTTTACCTTCCACTCACCACCTGTGGCTCTGAGCTGCTGATCCAAATACCAGCAGAAAGACACATGGACCATACCGTCATAAGGAGCGTGCTGCAACATAAAAAAACAACACTGAAGTCAGAGGGAGCGCCCATGGTAATACATTATACATAAAATACTGGAGACAAAACTTCACTTATTAAGGCAAATCATTAAAGGTGCACTGTGTTACTTTTCTGATGGGGGTTTGACACAAGCCTGAAAACATAAATTCTTCCTGTGGACAGGCTCGCCTCTCCACAGCTCTGACCTCTAACTTGGCCAGGTGGGATTACTTGTTTGTTTAATGGCATAATGTTGAACATTTGCAGTTAAAACTAATTTAAAATAAGCAGAAATAAACATTTAAGGAGTGATTAAAATGAACAGTTACTCACATCACAGTGGCATCCAAAAGTGCCGTCTGAATACACTATGGAGTTGTAGGATTTGTCTCCCCAGCGAATGGTGGGGTTACCGACCATGGCCTCCAAAGTCATCTGCATTTAATCACATGGTTTATGTCACTAAGGTCGACTAGATGAGCAGAGCTAGCAAAAATAAAATATAAGTGTGCAATGTATCAAAATATTCATCAGAGATTCTGGTAGCACATTTTACAGCCCAATAATCACATTATTATTAAAAATGTAATTCTACCATAGAATACTCTGACCCATCCTCCATCTCTTTTATATAATATGTGCAGTTTCGATTGTTATGATGCCACATGAAGTAAACTGAACTTGCATCATAAAATTACACTCTTACATTTGTGTAGTTTTGAGGTGTGGAGTACGGTTTTGTTTCATCCAAAGAATGACAAACAAACTGCTCTGAATCAACTCCAGGATGTCCTTATTGTGCGGGTCAATATTTATAAGATGCTCCCGGGCCTGCAGTACAGAGAAGACTTAGTACAGAGTTTTAAACAAAATCGCAAATTATTCTAAATAAAAGTAACAAAAACAGCTCACCTTTGCCCACCGAGTCCTCTCCTCTGAAGTGAGAGCTGCCACTCCATCGCCCTCTGCTCTGTTCTCACAACACTGTTTCACGTAGCTCAGCTGCCTGAAGAACACAACATACATCAGAGATAAATACTTCAACATGTTTTTAATGGGTTGTGTTAACAAATCCCTATAGTTTAAAACTGAGCTGGAGGACAGGACAGAATAGACATTTGAAAATGAAATGAAATTTGCTTTCATACTGGACATGTTTTGATCTGGTATATCTCTTTATTACTGGACCTATCCACATGAAACAAAAACTGACACAAAGTTCAACGTCTTCTCGGTCAACATAGACAGAAAAAGAACTAGTTTTTTAATAGCTTAAAAAGTGATGCCATTATTCAATAGTAATAATACCTCAATAATTCAGGTGGAGTTAGGATTTCCCCATCATACAATCCATCGAACATAAAAATCCTCCCACGACACAACACGACTAGATGTGAGGGACACGCCCCTTCAGACTCTGCAACAAAGAACAGTGGTTTGTTAAGTGGTGAAATAAGATGAGCAAAAATATTGCTTGAGGTGAATATATTTTACCTGTTTTGAAATAGTTTTGTATGCTGTCCTTTGTGATCCCAGGCACTTTACAGGTGTTAAACAGCATTCTGAACTGGTCCATGTCCAGTGGTGTTTTTCCAGCTTTCTGAGGAGGAAGTCTCTCACTAAACACACAAAGAAAATGATCAACTACCAACATTTACATCTCAATATTTTCTTGATAATTATTTTACAGCACATGCTATAAATTTACCCAAATTATTGACTGCTCATAAGAAATAAAGTTTATTTGGATGCATGCTTGCTTAGTATAATATCTTACAATATTTATGTTATCTGGTTTGTCAACTTAAACCAGAGGCTTGACTAAACCCACTCTCCCCTGCTTCTACATAAAGTACTTAAAGCTTAAAGTTTAAAGATGATGTACCTTCTTTTTACAGTCTTAAAAATGTGAAAACCAGAACTAGTCCTTTTTTTAAATCGGTCGCAGAGGTCCAAAGTTATTAATTATATAATTAAATTTGTACATAAATAAATACAAAATGTATTCATAAGTGATCAGATATATAGGTTTAAAGCTACACTGTGGAACATTCCTGGCACAGTAATAACATTTCCACAGATTCAAGTAAATGGCAGACCCTCCCATCAGAAAAGTTCTCAGTAACAATAATACAAATATCTCACTTTCGTATCATGTCCCAGTAAATTAGAGAATGCCAGGTGCTGATGCTGGCTCGGTGCAGCTCGACCCCCTCTGCGGGGGGCCAGCAGTGTTCCAGGTAGGGCGCAGGACCTCCAAAGTTCACATAGAGCTGAGAGGGAACGCGCACCTCCAGGTAAGCTGCATCCAACCACCACTCCTCCAACTAAGGAACAAGACAAGGATGATGTTTAGATAAAGATGACAATGTAATGTCATCTCCCATATGTTACTGAAATATGAACCATCTCACACTCTGAGGACCTCAGGGACCGGCCTCCTGCTGGGGACCAGAGTCAGGACTAAACATGGGCTGTCAGCGTTTCAGATTCATGTGGCTAAAACCTGGAGCAATCTTCCTGAACATGTGAGACAGGTCTCTCTAAATATGTCTAAATATCCATTTTCTTTTGAGATGTTCCGACTAGTTTAAGTTATGTTAAGTTCTTGGTCTTTTTTTACCTATTCAAAGCTATTTTGCCACCTTAACTATACTTGCTATTCTTACTGAATAGTAAATAAATAAATAAATAAAACTGAAACAAATACACACAATACACACAAACAACTCAAATAATAAGGTGCATATTGTGAATGGGTCATATTAATTATTATAGGAATATAGGATTATTATTTATTATTTATACTGCAAAAGTATAATGTAAATAACAGTTTACCCAGTTTCTCTTCTGGTTGGCTCTCTGTTGTAATTTAAGATGCAGCTCTTTGCCGATGCCTTCTTCAAACCTGTGCACTGTGTCAACTGTGGCTTCAAACTCCTCTTCAGTCGCAAACGGTTTTACTAAAAAGAAACAAGATACATTTGTTATAATATAGTCATAAAACATAGATTAACAAAAGTGGGTAGTCGAAAATAGAGGCTGTCTGTGTTTGAACATTGAAAAGCAATAAATCACAATATGATAATTTCTTCAAAAGGTCTGATTACAGTTACATCATGTATACCAAATTATTGTTACGCACAGTCCTTTTAAGTCTTATAATGAAAGATGCACTGTGTATTTTTTGTAGTAGGGAATACTTAAGTGCATACTAATTTGATTATGAAATGAATTAACTCCGTTGACAAAATGCAACAATTTTTTGCTCTATTCGCAGTGTGGCATTAAACATCAATATCTTTATGGACTTTTCCCCCAGTAAGGTTACATAGTGCATCTTTAAAGTTTCCAACAAACCTGCATCCAGGTACTTCTGAAGGCTCTGGTGTAAGCAGGGTACAGGCAAAGGAGGAAGCTGGTCCTGGTACTGAAAAGTCCGCTCAGGAATAGACTTAGACGAGTTTGTCCTATCGGCCATGCCTGGAATCAGAAACACAATGAATTTGATTACAGAACATTTTTAGATTGTCCATTTAAATGGGGTAAGTATATACTGCATATCTGGCATTATATTCAAAGAGTCTTTAGATTCAAGGTGCAATACACTAATCCAAATAATTAGAGTATCATGACAAAGTTGAGTCTTTTTTTGTCCCCCCCCCCCCCCCAAAAAAAAAAAAGTTTTTTTCCTTTTTTTCACTCCAGATCCTAATTGTTTTCCCAATACATTAGTTTAAATGCCAAAGTTCAGTACAGGTGAATATGTGGAGGTCAACGCTCAATGCCGCGCAAAGTGTCTGCTCCCTGTGGTGAGCACTAGCACCAGCGGACGGTCTGGGAAACCTGGCCACTCTCTCCATCAGCCACAGTGAAGTCAAGGAGGGCACAGCCCAGTCCTGCTAAGGCCAGAGAGGTAGTTTGGTGTTTTGTCCAGCAGCCTGGAGCAGTGATCCCCACTCTGGCTCTGACTGCTCAGTTTCAAACTGGGGTAATAGGGCCATAGAAAGACAGTGTATCCACTGCCTAGATCTGCTCACCTGCCTGCAGCTTTGCCTGGACTTGGGAAGAAATGAGCTTCACTGGGCATTTTGAACACCACGCCACAAGAAAAACATGGGCAAAACCAAAAAAATAACCAGTCTATCTTCAAACTCGAAGTCCAACCCCTTTACAAATGCAGAGCTTTGCCACAGAAGCTAAACAGGACAACAAAATACAAATACAAATGAAATACAGCATCTTATACCTGTATTGTGATCAGTGATGCATCAATCTTACTTCTCATATAACTCATAAAGAGAACACAAAAACTAAAATTCATGAAAAAACTGATGCTTTCAGCTAAAGTAAATTCATACACAACTGGGCAAGATCAGTCTTACCTAATGAGCTATCCCTCCACACCTCCACATCAACAGTAAAAAAAACTGCTTGTGCAAAAAAAAAAAAAAAAAAAAAAAAAAACAAGAAACTTTTTTTTTTTATTGTTGCTGAAAAAATAGCCTAAATTAAGTGCCTTTTTTTTTTGGCTTGCAGCTCAGAGCTTCCTGATCATTAAAAACACCTGTCCTGACATGACATTACAGAAGACCTGATGGACCTGATGTTGCCTTTTTGGAACACAAAGCAAACAAGATATTTTCTTGTCAAAACCTGTACAGGTGTGAACGATCAGAGAGAAATCAAATTGCTCATTTTACATAACACTTACTTCAATAATCTGAATCCAGAAACGCATGTAACATGTAGACTGGAACATTAATGCAGACAATAGATTAAACTTTTTTTTCTTTCACTTTGTTTTCTTTCAGTCTCTGCTCTCCCTAGTTTGGTTACCCCATGCACATATATTTTCATCCAACAGAGCTCAAAGTGATGTGTTTATGCTGTTACAGTTTACTTAAGATCTTTGTTATCAGTAAATTTCAAGTTTCAATGTAGCTCTTGCTTGGCACTTAGGTACGTTGCATTGCACAGCGCTTTTACAGACTAATGTCCGCGTTTATCTAAAGGTGAATCAATGAGCTAAAGCGCCATGCATGTTTCCTCACTTACCTTAACACGGTGAACAGTTTGCATAAATAATCCAGGAGTTCGGCAGACTCTGTGTGTTTTCACCTTTACCCCTTTACCCACAGAACTATGATAAAACATTTTCATAGATCCGACCCACAACAACAACTTGCCCCACAAGCTCTGTGCAGCCGGAAAACTCCACTGCGCATGCGTAAACCACAGTGCCTGAGCCAGAGAGAGAGAAGGAGAGAGAGAAAGAGAGAAGAGAGAGAGAGAAGAGAGAGGGAGAAAGAGAGAGGGAGGGAGACAGAGAGAGAAAGGAGTAAGAGAGAGAGGAAGGAGAGAGAGATAAAGAGAGAGGGAAATAGAAAGGGAGAGAGAGGGAGGGAGAGAAAAGAGAGAAAGGGAGAGAGAGAAGGAGGGAGGGAGAAAAGGAGAGAGGAGAGAAAGGAGAGAGCAAAAGAGAGAGAGAGAAAGACTGTGACTGTGTGTGAGAGGGAGAGAGAGAGAGAGAGTAACTGTGAGAGTGAGAGAGAGAGATATTAACTTTTCTCATCTTTCCTCTTGGTCCCTGTAGTTTGTAACGTGAGCCTCATTTCCATCCATTTATAAAAGGGCAGTAAGAGCCTCACTAAAGCAGTGCAGCACTAAAGCCTATGATAATCATTTATTGCCTTTCCTTTTTTAGGGAGAAATACTTTGACTACTTCTTAAAAAACACAAAGGGCAAAATCCTCAAGCTCAGTTTTCCAGATCTAACTGTGGTCGCCACTGCTCCTGACAGGTTGCCACAGCGGAACTGAAGGCTGGATCAAACACAGAGGACATATTTTTCTACAAGGACAATAAAGTGTGGCTTAAACTTGTGGTTGTGGTCACCTATTTAAACAGAAACACATAAGAACTCATTCATTGTTTCTAGTTCACTGTTCTCTAATATGAAGTGCCCATCATCAAATTAACCACAGGACAAAACCATCTGCATTTTTTACACATTTATTGTTGTTCTGTAACTGTCTTACAGCAGCTACACTTTTGCAAAGGGAAGACAATAGGCTACTTTTACTGACATTTTGTCCCATAAACATAACAAAGAAACATGACCTGTTCAGATGGCTTTTTCCATAGTAAATAGTATTTTTTTTAATAGTAAAATTTAACATGTAGATCATTTTATTTAAAAAAGCATTAGTTTCATATTTTATTTAGGGATTTATTATTGCATAGTAATTTTACCATGTCTCCTTAAATAGAAGGGAATAGTTCAATCTTTCAAATTATTACATGCCATATTTTCCAATAACTTCTTTAGCCAAGGTGATGTAAGCGGACATGGCATCATCCGTGGACATTCCTAGAAAAAGGGAAGCAAAGAGAGAGAGAGACAGAAAGACACCATTGGAATTAAGGAAACAAAAGGTATGGGAGGGCATCTTTGTTTTTGTTTTTTTTTCCTTTACCTTTCCGGGAGTTCCAGGCGTCCCATTTGGCTTTCCCTTTTAAATCCGTCATCCCAGGCTTGTCTAAAACAAATAGGAAAACATATTAAGTACATTATAAAAAACACTATTACCTCCATGTGTCAGACCGTACCTATGTTCACGTCTCCTACAACAGACTGCTTATAAAGGCCGTACAGGTCCAGCAGCTCCTGGTCTGTGGGCCTCGTCTTCACCTTCTTCACATCTTCGGCAATCTTTGAAAACTCTGCCTTCAAGGGAGAGAAAAAAAAACATAATAATTAGGTCTAACCCATGTGTTCCGGATATGGATTTGCTGACAGTTGTAATGTTGTTTACCTAGGCCTACAAACATGATTGAATTTTTACATTTTGTGTTTTGATTCTCAAGTCAGTTATTCAAAGCAAATCAAAAAGCCGAATGAGCTCCATGTATTACTATTTGAATTATCACAAGTCTTTCCTAAGCATATTAAATAGCCGATTAAGAAATCTGTGCATAATATTGAAGTCACTGTGAGGAGCTGGGCCAGGCCTTAGACAATGGACCCTTATTCAGTCCAGTCCAGTGCTTTGTGCCAACTTGAATAATCAACTTCACAAAAGATCTGGGGCACTGCACACTAGAAAAGTATGAAACCAACCAATTTTACGGTTTTAAAACAAATCCTATCTTTTAAATGAAAAGAGACCTCATAATTGTGCCTAAAATAACATGTAGTTGACCGCATGAATACAATTCAAAGTATAGGGGCTTTACACTACAGACTAAATGGACAATAAAAAGAGTAAGTTATTTTAAGCTAAATGTAAGGTCATAACAGCGCGGAGGCTGCTGTATCATGGCGAGTGGATAGGGTAGTAGGCTGGTTGATTGATTCATGTAAGATCTAGACTTTAAAGGCAGGCTATGCGTCTTCAATTAGGACAAACACGCATACAACTAAAGAAAACCACCAAATATCTTACCTGATGAGACATTATAGCGGATTCAGAGATTCAGATAGCGGACGCTGATGTATACACCCTCTGCAAACAGCTCCTCGCAGCCTGGATGTAAGTGCACCACAGCTGATGCAGCAGTGCAACATTATGGACCAATAGGAGAGCGTCTAATAGACCCACTGCGTGCGCCTGTGCGCTCTGTGCGTGTCCCCACTGAATCCAAACTTCTGTCCCAAGTTCCGCATGGAGAAGCGCGACAGTGATTTTTGATCAAATTGACCTTCTTTACTGAAGGCATGGCAGTAAAACTATTAAAACCTGTTCTTTCTGGCACTGGGTACGCACTAGACCTTGATGAGCATTACAGTCTCCTTTCCCCATTCCGTCCCAGCACGCACAAGACAGCGCCCCCCGCAGGCTTATTTCAAATGTGCGCATACAGTGAGTAAAGCACAGATCGTCCACTTTGCTGTGCGGACCTTTCCAAAAATCTTGCAGGCGCCGCTGCCAGGAACAGCTCAGGAGCTGATTGGCTGCTCTCACACGCGTTCAGCCCGCCCTGCACATAAACTATGGTCCATCATTTCTTACTGTATTTATAATGGAGCCAGTGGATGGAGAGATATGGAAAATCCATTTTAAAAAGACTAATACATCTGGAAGCATTATCTTGTATCTTAAAATTAGATATTAACTGCTATATTTATTTATAGTAACCCCTGTGTCATAAAGAGAACCCCAAATGACCTTAGAAGACACTATTATAACAGATACTGGTTAAGCAATAAAATACGAACTTTTAACAAACGTCATGACATCATTACAAGACAAGAGTAAATAATTAACTACAATTCAGATGAACCAAACCGTTTTACCCCAATTTTTTATTTCTGCGTTTCCCAACAGTGTAGCGCCACAACGCAAGAGGGCGCTACTGTTGCGTCAGTGCGTAAATACGTGTGGTTTCAAAAGATGGTGGCTCCCTGTACGATGCGCGTGAGGCTGAAGGCCAGATGAAAATAGATAAATATCCAAAGTACGAAGGTGTCGCTAATATTACGGTGAGGTAGGCGTGAACAGGAAGTCTTTTTTATCGTTTTGTGTTAAAAAAAAAAATAGCCCACAGTGTCACATTTATGTTTTTGTAGCAATGACCACCCCAACGAAGCCTCCTAAGAAAAGATTCATTCAGTCCAAGGCGAGCTTCACGTCCCCGTTTTCGGCCCAGTGGAGCCCCCTGCCGCAAGAGGACATGCACTTCATCCTGAAGACCCTTAAAGACAAGCTCGTCTCGACGGGGATTCAGAAGAAAGAGGACAGAGTGTTTCGACCGTGGAGAAAAAAGAAGGGGGCTGCACCAGAGACCCCCAAAGTTAAAAGAGAAGGAACCACGGGGAGCACCACAAACGGCTGGACAGATGTGTCGGCCCGGCGACAGCTGGCGATTGGCATAAACGAGGTGACCCGGGCTCTTGAGAGAAATGAACTTCAGCTCGCGCTCGTGTGTAAATCTGTCAAACCCAAGCACGTGACGGAGCACCTGGTCTCTCTGAGCGCGAGCAGGGCTGTGCCCGCGTGCCAGGTGCCTCGGCTCAGTGTCACCGTGCGCGAGCCTCTGGGGCTTAAAAGTGTCCTGGCCCTGGGCTTCAGAAGGGCCCCCGAGGGCCAGACTCTGCTCTTCACGGACGTGATAGAGGCCATCACGCCCCGGGTCCCCGTGCAGAGAGTCGCGTGGCTCCAGAGCGCAGCGCCCACAGAAAGACCCCCAGACACGGAGGAGGAGGAGAGTGAAGAGAAGAGAGGACTCAAAAGAAAACTAGAAGAAAGTAACGCTGAGCCATCAGCTCAGGATGTGTGCACACTACTGCCTCTCAAAGTCAAGAAAATAGTGCCAAACCCCGATAAAAAGAGAAAAGAAAAGATGAGCAAATCTAAAAAACTATAATCCAAGGATGAAACCAGTAAAGTGTCTTATTTAGCAGCAGTGTTGCTTATCCATGGGGTCATGGCCTATGTAATGCTTTTAATTTGTGAATAGGCTCCAGGTTATTTCTTAACTCTCAAATTCCTTTGGTCTGGAGGGTCAGTTTTTTTTATTATTAATTTTACTGAGTGTCTTTTGTTACATTTCATGAAAGATAACTTTCTTTTGCATTAGTCATGAATAAGAAATGTCTTACCCAAAATGAGTTTATTCAATCAAATATCCATGCTGGTTTAGCTCATGTGACATTGATTTTCATGGGGACACATCAGGATGATGCTGGTACAGAGTCTTCAGCGTTTTCACAGCTTGCAATGGATCTGAATAAAAATATTTTCAGTCAAAGTTGTATGCTCTCATTTGAACTCTATCCCCTACTTTTAATTATTTAAGTAACTAAGGCAGGTACTTTGGGTGAGATTTTACTAAAGGGTGTGGCTAGCAACATAACTGCAGCAAAACACATGCTCAAAGTTCATTCAAACCGCTGCAGGCAACATCTGTCTAGAGGCAAACTGGGATCAGGGAAATATCAGGACTTTGCTTGAGTTTAAGAATCCTGGCTTCAGTAATTATAGAACCACAGCTTGTAACATAAAATATCAATTAAAAAATAAAAACACAAAGATAAAGGATAAAAGAAATCCAAAAGGCCACACATACATGAAAAAAAACATTTAAATACTGTGGAAAAAAATCATATCTTCAGCTCAGTGTCCAATCCTAAATAAAATACTGAGCAGAACAGGTGCAGGTGAAATAAAACGAACTTGGGCACATAGATAATACCATTTTAAACTATCGGGTCATTAAAACAAGACCCTCAAAACATTGTAAATTGATGCAATTATCCATATTGGGATAAGCTTCAAGTAATGAATAACTTCTGACTGTATGAAAAATAAGAATCATTATTAGAACAAAAAAAGCTTGTAACAATTAAGCAGATGCACATTTTGACCATAGTCTGTATTTAAATGATTGAAAAACTGCACACTACAAACAGCCTCTATAGTCCCTACAGCCATTTGATCAAAAAATGGCTATTTAAATGATATGCAATTCATTGTTTTAATTACTTTATAATTTTTTTTTCTCATTGACAGATTTGAAATATGAACTTTACCTTAAAATCAATTCTTATTAGAATGAAGAACTTTTTAAATCAGCGAACAGTCGTACCTGTTCAAGTTGAAACTAATGTTAAATATTGTGTACCATAGAAACAAGTTTATAGGTGAACAGTTTAACAGTTGAAACAAAGGAACTCTCAAAATTGTGCTTTAGCAATGCTTTACATTCACCATCTTAAATGTGTTGAGCTTGTAAGCGACTACTGGTTTACACTTTTTATCCTTTCACATGAATCTCCTTCTTATACAAGTATAAATATAATTGGACTTACACCTGTAAATGTGTAACAAAAACTGTTGTTCTGTAATAAGCGACTTTGAAGTACCCATATAAACGTCAGTAAAATTTTCAGGATCCAATTCCCAGGACTCAGCACCAGTCGAACATTGCAAACAGCAGACATGTTTAGAGCTGCACAGGGAATACTCAGCAGCCAAATATAACTAAATACAGTTGATGTATTATCTGTTTAACCAAACCCCTTTTGCTTATGATGAGTCTGTTGCAGTAAAGAGAAACACAAGTGAAGGCCTCCTGTAGAAGTTCCCACAGGTACATTAATATGGAGCATGTCTGGAGCAGTGTGGATGAGATTCAGGTTTAGCATGACGTCCAGTTGACCATAAACATGCCAAGAGCGGCCATCGCCAGGCCAGTGTCACTGCGGAGCTCTGTCTCATTCAGGTACCTGTGTTTCAGACAGAATATCACAGCCTCACAGCCCACCTCTGCATCACTGTGTCCCTTTAAGTCACGGAGAGGCTCTACTGAAGGACAAGGCCAACCTAAAAACAACACACAATATCATGTGTGTTAATCCTTACATTTATCTGAACAAAACATACATAAATGTCCCACTGACTGACCTTATCAGGGTCCATCGAAGGGCATTTCCAGTTGTAGAGGTAATACTGCAGGTTCCCATCGCCTATGCCAAACTTCAGCTTCTCCAAGAACACCTTGTTTTCCATTAGATCCAAAGCATTGAAAACATCAAAACCTTTCTGTAAAAACAAAACAAAAATTACTAACTGCATATAATGAAAAAAAGAAGAAGGCTGAGATACATTTTTAACCATGTTATTGTACCATTTTTGCGAGGATGAGTGCATCGTTCATTAAATCGAGAAGTGGAGTTTGAGTGTGAACATTGTAGAAAGAATATGCGGCCTTCAGGCTCCTATGCAGCGGGTGATGCATCACTGTAGAGGGCAGTGTGTAGAAACTAACAAAATCTGTCAAAACACCATCTGGACCCTAAATGTGACAGATCACATGTTTGAAATAAGAGCAAGATAATAACTTTAATATTTATGTTTTTGTGAAAAGAAGTGTTTACAATACCTCTACTACAAATGTGTCAATGATGTTGTCCTGAGGCAAGAACCAGTGAGTCACCTCCTCCTCTCCCATCGACGGAGCCAACTGAAAACGCTTTAGATACTTTTGTAGAAGCTCCGTCACCTGACGGATGTCACGCTTCTCCATCGGCCGTAAGCCCGCAGTCTTAATACTCTGTCAGACACATTTTTCCAGTGTAAAGAAATGTTCTGTTTGATGTGTGAATTTTAAAAAGTTATTTACATCTGGTAATCTGTAGAGTTTCATGGTCCTTTGCAAAGTCATGTTTCTGCTCAGATGAGAGAATTTCACTTCTACAAGCTTTCTAGGATTTAAAGAGCGATGCCAATACCTGCATAAAACAAACGTGGTTAGAGTCAGAACTGTGTCGTACAGATGTTATAAGCAGCCCACCTGCACGTGGACACGGGCTTAGGCAGCACTACTCCTGCTGTATACACAGCCTGAAATATGCCCTCGAGGTTTACGCGTCGCGTTATCTCTCTAATCAGCACTGGAGCCACACGCTTTGATCGCAGCTTTTTATGCACACACAGGAAGTTGATCTCAACCATCCTCTTCAGTCTGTAAAAACATATAAGGCTTATTTGTGTTAAACATAAAAGCAGCCAAGTGCAACTGTAGGCCTGCTGTGATAACACATTTCAAAGTGCGATATGTTGCTGAAAAAAGCATAAATGACTATTGAAACTCCACTATAACACTGAAACAATAATTCTAAAGCAGAATGACCCCGGAAATCCTTTTCTAAAAATAATACATATAATAATAAGCATGATAAATAATGAATAGCACTTTGGCCTTCATACCTGTATCTCAAATTAGCATATTTATTAATATAATATTGAGCTTAAAAATATTAGTCCATCTATCATTTACTGAAGTCAATATAGTAATTATAGTTGGAGGCTCACGTGTCATAGATTCGGACATCTGCGGGAATGGCACTAATGAAGCCGACCAGCTTCTTGTTTGAGGAGACTCTGACTCCGCAGTGCCACTGAGGCAACCAGCCAGGGGGACGCAGAGCCCTGATGACAACAAGAGTTAAAATCACAACAATTTGCAACAATTCATTAAAAATAAAGTAAGTGTGACTAGTCGACTACTAAAAACAAAATCATATTTTGATCATTGTTTTTAGAAGCCTTCAGCAACCATATTTCAACCTTTATATAGTTAAAAATGTTACAATAAATAATCACCAATTAGTCAACAACTAAAATAAGTATTAGTTGCAGTCCTAGTGCTTACCATTTTAGAAAGTTTGGTGAATAATCAAATCTGAACATGTTATCATCGTCTTCTACATAGTTTTCATTTAGGAGTGTATACAATTCCTTCAACTGAAAAAGAAAAAAGTAAATTAATTTATAACAAATTAGCAACCACAAACTCCTCCTATTAAAATAAAACATACCACATCTGCATTGCTAAGATCCAGAGTGTCCCACATGAAACCTTGAGGTAAAGAATATGGCTCCTGTCTTATGTTCTCTTTATCAGCTTCAATGGGGCCATGGCTCGTTACAACCTCGTCTGTCAAGGCAAAAGTTTGATGTAACATACAGGATAGAGTGCATAAGAGTTTCTCAGACCTCAAGCATCACAGAAAAAAGACAGACAATGTTGAGTTTGTAAAGAAAAACTGTAAACTACTCACTTAATTTGGGCACTGGTTGAGTGTCCCAGAACTGGTATTTGTGCTTAGCTGCATCGTCTATGCTCTTGGCCGGGCCCTGGCAGGACAACAGCTCCATCGCTCTTTGGATGTCCTGCAACTTCTGAATAGGCAAGCCTGGGTTCTGTGCAAAAACATTAAGACTAATTGCATCCAACACTGATATGAAATAATGCTAAAACAAAAAATACATAAAAAAAATATTGGATTATGTAAATTTTGAGTTGTTCGTCTCCAGGTCTGTTGCACAAAAACTAAGGGATGCTTTCACATTTGTCCTGGCTTGAGCTCTGAGACATCCGTTGACTTGTTTAGGTCCTGTTCAAGCCCTGATGTAGTCCAGATCTAGTCCTAGTCCTTGTTTAGTCCTTATTTTGTTTTGATGTTTTGTGTGTTCATATGTAAACGCAGACAGAACATCACTACGCTGTCCACATTTACCTTTATGTCCTGCGAGTCAGAGGCAGAGTCAGATTTGGCACCACCTGAACCTGGTTTCTCTTTCTTTCTCTTCTGTTTCTTCTTCTTCCTCTTGGCTCCCACATCTCCCCCTGGACTCCTACAAAAAAGACACAAGGATTGGTAAGTAGTAGAAAGACGTTTATTTGAACCCTTAGGACGATTGGTCTGTGGCAATTTACACAAGACTGGCAGCAGTTTCGTATTAATAAGATTAATGTGTACTTTATTGTGTATGTAGGGAAATATCTCCTCTGCGTTGACCCATTCTTCAATGCAACCAGCACAACCTGTCAGGAGCAGTGGGGACCCATCTCCAGATCTTGAGCTAGATCTGGTTAGGAGTATCTTACTCTGAAAATTTCACCTGTTGTGCATGTTTTTGGTTAATAGAGGTTAGAACCAGTTCATTTGTCAATTAATCAACTATGTGGCCTTACAAGTGATAGTATTCAGCATCAGGTGGATGATATTTGGGTTATTTTGACAGGCAACCTTAAAGTGTATCTTAAATTGTATAACATAAAGTATGGTCCATATAGGGTGACCAGATTTTCAAAATAAAAAACTGGGACATCCCTAGTTTGTGGTGGTTGGTAATAATAACATTGTGAAACAAGTGCGTAATTAAGAAAAATAGTTCTGCAATCGGCCCATTCATGACTAACACGTGAGTCAGTACAGACACATTTTCTTTATGTTTTGGTAATTTTAAGCAGGTTTTCTCTATTTTACCAAACAAATGACAATTTATGCCTCTCTTTACTGTTGGCAGGGATCAAATTGGTCAAAAATAGGGACACTTAGGACATTTCTTTTAAAAAACTGGGAAAGATCAATGGTTTTGGAGAAAACTGTTGGGACAGGGAACACAGGGCTCAAAACTGGGACTGACCCGGGCAAATAGGGACATCTAGGGAACGGACCATACTGTATTATAAAATTTTATAGTCAGGACCCTCATAGTTCTCCTCACTGTAGCGTTTTGATTAGGGACCCGTCGTATTCCAAGTAAACATTTTTAATTCTTAGTGGATTTTGATTATGTCTGGATAGTCTCAATCACAATTTAGAGGGACACTGACTGCTCACCTTGACTAACAGCGTTTATGCTGCTCTTACTGACATGTGCATCCTAAAGAAGCTAACGCTAGCTGCCATAGCAACGCCTGACAGCTGAGCTAGCGCAGCGTTAGCATCGGACTGCATCCTTGTCATGTTGCCCATTTTGGAGCCTATTGTCCATCCAAAAAACACTTTAAAAAGATGTCACACACGGCGATGAAAATTATGGAATCTAACTCATGCAAAATGTTATAACCAGGTCAGGACAGTGGGTTTGTAAGAGAGATGTTGGCTGTTTGTAGCGGACGGGTTAGCGTTAGCTCCGCTGCTAGCCTTCACCACTCACATAAACACACAGGGCGCAAACAAGAGCAAAACACGGAGCTGCAGCATTTCCCAGCGCAGCCATCCTCACCCCTGCAGATGCTCATTCTCCTCCTCGTTATCCCCGTCTATGCCGCAAGTGTCCTGGTCGTCCAGCTCCAGACTCTGCTGACTGGCCGCGGATTCACTGTCCTCCGCCATCGCAAAAATGTTTAGATCCAGAGGCAGAAGTGAGCGCAGGTTAGAGAAGAGACAGACCACAACGACCAGAGAGAGAGAGCAGGGGAGGGGATCCAGAGGAGGGCGGCATCTGGAGGCTGTGGGCGCAATGAAAACTCTGTAGAAAATGTGCTAAAGGCGCAATGTGTAACTTTTATAATGAGGCGCCCACTAGAAAAGTTACAGAGTGCATCTTTAAACTATGATGACCAGGCGTCCCAGTGTTGAGCCCTGTGTCCCCCTGTCCCAGAAGATTTATCCAAACCAGTGATTTGTCCCAGTTTTATACAAGAAATATCCCGGGTGTCCCTATTTTTGACCAATTTCATATCATAAATTGTCACTTGTTTAGGTAAAATACAGAAAAATCTGCTTAAAATGACCGAACTATTATATCTATTCTATTTTTTTTCCTTTGTGTTTGGTCTTTTTTTTTTTTTAATAGAATAGAACAGAATAAAATATAAAGGCTTTCTATTCTATTCTATTAAAATGACCAAACACAAAGAAAATGTGACTATACTGACTCACATTAGTGCTGAGTGCATAACAATTTTCCTTAATTACGCACTCATTTCACAATTTTATCATTACCAACTAACCCAAACCAGGGATGTCCTAGTTTTTTATTTTGAAAATCTGATCACCTTACTTTAAATGTGTACTTTAAATATTATAAGCCTACTATTTTAGGTTTAAGTATAAAAATCAACTACCTACAGCGATTTAATATAATATTAGAGTCCTGCAAAAACTAGTCAGCCTATACAACATAATACTAAACTGTAAAACTGTATAAGCTCAAGTTTTGGGGTCTGTATTATAATATTTTAAATTAATAATAATCAAATAATAATAATAATAATAATAATAAATAAACAAATAACCTGCCCAACTGCAACCATTCCCAAGAATATTGTGTAAAAAAATGTGCTAGAATATGCCAACAAACTACTACATGCAGCACATTTTATTGTATTTATTTATTCAGAATAACAGGCTTCAAATATAATGCAAGTGAATCATTTACACATTCAGGCTAATGTAAAGCATGTGTATATTCGAAGTTGGAGATTGATTTAAGATAAAGAAAGGCCTTTAATTTGCACAATAATAAACACTTGAAAATAAGTCATTTAACGGGTCGGGTTACAATCGATGTTGCCTGTGACTGTCATACAAAAAAATTAAATTATAAAACAATCCAACCTGCAGCATCTCAAATGGAGGCTGTCTCTCTGTACATACAAGACAAACATTAACATTTAAAATAAGGGTTAAGAGTGAATTGTTACTATAACTAAGAGGAATCCGTTGCTAGAGCTGTAGTGGTTTACTGCATGCCTTAGACACAATCAGAGCGGCATGAGGTAGAGGAATAAAAGGCAGAAAATTAAAAACAAAATAAAGAAATATATCCACAAACCTGCTGCAGTGATGTTGATTAAAAAGGCACTTGAGGGATCAAGCTGCACCAAGAAACAGCAAGCTCAATTTTAGTTCAAGGTAATTTATGTTTGTGTGTATGACAAGAAGAGTGCACAAGAAAAAGCCCTTAGCATACAATTTTACTAAATAATATGTGTAAATACTTTATGTTGGCATTGGTAATTAAACACATAATAATTAACATAAAAATAATATAAAAACACCTCAAGCAGCTGTATAATAGTGGTGCATAGTCAGGGCCATTAAAGCACTGGTTTAGCTTCTACAGAGACCTTCATATTAAGTGAGCTTGCAGTGGTATTTGGTATAATTACAAATATAGTGGTGTAATAATTAAAGAATTTCAGGATCTTGCAAGGCTGTATGGAAGAAAAGTGGTTTGATTCGAGAAATGTCTCCCCTGGTAATTCAAGTAAACATTCATTCATGCAGCCTTCAGATTTGCAATGCAAGTGCTTCAGTCACCTGCAAAATGTCTAAAAGAAAACTTCCAAAATAAAATGAAAGGTACAATGTGTAACTTTTCTGGTGGACGGTCACAAGCATGATGTTATTTTTTTTGCCTAAAATGTTACACAGTATGGCTTTAAATAATCTATTTGGGATATATTCAATTACAGGTGTTTTTAATCCTCAAAAGACCTTGAAAAACATTCTTGGTGTGATCGTGTTCACCTCTCCACAGATCTGACTTGTTAATAAGGTAGCCTGATTGCCTTCACAGAGATACACAGATTTCACGCCATACTGTAAAGCAATAACGTCTCCTTTGGAAACCCTCCGCTAGAAAAGTTATGTAGCGCACCTTTAAACGAATGAGACCAATATGGCTCAAGCTAAAAACGTGAATAATAAAAGTTGAAACTCTCCAAAACATTCTACAAAGGCATAGTTTTGTTGTGCATAAATTGCCAACACATCGCTCATAAAATGTCCATTAGATTTTTCATTCACCCATATAAAACAAAGTGGTTGTCCTGCATCATTTCAGATTGAACGCCAGGAGGGGGCGCTCTTCCCTCCTCTGCCACGGGCTTTTTTTCTCCTCCTCTCCATCCTCTTGCACTGCGTCTTCATTGGGAGAAAGAAGTGTATCAGTCCTTATAGTCACTTCTTCGGGAGAGGGCAAAAGATGAGGGGATGAAGGTGGAGAAGAGGTAGAGGAGAGCGGTTGTTGCTCCTCTGCTTTATTAAGAGCGGGGACTATATTGGATTCAGTGGGTGCGGGCGAGTTGTTTTGTAGACCACATGTTGTTGGATCTTCACTACTGCTCACTACTTCAATATCATCCACATAAACCAGTTGTGTATAGACAGACGCAGGTGTAGTGCTTTTTGGTTTTTCTTTTATAGTTTCTTTCTCCTCTTTCCCTACCTCCCCTTTTCTTTTCGCTACTCTGGGCTCATTTAGATCCACGCCGGAGTCCAAGCTGGCGTCGTTGCTATTGCTATGCCTCCCTCCACCGCTACTCCCGCCCCCTACTGGCCCGCTGTGGCATCCCGCTCGCTGTAGATCAATGTAGGAGTGGCGAATGTGAGCGTTGGAGCGGCCGTCGAGTGAAACAAACCATGCGCGCGGGTGTGGCAGCGGCTTGCCACCTCTGAGCTCCATTAGAGTTTTTTCAGCGAGCAAAGTGTCCTCGCTGTTGATTTCGACAAGTCCCGTTTCTCCAATGGCGGTCGGGATGGATAATGACTCCGACAAGCCCCGCCCCTCCACTTCGGTCTTTTTTGTAGACCCTGGAATGCAGTCTGTTGGGGATTGTCCAAGGGGCTGTTGGGAATGGGAAGCGTTTAGTTCAGCTTGGATTGTTTCTAAGTCGCTCTGCTCGTCAGTTTGGAGGAGGAGGGCTTGACCTGATAGCGGGTGCTCCCCAGGTAGACGCATGTAATGTGCAGGGATCACCAGCGTGGGGCGCACTCTGGAGTAGCCCTCACCTCCACTTAGCAAGTCCACAGAGCCGCAGCAGAGGATTTGGCCTGGTCTGGAGAGAGGAGTGAGCGGGCGTTCCAAGTTGTCTACTGACCGGGATAGGAGGTAGTCTTGGGGTCTACACTCAGCCGGCTCCCCTCGGCTCGGAGAGTGAGGAGGGGAGGAGGGGGAAATGCAGTCAACGTTCCCGGCACTACTGAGCTGGTTAATAGACACTTGGCCCTGATTGGACAGTCTATCTGAAACAGGATTGGTGGAGGAGCAGACGGAGGTGTACGATTGGCGGTAGCTTCGGTCCGTCCCACATGGAAGTGCAGTCTTGAGCTGAAATGTTTCCGCGGACTGGCGATAGTCTCTGCTGCGAGGGGTGAGGTTGCCGAGAGATGATCCATGGCGGCTGTTGTTGCCTAGGGACGAGCGGCTGTGTTTGGTTTGATGCAGGAGGCCGTGCGGGGGGCGATTTTCATGGGGGTCGAAGGACGAAGGCTTCAGCATCGGGGTTGTCATGTCCGGCTCTGTGGCAGTGGACACGAGCTCCAGCTGCACCTAAAGGAAAATTACAGAAAGAGATGTGAGAAAAAATCCGTGTATCATTTGTTCATTCGTTTTTCAAAATAAAACCAAAAATAAGAACGGAAGAACAAAAAAGCAACTTTTTTCTTCAGATAACGATTCATTTTTTCAGTTTTCGATTTTGTTTAAATTAATAATGGAAAAAACAGATAATGTCCATTTCCCGTTTCCATGACTTAGACTGTGACGCTGGACTTTTGAGCCGAATACGGACTGAACCAGGACTGAACCAGGACTGAACCAGGACTGAACCAGGACTGAACCAGGAAACCAGGACGAAACCAGGACGAAACCAGGAGGACGAAACCAGGACTGAACTAGATCTAAACCAGGACCAAACCAAAACTAAAGCATGATTGGGTGTTGCGGTTAGCCCTGTGGGGCATGGCTCTGTGCTGCTCCTTTCGTCCGTGGTCAACCGACAGTCTACATGGGCGCACCTCCAGGCCCATCCCAACACTCAGTCCTGGTTCAGTTCTGGTTTAATTCTGGTTTAGACCTGGTTTAGCCCTGGTTTAGTCTTAGTTCAGTCCTGGTTTTGTCCTGGTTCAGTCCTGGTTTAATCCGTATGCGGCGCAAAAGTCCAAGTCACGGAAACGAGAAACGGCTGTTTCAGTTTTTTCCATTACTCGTTTAAACACAAAATCAAAAATTGGAAAAAACAAATAGTTATGTTTTTTCATTTTGGTTTTTGGAGACAAATAATGAAGAAAATTTTTGTTTTTTTCATTTTCTTATTTTGCTTTTATTTTGAAAAACAAATGGATGAATGATACACAGACAGTTCAGTTCATATTTTGTACTACCTGAACTTTAATTCAAAGTCAAAAGAACATTATTTTTAAACGAACAGGAAATGTCAGAGGAAGATCAAAAGGAGGAAGCAGAAGTACAAATATGACAGTCGATTCAGTTAATTTAAAGGTGCACTGTGTAACTTTTCTGGAGGAGGGTTCACTACCGTCTTGTCCCTATAGAGATGTTATTTTCTTTAACTGAATAAATGCATGCCAGATCTGTTAAATGTGATACTGTGGAACATTCTAAGCAAACTAATAACATCTCCATGGAGACAAGCAGATGGCAAACCCTCACTTAAAGTAACTTAGTGCATCTCTATCATAAAAATCTGAATGTTTTCTTCAATTAGTCAAACTTTATAAACTAAAAGAGAGATAAGGGCTGCTTTCGTACTTGTCTGTATAAAAGCTTTAAGAGTAAATTACCTCATTGTTGATTAGGTTGAGGTGGGACATGGAGGTGGCCTGGTCTCTTTTGCTGTTGTCCAAACCAGAAGCTAAAACAAACTTTCTGTGAGAGCCTCGAGACTTTGTGCATCGGCGCCTGTAAATCACAAAAACATCAGAGAAAAAACCCGTGAAGCATTATTGCATAATTATTGTTTAAAGTTGCAGGTATTTTTTTCTTCTTTTTGTCTATAAAACAAGAAAGGTCTAACGCTCTGTCAGTCCTTGCATAAGTTAATTTATTTAGTGCATTGTTAAGTCTGCGTGGCCTTCTTTGTACCTATAATTATATTTTTACATGGTCTATTTCAATCAAAAAAACAAAAACAAAAAACTGCCATCTGTATAATTCAATTCTGGTTTGTATTTGTGACCTATTAGAACTATTAAAAATAAATCCATCCACCCATCCAAGAATATCTGGGTCAAAATTAAAATCACAATTATCTGAAACAATTATTTTAAAATGCTAACCCGCAGAGGAGTATTATGCCCCACCATCATGTGATTTGGATTCTATATTTAATGATATTATACTGTTACAAAATGTTTAAAAAAAATTTAATCAATACCCTAAATCCTTTATTACTTATTAAGCCTAAAAAAACTTTGTATTCACTAGGAATTCAATCTTTGTTCATGATTTATTAGGGCTAATTAAGGTGTAGTTATTATAAAGTGTTTATAAAGTGTGTATAATGTGTCAATTATAGATGAATCGATTATTGCAAACGTACCTGCAGTAGTACAACAGGAGGCAGAACAAGCAGAGCAGGATGAGAGCCATTCCCCCCAGAATGGCCAGCAGAAACACAGTGTGGTACATACTGATGTCTTTGGCAATCACGGGACCTGTTTAAAAGATTCACAATTCACAATAGACTATTTTATTTATCTTTTCTGGAACCCTAACGAAGTACTATAAGATTAATTACTATACTATTATTGTTCATTGTTACAGCTGTATAAAGCATTACAACTGAGACCGAGTGATTGGGGATAATAATCTAATTGATATTCTTTTGAAAAGTGTTTGCATTTGTGACATGATTAACTATTTAGGTTTTAACATCAATATTCAGTTGACTATGCACATTTTAATCACATGATTGAGCACTAACATTTGAACTACAGTGGATACATATTCTACATATTCTACTGGCTTACTAGATGATACATATGGTGCCTGGTTGCTGATTGTGACTATTCAAATTGCATTTTAGCTTTGATTGAGATTAATATTCCAACTCTAGGACATCTGATCAACAAAAAAACTTAATTCATAGGAGTGGCGCACCCACCTGTATGCAGTGGGGACATTGCAGCAAGCCAGTACCCGAGCTGAGGGGCAATGTACGTCAAAACGAGCTGATCTCCTTCCTTTTGCACGTGACCCCAGCTGCTCTTTATCCAGACCCCTGTGTAATACAAACAGCATTCGATTCACTTTAAAACATGATATAAGGAAATACAGCATCATCAGGAAACAGTACAGGAAAACAGCATGAACCAATTTTCTACAATAAACGCAATTTTTGTGTTAAATTGCAACCAACAATCATTTACCCAATAATAACACCTACATATTAAAAGTATTGTTGCTCATGTCCCTTTCGTAACATTTCTGAGTTGGATTCTAATGCACTTTCACCTTTTTAGCAACCTGATTGAACTTAAATTTATTTATTAATTATGTAAGTACTATGAATATATTTATAATGGCAGTGAAAATAGCTCATCAAAATGAAAATGCCACCAATGGAAAATCGAAACCTCTTGTCCCATCTAAGTAAATCAATGTGTGTAAATCAATGCTCTGGCAGTTCATCCTTTAACCACAGGGGGGCAGCAAACTTAGTCAAACTCACAGTGTGTTAGCAGCCTAGCTAGTGTCAGACAGAGATACAAAAAACTTCAGATTATAAAGTGCCAACAGCTAATCACCAAACAGAGGAAACAACTACTCTGGCCTACACGCCTGGTTCGTTTAGACCGGTGATAGCCCCGCGGGTAATGTTTGTAAACTATCAGCATCACAAGTCGGAAATCTGTATCAATCTTTTTACACAAGGACATGGAGAAAAAAAGATTTGAAGAGGAAAGAAAGGAAAAAACACTGGGGAAAAGGAAACCTGAGCGGACACAGAGGAGGAGTGAGATAAGTGAAAACACAAGGCTCCAAGGCCAGAGACGAGAGTGAGTCAGCACCTCCCAAATCCAACCAGGAACATCCTAGAGCAGGGCAGGGTTCAGTGGGGACCTTTTGTCATTCTTTATTTAACATTTTATTGAACCAGGAAAATACCATTGAGATTAATGAGTCCTATTTCAAGAGGACAAGAGCAAGTACAACACATCTTGAAGCTGCTCGAGAATTAAAAATAAATCAACTATCCAAGAATATTTGGGTCATAATTAAACTGAAACAATTATTTTAAAACTCTAAGCCGTAGAGGAGTATTATGCCCCACCCTCTACTCCAAGCACCCTTATAATCAGAAACAAAGCATAAGCAACATGATGCATGTACAATATCATAACTGACTTGGATTTAAATAGCATCACCTTTAAGAGCTAAAACGCCAAATGCATTACTCATTCACTCAACATACTTGGTGAAGCTACTTCTGTAGCCACAGCTGCCCTGCTGACACAGGCAAGACTGCCATCTGTGCTACTGATCCCTCTGACCACTACTCTCACTATTATATAAGCGCTGTGACCAGCGAGCCACTAGTGCGCTGATAGTTGTAGTCTTTATTATTAAACGTAATTTAAGACAGAACGCTTGTTTATATAAAACATGGTAGTGACGTCAAAGCCCATGATGATGGACTAAAATATTACTAATTATTTTGCCATCTGCCACCATATTGGTTGTAGTTGCTAATGTAAACAAATGTAAACTTCAAAGGAAACATGCATTAACTCAATATGAAATCAGTTTTAAGCGTTCTGTTCTTAGATTAATAACCATCTCTTCCAGTTATAGTCTGAGAAAAAGATAGAAAAAACATTTGTATATATTAGTAATCAACATGGTCCTGATATCCATGTGAAGGCAATATCTAGGTTGACTGCTCTGTGTGATGTTAGTTGGCCAGAAAGTATTTATACCAATTAATTGTTTAACATAATTTTTAAAAACAGGATTCACGTTGTCTCTCCTCGGAGGAGTGCTCTTTCTTAATAGTGACATAAATGATTTTGTTCCCACGGCTCTGGAACAATGCTCCTGAGTGTCGTGCAGACACAGTTCAAACATGAACATTGTGAGTGTCCTGTGAGTTTCTTCTGCCTCTCACCCATAAAAAGTCAACACAGCTGAGGCCAGCCCTTTATTCAGTCCTGTACAGACAGTATTCAGAGCGCCTGAAGTATCTGACCTGATTTTACACTCAATAACACCAAGGCACCAGTGAAAATGATCTCCTTCCTATTACATAATATCAACTCTTTTGTCCACAGAGTTTAACAGTTACACAAACTTTTTGTGCCATACTGTGGAACATTCCATCATATGTATCTCCATGGAGACTGGCAGGTGCCGCTATTAAGCAAGTTTTAGGTCATATCTGTGGAGCATTCAACCCCACTCACAGTAAGAATGCATGTTATTAAAGGTATTTTTGAGCAATAAAAGCACCCATAATTGAATAAATGCACTTAAAGTTTAATAATGTGGGACATTGCAGGCAAAGCAATAACCTCTCCACCGTGGTGATGGGGAAAGTTACCTAGTGGACATTTATCCAAGATACAAATTAATAACTAACAAAAAAGAGTAAAACTTCAATGTGACAGAAATAATCCTATTAATAAATCAAATTCTGCACATTTCATGCATGATCAGTGTAGAAACTAAATCTGAGTATTATGATGAGATTGTTTTGTACAATTTTAGTCAAGCGTTACTTATTTGGTCTAGTTGCTAAGAAGCATTGGATTTAGCCTGGAGAAGTGTTGAAAAATGGTATTTGTAGTGGCACCCTTATCAATGCCCTTTTCATAAGCTGCTTGGCTCATGTTTTGTGCTTTTGTACACAATTATTTTCAATGTGTTTGAGCAGATCTTGAGGTCAAAAGATGTCTGCTGTGTTTAATTACAAAGTGTTTACTTGTCCAAAAATCAGGAAGTGCTTGGTTAGCATGCTATTTGTTGTTAGCCTTTACGGTCACTGCAAAAATTCACTCTGGTCTTTGACAGTTGTGAAAACCACTTATAAACTCATCATGTTGACTAATTAGGCTGCTCGGAATGCATAAGGTAAGTGAGGAATAATTTTTGACCACTGCAAACTGTTTAAAATTAACTAGTTCTGCTTTTCATGTTTTTAAAGTACAGTGTCTTTAGAAAAAGAAATTTAGAGTCATAGAAGTCATAGAGTATTATTGTGCCTTCAAACCTGATTAATATGAATGGTCAGTCACAATTTTATTTTCATTTCTGACAACATTCTATCACATGATCAGGCAGTATCATGCACGCTCCCTTAGTATTTAATTCATAAGATTTACTTTGCTTTGAGTAGTTTTTGACTAGTTAAGATTTACTTGCTTACAGTCTGATAATTTGGTTGGAAGCAGGTCATAATTCTGTGCCAAAATATGCCTTTTAATTGTGAAAATGCAGATGTTTTGACATGGTTTATAGTTAATATCTCTGTATGTAATTCTGGTCTATTCAACTGATAATGCACATAAAGTTTCAGCTCTTCTCTCTCAACACTATTCAATTAGCATATCAGAATATTTAATCACAAAGCTGCGGTTGTGGTCAGTTCAAAACAATTTAAAGCTACAAGATTAATATTAATATTATAACATATTATATGGACCCATTGGAGTCTGAAATAAAGCTTGATTGATTGCTTATAATTAGTGCTGTCATGCGATTAAAAGAATTGAGAGATTAATTAATTATGATCTGTAATTAATTAATCTAATTAATCTCATTTTAATCTCACCTAAAAATTGCTGAGAAAAGCCTTCAATTTGAGGTATTTTCATTTAAATTCATTATTACATTATTGTGGCAGATCAAAAGACTGATATAGATTTAAAAAAGTGACTTTATAAAGTAATTTACTGTTTAACAAATCTCTCCAATTTGGCTGTTGAGCCCAAGTCTCCATGAATAAGAAACTGTTTGCTGTAAAGTAGCAAAGACGAGGAAATCTGAACATAATAACTTTTGTCTACTTAAAGACAATAAAAAGTCCAGTCTTTCCTTAACCATATTAAAAATATTATTGATAGAGAAATGCTTTATATATGAGATCACTGGTTTTAGTCCTGGTTTAGACCTGGTTTAGACCTGCTTTAGTCCTACTTTAGTCCTACTTTAGTCCTACTTTAGTCCTACTTTAGTCCTGGAATGGATTAATCCTGGTTTTAGTCCTGGTGTTAGTTCTGGTTTAGTCCTGGTTTAGACCTGGTTTTAGTTCTGGTTTTAGTTCTGGTTTAGTCCTGGTTTAGTCCTGGTTTAGACCTGGTTTTAGTTCTGGTTTTAGTTCTGGTTTAGTCCTGGTTTAGACCTGGTTTTAGTTCTGGTTTTAGTTCTGGTTTAGTCCTGGTTTAGTCCTGGTTTTAGTTCTGGTTTAGTCCTGGTTTAGTCCTGGTTTAGTTCTGGTTTAGACTTGGTTTAGTCCTGGTTTAGTCCTGGTTTTAGTCTTGGTGTTAGTTCTGGTTTAGAGGCTCACAGGAGGAAGCGCGGTTTACGCCGCGTACGCGAGAAAACACGGTCCACACGCGGCTCACGGGAGCACGTCGGTGTCCGCGCAGTAACTACGGAAGGAAACGTGGTCCGCGCGTTCTCAGGTTAATGACGATGATGAAGGTGTGTGTTTGTGTGTGTTTGTGTGCGTGTCCCCTCATGTGGCAGGTCACTATAGGACAGTAGTGCAGACATCATGAGTCTATGCAGGTTGTTTTCAGGCGATTTTATATTTGTTATTTTCTTTTATATTTCACGTCGGGAGAATAATTTCCAAGACACGAATGTGTTTTTACCTGTGCGCTGCTGCCTCTGTTCTACTGGCTCTTCGACCTCGTCCATTGTGCGACTGACGCCGCCAACGTTAACATGACGTTGACATCGCTCTTACTGCGCGTGTTTCGTGTGGGTTTCCGGCAATGAGTGGAATTACCGAAACAAAAAAATTTATAAATGTGTTTTGTGTGTGTGTGTTGTTGTCCCAACAACACATAAAAACAGGTTTTATAATAAAGAAACTCAAATATGACTGTAATTAATTAATCGCAATTGACGCGATAATTTGACACCCCTACTTATAATATTAAGTTTGTGAAGTCAGTTTGAATACAATTTAGTGAAAACAAACTAGTCCTGTTTGTTTCAGCTTCCTGTTTTTTTCACATAAAATATATAATGTTTTGTTCATCATCTTGGACCCATGGATTGGCAGGTCATATGGATTGAGGCTTCGTTTATATGATGACGCTCTGAACAGAAGACACAGAAGTGGCTTCACTTTTTATTCCGCATTTAGACAAGCATTTTTGGGAGGAAATCTGTGTGCATACGGTGACGCAAAAGTGTGTGCAAATCGATTAGGTATGCATGTCAGGCGGCTAGGTGGTGACGCTAGGTGGTGATGTATGTGACGTGAGCAGATCTGACCAGAGTTTTGCATCTTGGGCAGTGTAGATGGAAACACTACAGTGGACCATATTCAACTTTTCCACTCTGGAAGGTGGTTTCAGATTTTTGCGTTTTTAAGCCCCAAAAACGCCATCACCGTCTAAACGAAAGGCACTTCCGATAAAATATTTTGCTGTTTTATCCCGCAAGCGTTCTCGTGTAAACAGGCCCTAATTAAGGAAAAATGCACTGAAACAAATAATGTAGAACAAAAAAATAAACTCAACTAGTCAGAACTATGCAACCTCAGATAAATAGAATTCATGTAAGTAATATTCAGTAAAACAAAAGAAGACAAATACAAGTACTTTTTACAGAAGTTACCTAATCGTGGGTCAAATCTCCAGGCCGGGACGTGGTCGTTTTCCTTGAGGCCGCTGTCTGCAGGGAGCGGGACAGAGACTGTGATTGGCTCGTTCACCTGCAGCTCCACACCGTCACTGGCCAATAAATGAACAGAGACTGCAGCAATGGGCGTCAGGTCGAACCTCCTCTCAGACCCTAAAAGAGCAACAGTTTAAAGAGGTATATTAGGCTGGGATTTATAACGCTTTAATGCTTTAATCAAAGTCAGTATCTGGCCCCATTAATTTATTAAAAAATTAACACAATTTAAAACCTTATCTGTCTGCACAAGTTAACTATATGGCAAAAATGTTGTGGCATTATAAAGCTGTGATTAGATGTGAGACAGCCGAGGGATGAAAACAAATTCAACAGTTGTGACTCACTTCTTTTTTTTTTCCTTTTTTTTTTAACAAACTGAATTTTAGACCACAACATTCTCCAGAACAATTCACATTCAAGAACACTTAACATTCTCTACAACACCCACCATTTTAGAAGACAATATTCTCTAAAACACAGACAATCCTCTAGAACATCTACAGTTTTAGAAACACATAACATTTTCCAGAACACTGCACATTGTATTCAAGAACAGTACGTAACAATCTCTAGACACATCACTCACATGCTAGAGCACATTCTAGAGAGCCAGTGCAGCAACAAGAAAACAACAAGAGTCTACGATGTTGTGAATGGGACGAGAAACTCCAGCAGGAAACAGCAGGAGGATGAAAGATGAAACAGCGGTGAAAATAAAGGAGAGCGATGAGGCAGGACACAGGAAAGAAAACAAGGGAAAGACCAGGAAGAAGGAAAGAGGGTGGAGGGAACATGACAAACTAAAGAGAAAGTGTCACACAGCACGGCTCTGCTCGTTCAGCCGGGAGGAAGAGAAGGCATGCTGAGGAGATGAAAACTTTTCATTCAAAAGAGTTTACAGAGGAAGACCAGGATGTAGAACAGGAGACAAGAGTGATTCTGAGCTCAGGGTGGGAAGTAAAACCACACTATATCCACAATATAACCTCAAAATTATTACAGTACATTAAATCCTGATATGCAGATGATACGTTTCTGGTGCTTTTAACAACCCTAATCTGCTATTCAGGGGAGATTGTTATAAGCTTTTTAAAAATACAAATACAACTTTTCCTCCTTCACTCATCCCATTAGTCTGTCTTTCTCTGATCTGATTGAATGACAGGTGAATGTAACCAGTCACAAAAGAGTGATAGCTTTATTGCTGGGTTTTAGATCTCATCACAGTCCAGTAATGCTACAGATGGGAGTAGCTAAAATTTATATTATAATCTTAAAATGCAGACGTTTGCATTCATCCAGTGAGTTCCTGGGCCTCTTCACTTATAGAAATGATCAGTTTCAACACTTACGAATTTAACTTTTAGATATTTTATGGCAAATGCAATGTTATCAGAAGGGAAATCTGTCTCTTGCCCCCCATGTGAGAGTATGACAACACATAGTAGATTCTGAAAACCACCAATTAACCTCTTAAAGTGAATAATTTATCCCCAAATTATGAGTAAATGAACTGTGATACAACCTAAATTGTGACTTTACTGATAAGATTACTGACATATATTTAAACGGTCCATGTTTAAGTTTATATGACATGTTATGTTAGACTACACATTTGGCTAAAACAATGAACATAATTATTTTACTTCATGGTTGTAAATAGGCAGCAGATAGGACATACACAGAGGTAATTGCATAACTGTTACCTAGCAACCATATTGTAAACAAGGGCAAATATTGTCTTGTACAACAGTTATTATTATAACTGACAGCACCTTTATTTTAAACTGCCAGAAGAATGCTTTCCTTGTGTCTGTTTTCCTTGTGTCTGCATTTTGGATAGAGTTTTGTGTATTGACGTCATAGGTCAATAGGCAGTCCGTTTTACTATACCCTTTTTTGACCCCACTGCCATAACTTTCACCTGACTAATATAAAACTATGATATTTATCACAGGTACTATCCCACCAAACCATGTAATAATAAGGGAAAATCAAGAAAAGCCATCATATGCAAATTCTGACCTGTGCCGTTGCCTTTGAGGCCCTGCAGAAAAGGGAAGTGTTGCAGATGAGAGGCAGAGCTGGCCACAGTGAGTAGAGCGGTCAGGTTAGAATAGGACGAGTTTGGAGGAAGACTCAGGGCTCTACGCAGGAAGTGGACACTCGGCTGACCCTTAAAACCTGAAGCACAAAAGACAAAAACATTCAAAATACACTGGCTATTTCATAATGAGTCTGAAGAAGTCTTTATTAGAAGGAACACAATGCATCTTTGTCACGAATCATATTGTGGGTAGATTAAGGCCGCCACAGACTACAGGAGAATTTGCCTGATTTAGGCTGAGATTTGCTTCCCCCGAGTTCAGGAAGGTGTGACCCGACTTCGTGTCTTCGTGTGCGATTTTGAAGCCACTGTGCTCTTCCTCATTGTGACTCTGAGCTGCTCTGTCAGATCGTAACCACCAAACATCAGCAACGCTACGATAACAGCCAATAAAACAGAGCATCAGGGGCAGACGGAGTGACGGACACAGAGACGCAAGGTACAAACTCAAGAAATACAGAAAAAAAAAAAAAGATATAGAAGAGCAATACTAGAATCTTTTGAACACTCAAAGTGAATGATTTAATAGACAGGAAATAGACAGGAAACAGCTGACGTGAGGTGCACTCATAACTTTAGCCTGTGGTACGTGGCCAAATCCCAATGCAGTCTTCAGGATCGGAGATTTAAAATCTCATAAGATTCTCCTCATGTCTGCAGTGTGTGCTCTTTGTCACACATTTAAAAATCGTTAAAGACTGAAAAATCCTGTAGTGTGTGGCGGCCTTCAGATAACCTGTTTCACAAAGGTTCTCTTGATTTTACCATTTATTGTTTTAGACCTAGTAAGATGAATCTTGTTGCTGTATCTATTTGTTTTGAAAATTGCTACATAAATAAAGATTCTATTCCCAAACATAAATTAATTAATAGAATAAAATTATTAAACTTCTGCTCCCATGTGCTTTCTTTAAAAAAACAAAACAAACAAACAAAAAAAACATTTGATTCCATTCAGAAAAGTTCAATAATGCTGTGTCGAGGAAATACATGGAGCTAGAAGGTGATGTCACTGCACTTTGTCTGAGCCAAGTCCACATTCCTGAGCAGTGAAACACAACTGCGTTCATTTGTTCAAAACATTTCTCATCTCCTCAGATCTACCATAGGCACCTTTATGTTTGATTGGGCGTAAACCATTTAAATTATTTGGATGTGAATTTTCTTAAGGCCAGGGGAAATAATCCTATTGGACTTTCCCTGATCTGGTGTGTTGGACATTACCCATCCCCCTGCTGTCCACAGCTCCACCCACTGTACTGTCCAAGCACATGCTTCGTCCTCTTTATTCTCTCTCCTCATGACACACGCGGCGCTGTATCACCCCCTCGGGCGCGACGCACACACCACAGACACACGCTGAGAGCATTGTGTATTCACCTCATTCAGGTTTATGTCTGTCTGAGTTCACAGTTAATGTAGACCACACAGCTGACACGTTAAATGAATGCCCCGCCAGGCACTAACATACAATAGGCTCAGTGGACAAAGGGACTAAACCCATTATATCATTAGAAGAAGCACATTAGAGTAATAAGCTCACAGAGTGAATACACATTTTGCTTATTTGCCTACTAGTATTAATTTCTTTAAACAATAGAATAATAGTAGTACTTGTGGAGTTATATCTACATAATCCCCCAGTCGAACAGGTAGGTTCTAAAGCTGTTCTAAAGGAAAGGTTAATTTCTGGCCTGCGAATGTGTCTATGTCTTTTAGTATCAATACCTGCTCAAATGAGTATCTAATTTTAATACTATTTTTAGTATCAATCTGATTCTCAATACTTTTGCCAACCCTACTGGCTCTGTGTACAACAGTAGCCGACTAGTTCCACTCAGAGGGAGAGACGGCTAGACCATTTCTGGCGTAATGTAATGTCTAAAATCAATAAATCCAGCCAGATCAGGCAGGGACAGGGAGATGCGGGTGGATGTTACTGACAACATGTTAAACACTTTACAAATGCGGGGAAAACCTCACCAAAAGAGATTTCAGTGTTTACAAAGTCTACGTTGTGTGTTGGGGCTAATGCCAATACTAATTTCAGAGTCTACATAGCAAAGTAAGCACATTTTTTTGGTCAGCAGGGGCACAAAGGCTCCTAAAAACACTTCAAGGTGCACTTTGTAATTTTTCTGGTGGAGGGTCTGTTGGCCGGTGCGGCTGTCGGGAAGAGAGAATAGCATGCCAGGGGCTGTCACAAATCCTCAGCGGCCATGTGGGAGGTATGTGCGCACCGGGGCGAGGGCCATCATCGCTGCGAGTGGCTTTAAATACATGTTATTTTTATGAACCTTTAACATAATAAATGCTTTTACCATGAAAGTCTGAGACAATCTCTATCACATCTTCATACACCATCAGAGAAGCAGCTCTTTCTGGTAACAGGTCCAAGCTGATGGAGGAAAATACTGGAACACAAACAAGAGCACATGGTTCACTGACAGAGGCCTAATGACAGACTATCAAACGTAAGAGGCATTAAACAACCTTAATACATTTTTAATGGACAGAGCCTAAAGTCTGAGGCAGCACATTGCCCTTGTCTCACAATCCTTCCTTCCACTCTTCCATTGTCCATGGCCTGGAAGCATCTTAATCCAATTGGTGGTTTTTGGATTATAGGAAGTGATGATTTCATAATCCCAAATGGGGGGCAAGAGCCAGTTTTCCCAATTGCATTGTACTTTCATAAATATCTAAAAAAATAAATGCACAAAAGTTGAACCTGATCATTTCTATTAGTGACTAGACCCAAGAACATCACAATATTTTAGAATGACCTTGTTTATGGTTAATGTCCATCTGTAATTACTGGGCCTATCCACATGAAATAAAAAGAGACACAATATTGCAATTTTTTGTCAGCATAAATAAACAAAAGTGAGATGATATAACAGCCTTAGAAACTGGTGCCATTATTCAAAATTTCTTAAAACATTTTAAGCCATGAGATTCAGATTACAGGTTTGTGGACACAAGCCTTTACACATAATGAGGAGGTTCAACGTTTGTGGATTTCTATTTTAGATATAAATTTTTAAAACAGTCAACTCTCACAGGCCCTGGCCAAGCATCTTAAATTATGACATGATCAAACTGTAGAACATGAACACAACCTATTGGCCTCTTGTGTGCGGCTCATGAGGACTCCCCTCCACACTGACACATTTACCAAAACATTTTAGGACATATTTTGATAAAAATTAATAAAAGTCAAACTTGAATACTTCATGTTAAAATCCCTCATGTTAAAGCAATAATTTCATACCATGCTTGTTTACATACGATGTTCTTACCAGGCAGTCTCACGGGAGTCCACGGCACAGAGTTGGGTACATATCCCTGATTGGTTGCAGTGACGACCAGTGTAGTCCCAAGACGGTATGGGAAGCGCAGGTGGGCGTTGCCGTCAGAGGAGGATGTTTCCGTGGCGACCAAGCTGTGGTTGGCGAAAAGCTGCACCGTGACTCCGCCCAGTGGTTGGTGTGTGTGGGCATCACTCAGGTGGACCTTCAGCGTCACTTCTGCAAAAAACGCATTTTAAGCATAACTTCCTCTAGGGCTACAAGACATAGAGCAATTGAATCAAAAATGTTACAATTAGCAAATCACAAAATTATTTAAGTAATTTATTCTACAAACAACAAAATATTGTATCTTATCATGTCTAAAAGCTGCTAAGCCTGTAGTTAGACCTCTACAAACATGTTCTTAAATGTGTGATTCTTGTAATAGTTGAGCACTTCAGATTTCAGTCTTCTTTGAAATGTTAATGCTCCTGGAAGGCTTAATATATGAACTCTGAACATAAACCTCCTATTAGAAAATTGTTCAGCCCTACCTTCCTCAAAAGCCACTACTTCACTTTGAAATACTGCTAGAGCTTTTGGTCGCTCTGGTTTTGTTGCCAATGCCCTTTGCTTTCAATCCACGGAGACGGCATTCCACATCACGGCCAATCAAAATGGGACACCCTCTGACCACTTCCTGACCGAGTGCCAACAACACTTCCTTTTAGAACAATAGACTATTTTCCTCTGTCAAAGAAGGCTTGGAAGGGAAATGAACATAACCTTATGTACTGACACCTTGTTGTGTACTGATTGGACTTAAACAGGCTTTTAGTTGATCAGAAATTTTATTGTATGTTACTGAATAAGGCTTTGGAAATTTGCTGTCAGTGCAGATTTTAAACATTGATTGTGCTTGTGATCTTTATGTTCATCTATTAATTTTCATCTAAAATGACTTGATAAAAGAAACAAGTCAGTTGACTTCCGCGTTAGAAATCTGTTAAGCCCATTGGGAGCTGACGTCGGAGTAAAGAACATGACAACAAAGAGATGTGAGTTGTCGGCCCCTCCTATGGAAAACTTCACATGATAGCAAGCCGCGGATTTTTTTCACTGTGCCAAAATGAGAAAAGAAATAAAAATGGGAAAATCAAGTAAGTACAGAGCAGTGGGCATATGCCAGTGAAAAAGGGAGCTGATCTGTAAAATTGCATCTTGAAAATAAGGAATTAAAGATTGCTCAAACATGCACAAATCACATCAAATAAAACAAATAAAACATTGTTAAAAGCTCTGAAAAGTCAATTTAGGATAATAGGACTACTTTAAAGAAAGAATACTATATGAATTGCTTTACGATAATACAATAATCATATGGATTTAAGAACATGTGTGGTGTGTGCTGCTGTCTAACTAAATATCAGGAGAATATTTAGACTTTAGTTACCATAACTTAATGGATTTTGGCCAATTGACTGATATTTTGTTTGGGTTAACTATGTGATTCAAGTGCATATGTTCACTGTGTTTTAACACTTGTACACTTGAACACAACATGTAACTACAGTGCTTTGTTATAGTAGTGTACCAGGTCCAGGGCAAAGAATGTCAAAAATATTATTGCTTAGTAATAAAGCTGCATTGTGAAAAGTAGCAAAAGACACTAAGTACATTTATAGAAATTTCAAATAATACAACTTCAGTAATGATCAAAATTGTCCCTAAATATTGACCTACAAATACCTCAGCTGCTCTGGATTCTAAAAAGAAACAGTAATAAACCCATATTGGTTGATATGTACTGCTTACAGAGTTAGCTTCTGTCTTCATGAATGAAAAGGTATCATCATTACCTTTCCTCTGGGGACTCCGGTTTCACCCATCAACCCAAAACATGCACCATAGATAATATGCTCCAGCTAAGGTAGTCCTGAGCAAGCCGAGCAAGAAGATTACAGAGATGAGTCCACGGGAGAGCCACGCACTGCCCACTGCTCCTGAGATGCCCCAGTGACAGTGAAGTATGGGTCAAATGCAAAGGACAAATTTCCTTACAGGGAGAATAAATAAAAAAGTAATAAAAAAATTAAAGTATAATAAAAAAATTATAATAATAAAGTTCCTAATTTTGATCTGATGTATCACGTGGCCCTCTTATAGAAAGAGCCTAAACTTGTAATTAGAGGGAGGGAAAAACAATTGACTTTTTTCACATACAAAAACAACAAAAACAAAGGGCAAGAGTTGATTTCCTTAATGACATAAAGAAGAATCCGCAAACAGCCTGTAGATGTATTTGGTCTCCACACAGGCCTCACCGTCATGTGGACACGTTTGATCTCTGGCTGGAGGTAGACGACCCATGTTGACCTTTCAATTAAAGCAGAACGATCTTCCCCCTCCCTCTCTCGCTGCCTCCCTCCTTCTTCTCTCCCTGCTTCCCTCTCTCCCTTCTTCACACCTCTCTCCTGACCTGCTTGTAGCCCCAACCCTCCCTCCATTCCTCTTTCCCTCCCTCTTTCTCTCTCTAACCCTCCTCCTCTCCTCCCTCCCCCTGATCTTTACAGCAGTACTTCTTCTGTACCCTCACCCTTTGTCACACAACGAAAGGCTAACCGGCTGTACATCCATAACTCTGGCTAGACAGAGTCCCCTCCCCCATGAGAGCCAAAAGCAGTCCTGCAGCCAGAGAGTAAACACACAGACATTAAGGCAAAAAGGAAACTTCAAATACTCACAATTGAATCAAGATCACAATGTCAACAGACAGAATTAGCAAGGGCTGCAAGTTTTGAAGTACCATCATCTTGTCCATAAACAACACAATATTCTGTCTTATTCTGGAAAAAAATCTGTAGTTTACATCTGTACAAACACATTCTGAAATGTGACGTGTTTGTCAATTCATATTTCAGTCTTTTTGTCAATTCTTCTGGGCTAAAATGTGAACTTTGAACAAAATCCTATTTTTAAAATATGCTTGCCAGAAAACTCACAATATATTGTCCCAAATCGTTCAGCCCGATATGGTGATTAAATATAATAGTGATTTCCTTCCTGTGACAATATGCTAGTTTTCTGAAATATTGTGCCATATTGTGACTCACTGCTTCTTTTTAATGAAGCTCTATGCTTAAACAAGGATACTTTCCCCAGCTCATTTGTTGTTTTACTCAGCTTCAGCAATGCTCTCAGTGAGTAACAGGAGGATTTAACCAATTGTACTTAAGTGTATGAACTTTAAGAAGAAGCATATGACTTATTTACCTCTTCAGGGGAATTTAACAACACCAAGTTTACATCAATCAGGACCTCAAAAAAAGTGTGATATACCAGTACATTTTTTGACATAACGCCTAGCCCAAATTTGGAACTTAGTGTTGTTTTTACAGGGGATTTTGATAGAATTTAGGGTTGTCAACAGTAATGAAAAGCAGATACTATTCAATAATAAAACTACTATACTAAAAAGCCACATTCACAGGACAGAAATGAACCTTTTCTGAATAGCTTTAGAATGATCTTGAGCTCTATCAGAACAAGTATAACACTATAGTCCAATGACGTTCATTCGGTCTTCCAATATTTTATGTTATTAGGTTCTTTTTTCAGACCAAGAGTTTGTTTTCATATCTGACAGTTTGACTGCTCACTAGCGGTCTTCCTCAGAGTCACATGATGTTGCTGTGACGTGTTCGGTCAGCTGATTTATACAGGTTTTGGTGCTGTCTTCCTACCAGAGGAGGCAGGATGACAGCACCATCTGCAGTCTGACGTCCTCAGGACAGTATGCCAAGTGTGTGAGAGTAAAAAAGCCCCATCATCCCGGTTTATAGTCCCATGGGCAAGTTACTGTATTTAAATTTTGCTCTCATCCTGCCTCCTGAAGACAGCGTCAAAACCTGTATAAATCATCTGACCGGACACGTCACAGCAACATCACGTGACCACTCTGAGGAAGGCCGCTAGTGAGCAGTCGAAACTGTCAGGAATGAAAACAAACTCTTGGTCTGAAAAAAGAACATAAGTATAAGACTACACAGACTAGTCTACGTCCATGGTCCACTATGGAACATATCTGGATGACTGAGGGATTACAAAGATATTATATGACATAAAAGAAATTACTATTATTTAATGTTGAAAATCACATTTGGTAGTCAAAACAAAGAGTGGTTCACAATGTCACTGTGGTCTCGGAAACGGTATTAGGTATCGAATCTCTTCTATAGTATTGAAATCAAGTTTGAAATGTTAGCATTTACTGTCCATTTTAAACCACTCAAGTCATTATCATGCATGGTCCTGTGTGAGGAACTCTCTTCACATTCCTCTGTTACAACATTTGTTCTGTGCAGCCGTACAAAGGGTGGGATTTGCCCTTGACAGAAAGTCCCCTTAAAAGATGCACATGGAAGAGTTGGTGACTTCACTTCCTGTCCCACTCCCACTGATCTGTATTGGGGTCCCAGCTGTGCTCACTTAAAAAAATAGTCCCCCGAGAGGACTCATACACACACACACACACACACACACACACACACATACACACAAATGAAAACGACCCCTCCCAAGTCTTCTGTCAATAAATCACATCTCCGGGTGACATCATTGTTAAACAAGCTAAGACTCAGGCAGGGAGACAGCCAAAGAGTCTGTGTAACTGGCCCTCATTTGTAAATACTCAGTGTTTGAGAACCATATGGATGATTAGACATCAAGGAAAGTGTGGCCCAGACAATAGTATGCCCTCAAACCAATTATCCGAGCAACAGCAGCTAAAGCAGCAGGGAGTCTGTGAGTAAATGGGATCCTATCGAACAAAGAAGAGATTTTTTTAATAATCGTCATCACATATAATAACGCAAGGTTTGAGCTGTATAAGGTAGAATAAACAACTTCTATGGCCAATTATGTCTATGCTACTTTTCATTTGCTGCAGCTCAGGCTTTTTAATGATACTGTCCATTTAAAAATGTGCTTACAGGGATTATCTTACTTTGTGTCAGTAGCATAAAGTAGTTTCAATATTGCTGATTATCACAATGTCGTGCTTCAAAATTTGTTATCGTGACAGGCCTATTTTTATGTAGACTAGGACTGGGCAATTAGACACATTTCTTGTTGTCAATCATCAATGATCAACTTGGGTCTTTTAATGGAGAGGTTCAGAGCCAATCTTCTTTGAGTAAAAGCATGTGGTTTGAGCTTAGAGTTTAGAGGAATAAATTAGTCAGTTTTCTTTATTGGTGCTGTTTTTAAGTCTGTCTTGTTTGTGGCTTTATAATGAAAGGTTTTTTATCTGTTTTAAAAGAAACAAAACAGAATCCAATAGAACTTATTGACAATAAGTCTATTTTGTATTATTATTCATTGTTTTATGTTGCACTATACAATAAAGTCAAAGTTTGTTAATTTTGTTCACTGATAATGACAATAAAACCTTTGTGTGCGTGTATTTTCCCAATTTATCTGTTAGCTATTTTCCCCACTTGTTTATCATTAGTATTAAATGTCCCATTGTGGGTCAAATAAAGATTTTCACATCTTATTTATAAACCATGCTCCTGCTTCAAAAGACGAAATGCATGGCATGGCCGGCCTGCACTGGGTGTGTTGTTAGGGGCTTGGTGTTCTTCCAAATGGAGGAGGGGGAGGCACAGTCTGTCAGTGCTTACAACAGCCGGTACAATTCATATTCATACAGGACTGAATGAAATAACAGAAGTGATAGAGGGAGTCATCCAAGTCATCTAGCTTTATTAAATCTGAGTTTAATGACCAGCAGACATCGGTGCTGAAAAACACAAGTTGAGACATTGTACACTGTGACATGTGATTTCAATTTAAGGTCTGTTTTCCTGAATCATTCACCACCAACTGGTTACTCTGCACACTGGTTTGAACTTTAACAGCACTGTACAAGATCATATTCTCATTAGTTAAAACATGAACACAGCATAGAAGTGAGACATAAAACAACTAAATCATTTAAAATAGGACAGTAGAATTTAGAAGATTTAAAAGACAGCAACTCCACATAGCACAATTACTGCCATTGCCACCTCTCATTAACTTAGTTCTGTTAAAGTTTGGTTGCAATGCCAGAATGCCATCCCTATTATGGGCTGCAGCAGTGTTACACAGATCTATATCTATGCCTACTCAGTCTGGCTCCAAACTGTGCATGTTGTCTGCAGGAGACAGTGGAGAAATCTTCTGTATTGACCCAAGCACAAACGAGCGGACAATTAAGCTAAGGTCAACCTGAGGCAAACAGAACCTGTGTAAAATTAAAAAAAAACAAAACAAAACTGGGAACAAAAGAGTGCACGCATGACTTCAAAAATAGGATGGCATAAATCAAAGTAATTCACCTAGTTCATTAGTGTAAACAGAGACTTTGCTTGGACTAATGCAGAAAGGATAGTCTTCAAAAAGCCAGCATATCCTATACAATCAGAAATGACTAATGAAATATAAATATAAAACAAAAGGTCAATGGGAGGGCAACAATGTGAGGGGGAAAACATTTCAAATAAAAAACTGGGACATCCCCATTTGTTTTTGTTGTTTTTTTAATAATAAAACTGTGAAACGAGTGCGTAATTAAGAAAAAATGTTCTGCAGACACCACTCATGGCTAACATGTGAGCCAGTATAGACACATTTTCTTTGTGTTTTGGTCGTTTTTAAGATGATTTTTTTTTACAAATTACAATGTATGCCTCTCCTTACTGTTGCCAGGGATCAGACTGGTCAAAAATAGGGACACCTGGGGCATTTCTTGTATTAAAACGGGACAAATCAATGGTTTTGGATAAATCTGCAGGGGACAGGGGACACAGGGCTCAAAACTGGGACTGTCCCGGGTAAACTGGCACGTCTAGTCACCCTATTCTCAACCTGAAAAGAAACTCTGGCTAAATCCATGCTAAAATTAGACAGTATGCTATGTGTACTACAGCACTGTATTGACTTTTTGGGGTAACAAATACAATGGCAAAAATCACAGCAGCTGTTCAAAAGAAGCCAGTTTAGCATTTTATCCCAACAAAATGGCTTAAATATTAGTAGTGATTTCACATGGTAAATTAAAAGACATGTAAAATTAGAAATGAAGGCATACATAGACTTTGCAGACAGTTAAAAGGCCACAAGCTAAGTTGCTAATGTTGCTAAGAAGGCATCAGCATCTGAAGACGCTAGCAGCCAAACTAGCCAACAAAGCATCGACACAAGAAACCAAAAGGGGAAAAAAAGTTTAAAGTACTATATACCTTCACTGGTGGCGTCCTCTTGCACGGTTTTGGCGACAGTGGAGTAAAAGTATCCGAAAAGAGAGAGCACAATAGCAGCAGCAGCTCTCCTCCAGTGCGCAGCCCGCATCATTGCAGATGTGTGAAAAGAGAATAAAAGTCAAAGTACAAGCCAAATGTTTTCAACTCGGTGAGCGGCCACATCGGCGGACACTGCACTAAACCCACAAACTCCGCTGTTTAGTCCATGTTCATCGGTAGGGGTGCGGTATTTTGCCCGTAAAGCGGACTGTCCCGTTGTGCATCCCCAGCCCTGCCTGCGCCGCTCGGTCGGGTCAGGAGGAAGAACCATATGCCCCCGAAGAGCTCCCACAGGCGGCCCGACCACACTCACCCGAGCCGCTGCATCTGCGGAGCTCTGGCGCCATCTGCCGTCCAGAGTAATGTAGAAATACCCTCTATTATTATTATTTCATTTGTTGTTCTTTCTCTGTATTATATTTATTAGGCCTATCTCGATCTTGTAGTTACATGTTTAAAGTAAGTAGGTTCACAAGTATGGTTGCGACGATTAATCGGGATAGTAGTGACTAGTAGACTATTCATACAATTAACAAACGTGTCAATTAAAATCAGTATTTTCCATACAAAAAGTAGCCTAATCGTCATGAAATCAAATCAAATTTATTTGTATAGCACATTTAAAACAGCCAAAGCTTACCAAAGTGCTGAATAACATTTATATAACAAATATAATAAATAAAATTAATAAAAACATACCATAAGCAAATCAATCTGAATAATAATAATAAAAATAATAATAACAGCAAGGTGCCAAGGTGTCTCTTCCTAACTAATGGAGAAAAGGTGCGCTTTGAGCAAGGATTTAAAGTGCTCCAGTGACAGTGCAGTTCTAACGTGCAAAGGTAAAGTGTTCACAGTCGTGGGCCGACCACAGGGAAGGCCCTGTCTCCTCTGGTCCTCAGCCTGATCCTGGGGACAACCAGGAGGTGCCCTCACGGCAGACTTCAGAACATAGTCCCTCGCGTCGCCCAGAGCAGTGGCGCCATCTGCTGGAGAAGAAATACAAGAACCAGACCTCCGTATTCACATTATTCAAACACTGAACAAACAGAAATCCGTGGTTACAAAGTACATTGCTTTTTTTCCCCAGACATAATACAACGAAATACCAGAAAAAACACAATATGGCGTCTTTAATCTGCTGAATTCCCCACTCTCTGATGGGGACAGGAAGAAACGAATGCTGAATGTGTACTAATCTGTACTAGTTTCAAGGTCCATTTTTTAAATGTATTGTTTATCCAACCACAATACACAGCCTATGCATTATAACAATACACATTTACACTGTTCACCCATGAAAACTGAACTAGTGTCTTTGAGTGTGATGTTACTTTAATGTAAATGTATGGAGAGATGGTAATCTTTTATAACTATAAATCTGTACTTAAAAGTTTAAATGCACATGCAGAGATGGTTAATGTGTCTAGTCTTTAAGGGTCAGTGCACACTCCTCTGCTCAGTCTGATGTGAAATAACTTTTTCTTTCTGTTGTTTCAGGCTGAAGACGGTCCATGCTCAGTGTCGTCTGTGAGACTCAAAACTCTACAGTTGCTGTTTTAAACAATAAATTGTAAATATTGTACAATAAACTGTTGGTGCTGTTGCCTTATTTCACATTACATACAGTTTGTTCTCTCAAAATATGTCAAATATCATATTGGATTCCTTGCACGGAGAAGAAGTGAGGAGGAGCGGGGTGCGCGGAGATACGAGCGGAGTTTTGCAAGATTCACGTGGTTTGGAGGGACGTAGACAAGGCGACGCTTTAACGATAAAGTGCTACGGGAAACACTGGATAGACAGAGAAATAGATGGATCCATGGGGGCGGTACCTTGGTTGTCATGGTGATTCTCGCCAGGTGGGCGTGGGTCACGTGGGCACAGATGTATGTTGGGTCTTTTAAAAATGGCGCTCACCTGTCTGACAGGTAAGGGACCTGTCACCCGATGACGTGGCACCGGGGAGCCGAGCCAACTCGTTTTGTTTGTCGACAGCTTCACTAAAGTCTCTCTTGATTTCACTTCAAACTCCGCTTTATGTCAGAGGAAGCTCCTCTCACGGCAGCGCGACGTTTTTAGCAACAAAGAAAGAAAAGGCGGTGTGGAGCCATCGGCGCACGAGCCGCGGGAAAACGCGCGCCAAAACTGCAGCGGGACCCGGATCAGCATCAGCGCGACAAACAGCACGTGGGAGTCCAGGTGAGTTTTACGAGTCCAGGTGAGTTTTACGCGTAGTTACTCCGTGCTCTGATTCATGTTTATTAAATGTGCAATGTGGATTGAAATCTGTTCACTCTGTGGATGTGTTTTAAATGATGGTTCACTGAAAAAGGTGGATTGTCCTGAAACTGTCTGGTAAAAGGAAACTTGCAGAAAGGCCTTTTTGGAAAATGCAAAATGCAAAAGGTTTTGTCCGTAAAATGAAGGAAATTATGCCACAAATGAAACTCATGAAACAAAAGCAAAATGTGTCTCAAATAAAATCTCTTGGTATTTTGATGTGAAAATGTAATTTATCATGAAGGGTGAAACTGTGGGGAAAAATGTGTTTTTCCAAACGTAACAAACTGCAATGAAAAGGTTTATAAATGTTCACCAAGCTCGGGTCAATGAACTGGAACACAATGACTCAGAATTCTATGAAATGAATGGTACATTTGTGGGAATTAAATGATGACTTTCCAAACATGATATAAGGATGGTACAGGACCTGCCATAAAATACTCAAACATGCACATTTAAACAAGTACAATACAAAAAGTGGAAATGTGTCATCAAAGGTTTCAAATGGGATGAAAACCTACTTGGAAAATAAAAATCATCCAAAAAATCAACTCATCTATCCTGGAAATTTAAAACCGTACGCAAATGTATCCAACTGTACAATGGTCATACCTCATTACCTTGTGTCGTCTCAAAACAAAATCTGAATGCTGAGGATTTTAATGGTTCAGATTTGGGCCTAAACTGGTCCAAATGTTTCATATTCTAAACACTTTTATAGAGACTGTGTGGTCTCTGTTGGGTTGATCTGGTCTAAATGTGGACTAGATGTTTAATTTCCACAGGTGGCACTTGGTTTTGGGTTCTGTGTTGCATTTGGGTGGTTGGTAATAATAAAACTGAAACAAGTGCATAATTAAGGAAAATTGTTATACACTGAGACCACCTTGCTGGAAGAGTTTACCTGAACTCTTTGTTTTGGGTTGAACATCCGTCAGCTTCCCCTACAAAGACCCAAAGGTGAATATAAAACTGTTTTCTGAAATACACTAGTATTTTGTAATTTTGTTTCTAACTTTTCCCTTGTGTTTGCAGGTTTGGGTGGTGTCCTCTAACTCTTCTACAGGTGTCAGTTTTATTATTATCATTGTTAATTAGTTCATAGTTAATTTATGATAAATCTACTTCATGTCTTGCAACTGTGAGACATGAAAATCATCTGCGACAACTGTAGCAGATGTTAGTTTATTTTATTTTAAAACAGCTAAAGCTAAAACATGTCTGCCATTTGTTACTGACTAACCCTTTAGTTTTCAGGTTTTAGGTTGGTGTCTAACCCTTTTACAGCCGCTCTGTGACATCTACTACTGCTATATAACCTAAAGAGTGCTTCTGACCAGTGAAAAATGAACCTTTGCCTCCATCGGAAGTCAAAAAATACTCAAGAACTAAGAAGAAGAAGAATGGAAAATCTTTTATCCGAGGCTATGCTCCAAAATATGGAATGGATGAAAGAATTGATCCAGACCACCTTGCTGGAAGGAAAACTCTGTGTTTTGGGTTGGGTTGGGCTTCAGCCAGCTTCCCCCCAAAGACCCAAAGGTGAGTATAAAACTGTTTTACTGAAATAAACTAGTCTTTCAGAAACATTTAAGTGAAACCATGCTTTGTTGAATACAGCTAAGATAGTTTTAGTTGTGTACTCCCAAGATAAAACACTTCTTGTATTTTGTTACTGTTTCCTTTGTGTTTGCAGGTTTGGGTCATGTCCTCTAACTCTTCTACAGGTATCAGTTTTATTATTATCATCATTGTTAATTAGTTCATAGTTAAACTAAGCTAAATTTACTTCATGTCTTACAACTGTGAGACATGAAAATCATCTGCCGCAAATGCAGCAGATGTTAGTTTATTTTATTTGAAAACAGCTAAAGCTAAAATGTCATGACTGTCATGTGACTAACTCTTCAGTTTTCAGGTTGGAGAAACCCACATCTTTTAAAACCCCAATCATCTGGAACAATCTTAAGGTACAGTATATTTTGGTCATCCTTTTGAGGGAAATTCTCCCTCTGTTGATGATGAATGGGTCAAATGCAAAGTGCTGCTGGGGCAGCCTGTCAGGAGCAGTGAGCTGCTGCCATACACCTGTGCAGATTCTGCACACAAAAGAACCTTCTTGCTGTGAGTGAGTGCTCAGTCACTCATCTTGACTTGGGTTTTGGTCCAAGGGTTGAGGCCCTTGTGTTATGTCACTTTTTTGTGGTCTGAATGTAATAGTTCTGACCCTTTGACCTTGGGTTTGTGACCCACATAATCTTACAGGGATCTTTCCCTGCTGCAGGTTTCACTGGTTCATGGAGACTTTAACTCAGGTAGGTGACTTTAACTCAGGTAGGTGACGTTTCTGTGTGAATCATCATCTCAAAACGAGGCCTGAATATGCTGAGTATTTTATGTTACAGGCTTTAGTTTTGGGGCTAAACTGGTCCAAAAGTGGGCCATATTTAAATGCTGACTCACTTTTATGGAGACTGCTGGTCTCTTTTGGTCTGATCTGGTCTAAATGTGGGCCAGATTAAATGTTTACACCATAATTTCCACAGGTTGCACTTGGGCTTGGGCCCTTGTGTGTTTTTGGTATGTGCCTCGACTGGTCTAAATATGTCCAGATTTAAACAGGCTGGTAAAACATGTTATGGTTGGGTGAAACTGAAATTACTTATTGTAAACTGACACTTGAACAGGTCTAAGGTCTTAAACTGATATGAGGCTTGGATTGTTTAAAAATGTGTTTTGTATTTGGTTTGGTCTGAACTGGTCTAAACGTGGGCCAGATTTGGACTGGTTTATAGAGTCCAACTCTATAATCCAACTCTTCCACAGGTTTGCACAGTGTCTGTTTTAACCAGTTTGAAATACGTTGACATTTCTGTTTAACCATAATTTTAACTTTACAGGTTAAAGGTTAAAGCTCATATTAATGTTGCCTTTGTGTTTGTTGTAAATTTGTTTT